TTAATTGGTTTATTAAGTTATTTGAGCCATTGATTAGGAATTTAAGGACTATGCTTAAAATAACCTGAAGCTAGTCCCATTAATTGCATTCTATGCGAATTGGAAAACCTTCAAGTCCACTCTAAATTTCACAGGAATCTAGTGCAATTTACAGGTGACAGGAGTTATGTATTGTACTTATAGGCTTAGGAAAACTTTGGAAATGTGTATAATCATAATCATAAGAAGCACCCTCAATTACTCTAAAACAGTAAAGGTTATCTAAAGGAATCTTCAGCCTGTAAGAGCTTAATTAAAATACTATTAAATGCTATTAGAAACGCAGCTATAAAGACTGCAAAAATACGGGCTTTACCAATTTAAGATTAACATACTGTACTAGACTGTAGCAGTACCACTGTTTTCCAATTAAACGTATAATTTACCTAAGTTAAACAGTATTGTGTGAGATTGCATCTCAATCATATTCCATCTGATTACTTTCTTCTGGTTAGTTTTAAAGGAGTTACCATAAATCTGGCAACACGCTTTGCATTTAAAATTCCACAGAAAGCTGTGAGGGACTGCCTTCTCTATTCTCTGTAGATAAACTCTGCAGAGAAATACCATCCATTCATTTTGTAACCACTTCATTCAATACAGGATAACAGTGGAGCCGGAGCCTATACTGGCAAGCTCTGGGCACAAGGCAGGATATACAGTACCCAGTCCATCGCACGGAAAATAGACACAGACACGTCCATACTCACACCAGCCAAGCCAATGGTGGTTTTCACAGAAGCCAATTCATTTACCAGTATGTCTTTGGATCATAATAGGAAACCAGAGCACCTGGAAGAAACCTAGGAGAACACAAGGAAAAGACACAGTCCAATCCACGCAGAAAGCACCCTAAGAGACAGGAGTGATAACCACTGTACCACCATGCCACCCTAGTTTAGAAACACCTCGGAGTAGTATTTATCGAAATATTACCTTGTTGGATATTTCAGACAACTTCCACAAAATCTCAAGCTGACGACCTTTAGAAGAATTCTTCTGAAGAATGAAATAATATCCCAGTTCTTCACTACTCTGTTCTATAAAACCATCCCGTGCCCTAGGACCGTGGTACTGAAATCTAGGAAACGTGTTTTCTTTTTTTTACATGTGCCTTTTAAAACTTTAATGCATCAAGACTAATTACTTTCTGCTACAACACAATGTCTTCCAAAAACAGCCAAATGCAGTGCTGTGCAGCAGGTTTTGATTAATTAGTTACTCTTTTTTGCTGGAACTGTTCCGTCAGCCTAAGAAATATTTGGAAGTTTTCATTGCGGAAACAGAAACACAGTCTACTGTTATAATTAAATCAATTAAACTTATGTATTAAAAAAGCATTTTATATTTAATTAAAACCACCCTGGAATATATTGTTTCTTGTAACTGGTTTGTTACTGCTGTAAAACATACTGTACTGTAGGTTAATTAATGCAACAACAAAAGAGACATAAACAGTAGTCGTATCTGTACAACAGGATTTAAAGACACGGTACATCTAAATGTTCCTTGGGATTGCAGAGCAATCAGTAATACTTTGTTCCCTGATGTATTTAAACTGTCTGCAACTATAACCTTATAACTCATCCTGAACTTGGACTTTGACATCATTCATAAAGTAGAAAAATAAGGGCACTTTTAGTTCCAGGTTTTATCACTGGGAGATAGCAGGAGGGACTTTTAGAGAGAGTTTTATTTTTCTTCTTCATTTTAAGTGTTGAACTGGCACAGAAAACACTACAGACTTACAGATTCCAGGTCAGGTCAGGTCACTGGGGATGTTTGACCTGGAAGCTGTAAGTACATGCACAGCATACCAAGGGTAAATTCACCACCACCAGTCCACCCCAAACCCTGTAGTATTCAACCAATTGAGCTTGAGTAATTGTCTATCAATCACAGTCAGCTAAGGACACAGTCTAGTCTCAAAACACTGCACTACTGAGTATAACCTGCACTTCACATAAGCACCTTTACAGGTTAAACAAAGTGGGACCTCCCAAAGTCTCTTTTTCTTTAATCCAACAACTGTTAAAGTCAATGGTTCCTTTAGGATACCAGTGCAGAAATGCCTATGTATAAGAAATCTCACTTCAAACGCTAGTGGTGCAGCAAAGAAAAATGTTCCTCCATTTTCCACTCAGGAGCTGGGAACCATCTGCTCTTACCTGGCAGCAGGCTTCAAATACAGAAACTGAGAAAATAACATGAATCTTCTGATGTTACAGATTTAGGCGATTTCTTATTTCAAAACTAATGCTTCCAGACAGTTCTACATGCAAAACTACCATTCAAAAACAGAATATTTGTGCACATTAGACTGTGTTGGTGGCACAGTGGGACAGTCGTTAGCATTGCTACCAAGCAGCACTGGGGCTGTTCTTGTTTTTGGGAGCTTTTCTTCTCCAAGTTAGAAGATATGCTGCTACCTTGCCAGACATTGCCACCCTCCTCCGAGCGCTAACGCCTCCTGTGAGCCCTGCTCCAGCAAGCTCCTCCTGTTCCTCTGCAGTGAACGTCGTCTTGGGGCCCAGAAAACAAGCTAGCTCACACCCCTGCTATGTCTTACGGAAGGACTTTTAAAGAGAGTGGTGTGTGTCACTGTGTTCGCGTGTTGGACTCTGTTTCCTCCCACAATCCAAAGACAACATACTGCTACAGTAGGTAAATTGGCTTCTGAGAAAGCCCCTGGTGTGAGGGTGTACATGTTTGTGTCTGTCTGCCATGTGACAGAGTGGCATCCCGTCCAGGGTGAACCCTGTCTTGCGCTCACTGCTTGCCAGGATAGTCTCCCCCACGACCCTGAACTGGATTTAGCAGTTAGAACATGAATGGATGCATTAGGCTGTGCACTACACTGACTTGGAGGCTATTTCGAACTCAAGACAACACATGGGTGTTCTTTATATAATACTGTTTTATCCTTCCCTTTATGATTAATGGATAGGTAACATCAAGAAAACATCAAGAAAAATTGCAGCACACAAGCTCGACAGTTCTGTAAATGAAGCGTGCGACAGATTATCAGTGTTCATCAATTTAAATGAAAATGGCAATGACGGTTAGCCAAATGCCACTGAGATGAGCATACTACAAACCTTAATGAATAAAAATAAAAGCAGTCCCAGAGACTGCTGGGCCAAGCCCATAGTCTTGAGTAAGGCTAAATAATACATACAGAAAATGACAGATAGAAACAGAGAATTACCTCCGGTGTGCCCTGAGAAACAGAACAGAAATACTTATGTCCAGAAAGAATTTTCTGTGTCCCTGAAACATTTAAATCAGTCAAGAGCTGTCAGAATCACTCAGCTATGAAGATCAACATCCCACATCTGACATTCACAGAAGCTCCGTAAGCAGCTGAAATCCACACAGGAGGAAGAAATAAATATTGCTCCATACAACACTTTTTCTTCAGGCAAACCATCTCTTTCTCAGTTGTATATTGGAGCACTGAACAGCTTCATCAAGATAGGACTTTCTCTTAACTAATGTTATATATCAGCCTTCGGGAAAACACTGCAGTCCTGTCGTCCACTGTAGGCCTTTTAGTAATGCAGCATTTTGTACATCATACTAGAACCAGCAATTTTAGACAGTTTACAAAACTGTCACTTTCAAGTCTAAAGTCTACCCAGATTATACTTTAAAACTCTCCCCTCAAGATAACATAAGATCACTGTATTGGCCATATACAACTTCTTGGATTAGGAATGTGTTTTTTCGCATAACCCAACTTGGTCATTATTTCACTGCAGGTATTTAAAGCAGTATTTTTCAGGCGCAAAACTGACTTAGGTCTTAGATACAATTGTGTGCTAAAAGTAACCAAGGTATTTATTACAAAGCAAAAATATCTAACTAACAAATTCAAGCCATTGGATTAACTGCAAAAAAAAAAACGTCCCTTCACAATAAAATGCAAACAAAACAATAACAGTGCAGTACATCACACTTCATTCCAAACTTCAAATAAATGTGACTATTTTAGTATACTAACAATGGAGCAATAATATACAGCACAATTTCTACATTATTTTATATAATTCAATTTCTGTAATCAAATTTACCAGTTTCTTAGTTCAGGATATTTTTCCGATGTTTATACACAGCCTGCTTTAGAATTGTCTTGGTAATGATTCATTACCCCTCAGGAAATTATCCTCTATAATGAAGAATCTGTTCATCTTGACTAAAGAATGGGGAATTTAATTCAAGGTTAAAATGCCACAGCCTTGGAAAAAAGCAAAGATTGTTTTTGTTTAATAGGCTGTTTTTGTTCGACAATAGAACGGCACAGTGGCATTTAATGCTGCTACAGCATAGCTCTTCGGTCCTGGATTGCAATCCTGCTGGGGCAACTTTTGTGTGGTTTGTTCTCCCCATGTGCACATATGCTTCCCAAACTCATAAAGACAGGCTAGATTGAGGTTAATTAATATTTCTAATTTGTCTCTATGTGTTCACATTCACACTTGGACTGGTACCTCAGCCAAGATATAGTCCTACCTTGTGCCCTGTGCTTCCAGGACAGACTTGGGTTTACTGTGACCCTCACCAGGAATAAGCAGCTGCTTGTATCTGATATTTGATTTGATAGCTAGGTTTTAACTGAAGACAGTTTAATTGCTGGAAAGATTTAAAATGATATTGTATAACTATTTCAACAAGCACTTTTGAAGTCTCTTAAGTGCCTTTACTAGTCGCAAATTCATCAATCCACTCAAAACCTGTAATTAAGACTTAATTGATGTAAAATTGGTGCAGTACATCAAGCAATTTAAATTTCCACTTAATGAATTATGATTAAATGGTACTGTTGTTTCCCTTTATAGTACATTAGAAAATGTGAAACATGACCCCTGCATAATTTATGAACATAATCCAAAGACTTTAACTACAGCATTCATACTGAAGGGAAAACAAGACGTATACTTCCATACCAAAGAGAATCTACATCCATTACAAAAATGTTTTAATAAAATAAATCCTCTTTTTGCACATCTGAAAACATGTAGACTAAATTACTGAGATACGTTATTAAAAATACAAAGTCACTGACACTAAAACAAGTACTTTACCAAACCAGATCATTGTTTATTGTGACTTTGGTTTAATTTAGAAACACCTTCAATGCATATGGATGGTTTTCGCACATTAGGAACAAAAACATTTAAATGATATAAGGAGTTTCAAGGTCCTGCAAATTAGCAGCCAAGCCACTCTTATTTTACTGGGAAATTTACTGAAATACTTGCGTTATCTTTTGTAGCCATGGAAGTGAAGAGCAGTGGAGCTTGTATGATTTTGTTCAATGAAAGAAAAATGCTTTTATACATGAAATTCAAAAGTTCCTACAACAGTTAAAAGGTCTCAATTACAGTTAATTCCACTGTAAGAATGAGGATGAACATTTTTAATCGTCTCCCATTTCCACATCTTCTTGTAATTTCTGCACCATCTTTTCCTCCATCTTCTTTGCTTTTCCTGCAAATAAAAACACATATTAATAAGCAAAAGACCAAATTTGTTTTTTCTTTTTTTGACATTCCAGCACAGCCAGACAGGAAACAGTGAGTCTGGTTTAAAAATCAGATTCTACAACACATAGCACCAATTATGACTGGTTTAATTACACCTAGATTCTACAACACATAGCACCAATTATGACTGGCTAAATTATACCTGCATAATGTTGGTACTGCTTCTCAAATGCTGGAAATGAATATCCCACCTTGACCTATATGGCCACGGAATGACTTTAGTAAATGGGCAATATTCAACAGCAAAAACCCAATTAGCATTCATTTTACATACTGAAGCCACTTCAGCAATTAATGTGGCGCTTCAAGGATGAGCCACCTGTACTCCCATCAAGAAGTTAATCTGCAGAACTGACATTAAAGATATTAAAAAACTACAAGGGAAATGTTTACCCGATTACTCTCAAGTTAATTAAGGGAATGTACAAATTAATGCAATTAATAACCCCAGCTGATACTTACGATGACCCAAAGCTCTCCTTGATAAAACACAGACAAGAGAATGGGATAAATTACATCTTTGCTCTGGAGCAGCTTCAGTGAGACCTAAACAGCCCCAAACAGGAAATAAAACGTAATGTACTTACCTGCATGTGGGGCTTTGATAAGATGGATATTTTTCTTCACCTCGCTGATGGCTTCTTCCTTCTCTAACTCTTTGCCCTTCTTCAGTCTTTAATACAAAGACACAGCAGTGCACCAGAATTTAATCCAAATTCTAATCACAAAAAATCCTCACAGATCTTTCAAAACAATTCTGAGACTGTTACATTACAAAACATTTACTTACATTGGTAGATGCATAAAAATGAAATTACTTGATCATTTAATCTTGATACAAATGGGTGAAGATTGTGTTCTTTCTCCAAAATCAGAACTAAGACAGATTCTCACCTGTTCATGATAAACCTTGCTTGCCGTTTCTGTTTGATCTCTTCTACTTTCTTCATGGCTTCCACTGAAACAAGCAGTCAAAAGTCAGTTAGCACTCAGGAAAGCAAAAACCTAAATGTGTTGTTTTTTTACAAGGACAGGAAAGTTTCAAAATTAAACTTCTAAAAGGACTTTTAACTATGTTGGGATAAAAATTGCCATATTTCATAAATTTAATTAACAATACTGACAGAAGGAAAATTATAAAGCCCAACAGCCATTCATCTCTGTTGCTTTGTTTAACCAAAACTATGTCACTATAGTCACAGCACTCCTCAGGAAGAGGGAAAAGGGGACAGAGGAAGTGAATGAGAAACTTTACAAACACATGGAAGTCCATCAATTTTCTAACCAATTCTGGGTTGCAGGAGAGCCGGAGCCTATCCCAGCAAGCAAAGGGAGCAAGGCAGGGTACGCCCTGGATGGGACACCAGTTCATTGCACAGGGCAGACACATGCATTCACACCGAGGGCCAATTTTCCCAGAAGCCAATTAACATATCAGGGGTGAGGTTCCCGTAAGCATCATGGTGCTAAGAACATCGTAAACTCAATCTTAAGATCTATCGTTAATTTACGAGTGTTTCCCAAAACCCATCGTAACTAAAGTAGCACGTTAAATTCTTTGTAATCTACATGTTCCCTGACCCACTCGTTAATCACTAAGTGCTTCTTAAACTGGCTACCTCTTAAGCCAACCTTAGCAACAGAGATCGCCAGACATTAAATTCACGCCATGACAATTCTCTGGAAATTTAGAATACTAAGATTTTATATTATGGATTTTGATATTTTGTTGTACTATGTAAGAAGAAATTTGGAAAAATAACATTTATTTAGCAGCCAGCAGCCATATCACCCTGCAACTCACAACTGGCAACCCACTGGAGCTCAGCAGGTGTGAGCCTGGTCAGTACCTGGATGGGAGACCTCCAGGGAAAAACTAAGGTTTCTGCTGGAAGAGGTGTTAGTGGGGCCAGTGGGGCCAGCAGGGGTCGCTCACCCTGCGGTCCATGTGGGTCCTAATGTCCCAGTATAGCGTTGGGGACACTACACTGTAAACAGGCTCCGTCCTTCGGATGAGACGTAAAACCGAGGTCCTGACTCTCGGTGGTCATTAAAAATCCCAGGGCGTTTCTCATTTCCCATTGGCCCTTAATAATCATGGCCTCCTAATAATCCCCATCTATGATTTGGCTTCATTACTCTGCTCTCCTCCCCACTAATAGCTGATGTGTGGTGAGCGTTCTGGCGCACTATGGCTGGAAAGGTGGATGATGCTGCACATTGGTGGTGGTGGAAGGGAGTCCCCATTACCTGTAAAGCGCTTTAAAGTGGAGTGTTCAAAAAACACTATATAAGTGTAAGTAATTATTATTATTATTATTTACACATTAATTATTTTATTAGTCATCCTGGGTAAATTTCATATTCATAAGTCAAATGGTCCAATAATACTCCCTCTCTCAGTACTTTTGAGATGGATTTTAAATTTTATTTAAATTCCATAAAGAATGTGAAAAATGCTAAAAACAAGGAAAGCATTTGATATATGTAAAAATATAACTTTGTTACATATTTACCTCATTACCACTGGCAGTTAATTGTTTTTTTGTTATGTTTATGTTTTCTTTCTTTTATCTGTATTTTCTCCTCTACTTGTATTTGTATGGGAGCAGCAAGGGCACATGTCCAGAGAACCCCAATCTGTTACAATATATTTAATTTAAAAAAAATGCTAAGTTTTATACTTGACTAGATTATATGATTTTCATGATGAAATGCAGTAATGCATTATTTAAGTTAAATCATTGGGCCTAATATTTATTTATATTTAAAGTTCAAATACCATTTTATGTTCTGTTGTGATTGTTGACAGTAAAGCTTAGACCTACTTGTATTTAAATTTGATTATAGGTCCTGTATTTGAGTGACACATGACAAGCTAAGTAGTTAATTTTTCCAGATGTCATGTTAATAAGACCAATTAAAATGCAGTTCCAATACACCCAATAACTATAAATAACAGTATTTTCTCATGAAACACTGTGATTCTTAACAATGGCAGCGTGTCAAAAAAAAATCTTGCTTTAAATCAAAGACACCGTGTAGGACCCTTACACTGTCCACACAGTCGATCTTGGTTTTCTTTTACAGCATGTCAGTCATTTATTTTATTTTCTCTTATTAACAATAGGTGTTCCATTTTGTGCCTATCTATATGCTTTTGCTTATTTGGTTGTTAAAGTATGATGTCATGTTTACTTCCTTTTTACAACTTTATTTAATCTCACTGAAGGACCAAAACCGACACCATATAATGAAAGTATTGTCAATCGATTGTTTTTCCAATTGACTTGTGATGCTTTTTGCTAAGCGACTTCAGGGGTGGGGTTAACAAAGAAGTACTTTATACTAGCTTATAAAATGACCGTACTTACATCGTAAAGTTGCTCATTAATCTCTTAGATTCATCGTTTTGGGGAAACTCACCCCAGTATGTTTTATGACTGTGGAAGGAAACCCACAGAAACAAGGGAAGAACATACAAACTCCAAGCAGACAGAACCCCAGGGTCAGAATTAATCCCAAAAGGCAGCACTGCTAAGCACTGTGCCTCCCTACTCTGTGAAATTATTATTATTAGTTACTAAGACACTGAGTAACTGAGACAGCACGTTTTCTTAAAGTGATCATTTAAGATCATTTAAAAACATTGGATTTAATCACTTGTATCAAACCACTACATTCACCAAAATTACCACAACTCATATATAACTAAAAACACATACTGATAGGACAGGCCTGCAGCCACAGTAACTTTCTTTATAAGCCTCACAAATGTTAGCGAACTATACAGTGTGTCAAATGAAGAGTTATTCACTGTAAAAGGGGTACACAGAGGGGGGCCTTACCAGTCTTGTTCCACAACTCTCTCTGGTATTTCACTGGAACATTTCTGCGCTTCTCAAACTCCAGAGAGTTATCCTGCATTAGTAATAAAAAAAAACAACATTAAAAACGTAATCATTCTGTTTTTAACAGGCACTCTTTCCAAAACCATTGAAGACGTCACGCTTACCACCGTCAATTCCTTGCCCGAAGCTTTCCGGAAAGACTTCGTCCATCTGATCTTTCGGGGGTTTCTCTTCTTCTTGAAGTTTTTGTGACATTTTGATTTGCAGAACCTAAACACCTAAAAAGAGCAGATTAAAATATAAAATGTTATTATAATAGGCGCTAATCGTGGGATGTAAAAAATGCAATGCCTTCTTACGTCTGAACAATTAAACATGTAAAGCAGATTTGAAAAAAAGTCCATTCCAAAATGTACAAGTTGAGAAAACTTCACTGGTCTTCCCACTCAAAGGATAAACTATATGTGACTGAGCTCGCTATACAACAATTGATCCAAAAGCAATAATTAATCCTACAGTTTTATTTTCAATATAATTATTAAAATCCATTCCTATCAGACCAAATAAAGTACAAAACCTCGTCAGTGTAATTGAAACGGAATTTTAAAGCTGAAGTATAAAAATGTACTTGTATCGAAAAATATAATTCACACTATATAGATCTAGGTAATTCTACAAATACCCAGTCCTCTTTTACTATATTTCTCTATTTCCGAAATTATTTAATAAACTCCAGTCCCAGGCGTGATCCACGCTGAACTACCGTGCTGGTTTCCATCGCGAAGGCCTGATGGCACGTTTTAAGAAAACAAGATAAAATAAGTCTCTCACCTTGCAGTCATTTCGAACGAACATCATTCCATGACCCGGGTAAACGGGCCCGGAGCAAAAATAACATTTCTCGATACGCATTTTTAATGTTCCAGTATTTATTCATCCATTAAAAATCAAGTCCACTCCTATCACATGTACGGAGTGTTTACTAAAGGAAGTTGCAACGTTCAGTTTCCGGTTAAAAGGTCACGAAAAAAAAGGAAAATTAATACTGCCACCTCCTGGACAGTAGTAGATTTTATCGTTGAGACATTTTGGTTGCAAAGAATTAAGCGATTCTGTTGTAAAGATGCGAAATTGAATTAAGTTATTTCTTACAGTCATTACGGTGATCACTTAATGATCACGATCTCAGTATTAAAGGGATTTTAGAGTGGAGCGGTTGCTTAGAAACAAACACATGAAAAACTATAGAAGTTCTATAGTTCTATAAATTCTATTAGAACATTCTGAGATAGTTAAATACTGCGGAACAAACTGAAATGGCTTTCATAATCATCATATGATTTAAACATCTGCTTCTGCTGTTAACTACGTGCCAAATATCATTAAGCATTATAAAATTCATGGGATCTTGACCACTGATTTTGTATACCTTTTCTTGCCAATATATTTAAACAGAAATTTAATACAAATGTAGCCATAATCCTAATCCTTCCTTTCATTCTAAAACAGGGGACACAACCTGCTTCCGGAGAACCCTAATCAGACAATAAATTAAATCACCCTGAATAACATATTTTTATTAAGGTTGGGAACACTAGTATGCCAATCAATTAAGCAAGCAATTTGTTGAATTAAGGGTCTTGGGCCTTGAAAGATCTTCAAGAGTTTTTTGCATAAGTAAATTACTTGTAATAAACCAGCCATTGTTCCAGGTCTTTAGAAATTAATGATTTCATTGCTGCCTCTGCTGTAAACTCAATTGCAGGTTTTATCCTCGCCCAAACACCTACCCTAGCCTTAATCCTAACTTTATCTTTAAGTCTAACCTAAGATTTCTTCTCACACTAACCCTACATCCAATTTTAGCCCTAGCTTTAAACCTAAACCTGGTCTCATTTAGTGAACCACTGCACATCTTTTATTCACATTCACTCTATATTTCACACTAATTATGGTTGTTATCCAGTAATGCTGTATTCATACCCCTCACTTTGTTTCTGTGGTTGCAATTACACTATGAGTCCATGCCAATACAGTAGCCTTTTCTTGCATTTTGCTCTGAATACTCCTGGCATTTGGGTAAAAGCAAATAATTACCTGGTTCTCTGGCATTTTGATTTTCCCTTCGGTTCCCTGTTTGACTCTGCTCCTTGCACATCTCCTTTGCAGCTCCCCCTTAACAGACGTAACTAAAAGGTTTTTAAGAATGTCTATAGATCAATGGTTCCTAACCTCGCTCCAGCAGGAATACTTGAGTCTACCGGTTTTCCTTCCAGCTGAACTCTAAATTGCTAGTGCTAATTGACGACTTCATTGATCTGCTTGCTTGTTTACACTTTTATCTTGTTTCTTTGGTTGGTCCCGAGTGTCAAAAACATCCCGCTTCATGGGTACTGTTTCCAACAACTCCAATACACACTGCCTTTATGCTGCCTTTTCTCAACATTCTTGCACATACTGCTGGCTAAACAGTAGCATTTTATCCTACTGCAGAGGTTCAGTGGTTGTACTTCAGGCAAAACATCTGAATGAGGGCTGTTCTGGAAACTCAAGAATAGATAGAGGTTTGGTACCAAATACAAATCATACATGACCTTTTAAGAGCTAAAAGCAAATTTACAGATATGATCCAAATAGAAAACAGAAATCAACATCCCTGTAATTAAGAAGTCTAGTGGAGCAAAAAACAGAAAACTGTGCTCCTCCAGGACCAATGCTGTAGATCACTGTCCCAGGCATACTGATGGCAGCCTTATTCAGGTATGATCCGTTGAGTCTCTACAGATGCTTTATCCCGTTGAGAGGCTTCCAGAGGCAAAGAAAACTGAAAGCCAAAACACTGTCGATTCAGGCAATGACTTTCGGAACAAATACAGCATGTTGCAATATCTTTTAATTTGAGCACATCACGTCTTTAGGATTTTGTCATGAAAAAACCTTTATTTATTTTTTTATTTTAAATGTCCTTCTGTTAAAGTACAGCATATTTCGTTCTGTAGCTTAATACATACAGAATTAAAATATTAAATATCAAAAATCATCTTTTACACTTAAAGGTTTGTACTGTACATGGGAGAAATTAACATTTGTTGATAGATAACCCTACTCAAATATTAGAGTATGTGTCTCAGTGTTGTAAAAGTACTCTTTTACATTCAAATAGAGCAGAGTACATTCCTATTCCCCTGCCTAGTGTTGGAACAGTGAACCAGCAACACCATATTGATGCTTTTACTTAAGGAAAAGCAAATGAACCCGATAAACCCACTCTAAAATAAAATGAAACAATCTGTCAAGATGTCCTTCTGAGTTTTAAGCTTCAGAACTGCATCTCCCCAATCCTGATCCTGCAGTACTAGCTCTTCTGGTTTCATTCCAACCCACTTCTTAATCAATTAAGCTTATTGATCCCTAAATTGAACAATCTGATAAAACTTTTAACTGTTTTTGCACTCAGGACTCACTTTGACCAATACTCTCCTTTATGCTTCCAAGAAAAGTCATGACTAAAATCCTGTTTTGATTTGTGTTTAAAATGGTTGCACCCATGCTAATTGATGACTTTCATCTTTCTTTCTAAACCTCTCCTATAATCAGTTCACCATATGCAGAGTTCGAGATGACTCTATAAAACACTCTCAAGTGAGAATGTGTTCTAGATGTTGCGAGAGCTCACTAAGTAAATTTAACCAATAAAAAAAGGTGTGGCTGTGCAACTGTTTTTATGAGTCATCTTTGAAGTGCCTGAGAACACATTTTCTTTTTGACCACCAAAGCGGGTGAATTGTTCAATTACTCACTTCAATTAATCACAAACGCCAAAGAAGGGCAAGTTGGAAATTCTCCATGTAATTGAACCAGATAACATTCTAAACTGATCAAAACTGACTATTCCAAGAATTTGCAGATTGATCATTTATGGGTGCTCCATAAAACCTACTGGGCTTCTGCTGTAGCATTCTACCCACCAAAAGTGAGAGAAGAGCTGAAAACCCAGTATTTGGTAAAGGTTTTATCCATAATTTCAAACCCTGCTGTGCAAGAACTGAAACAGTTTTAAACTGCAAGTGAACAGTTTATTTTATTGACTTGACAAGCAAAGTTGATGGTAAACTAACATTTAGCTGGAATGAAACCTGGAAGACACGGGTGTACTCTCGTTTCAGTAAGTATAACAATCCCTGCTATTGATATTGGTCATATTAATAACCCACAATGATTTATGCTCTTATAGCTCTAATGTTGTTGAACTACTCAACACCACAGTAGTATCCTGCACACTACATGCTCAATGATTCCCAACTTGCATGCATGTTCAATATTGATACAGTAAAATACAGTGAAACTAAAATCTGCCAATTCTCACATACTGTACAGTAGATTATAAATCAAAAATGGTCCATTTTTTTTAAATTGATATACAGTAAATTATACTCTTAAATACTCTAAATACTAAAAAAATACTCTTATGCATACATTCATATCTATTTTGCCAACTGAAAACTTGATAATGCACAAACTTCAGATGTGATGATTAGTATTGTACAGGTTCCAGATACCAGCAAACCAAGAAGTTATGAAGTCAATAAAACATGAATATACTAGTAAGCAGATAAGAAAAAAACAACAGAAAATAGCTTTTAATGTTTACTACATCATTTTAATAAATAAAATCTAGATATTATAATGAGTATCTTTAACATATTTGGCATTGTTACAGTGTTTTGGCATTAATACAGTGTAGGGGAAAAAAAGTATATTTCCAGGCACTTCCCAAAATTACATTTTAGCTTTATAAAACACTTGATTTTTGATGAAAGTAAATCAGAGAGATCTTCTTGACCTTACAAAAAGCCTACAATTCTATAAGAGACCCTAAAATTCCACCATGAAAGATATACAGAAGAAATGTATCAGCGTTCTATACCATCAAGAAGTATAGGAAATGAAAGCTTTCAAATTCAGTCATTATTGATTTAATGTATTCATGACTTAAAATTGCTTTCTTACCATAAGAAGACCTATAGCCCAATGTCATTTCTTTACAATTTAGAAGAACAAATGTCCAAAAAGTGCATATGGTACACAGATTCAGTCCAGCTACTGCACTGAAGCTAATGTTGTAGCGTCAAGGCTGCCCTGCACTGTTGAAATATAGGAAAATTTATACATTAAATACAATCTTACCATTACACTACCATACAGAGCATTCTTGGCCTGGGCCATACAGAACACAGATATATCAGGGCTATTGTTTTAAAAGCTTACAAACTATTTCTGGTAGTACAGCTATAGTTACAAATTTCAACTTAAAAGCACTGCATATAACTGTTGATTTCTGTCCTGTATATGAACTTTTATTATTTTAAAAAAGGTTAAAAAGTGAAGAACCCATCTAAGTAACAATTAAAAAAAAAAATACAGTAGCAGACACCAGAAAACTGTGAGCAGCGTGGTAACGTAAACTCAATACAACTCTCCTCTCACACCATCTCAGAAGAAGCTCCCTGCCGTACACCATGCGGAAAGGCCCTAGAGTAGAAGAATAACTACAGCTGTACTACTGAGACACAGGTGATGTCCCCTCCCCCCAAGGTACATTAGCAACTGCATTTGCCCGTCTCCTGGGTTTTGTCCTCTGGAAGTCCATCCGCAGAGCTGTGGCCATTGGATCGCAACACCCCATCCGGAATCCAGGACTTGTCCACACACCGTTCCATCCGTTTCATGATGAGATCCAGCAGGACCTCCACCGCTTTGGCCACGTTCTGTCCGTTGGCCGCGCTCGTTTCAAAGTAAGGGATCCTGCGGGCGACATTTTCCAGAGCACAGTTCAGCTTTTTTTATATATATATATATTTACAATGAAGTCCCTGCAGCAAGGCAGCTGTATTCTGAGAAGCAACACTGCACACGATGGTGGTGTGCCATTTTGACAAATTCTTACTGTAGCTCAAAAAACACCGGCGCTAAAACTAGTCCGTCCATCCATTTTCTAACGCCTTTATCCAATTCAGCGTTGTGGGGGAGCCAGAGCCTATCCTGGCAAGCAACGGGTGCAAGGAGTGATACACCCTGGACGGGACGCCAGTCCATCACAGGGCGAACACAGACACACTCACACCAAGTCGAATTTTCCCAGAGTTCAGTTAACCGGAGCACCCAGAGAAAACCTACACGGACATGTGAAAACCTACACCCAAAACAAGTTACCAGGACCGTCAGATGTGCGGGGGCGCCCCCTTTCTGAGCAGAGGTTTAGCCATATTTCGTGGCACGATTTTATTGTTTCCATGAGAGTGATAGACAAGAACTCTGACATTAACAAATAATAATCAATCTTGATATTTATATTGGACTAACAGTTAATTAACTTTTGTCATTAATGGCTTTTGGTTAAATTTGAAACAGGATCTCTCATCACTTTCTTTCCATATCAATGATTGGCACATTTTTTTGTAAAACATTTGCCACTTCGCATTTCTTGTCGTGTCAATTATTTCCAGAAATCTAGCTCCAACTACCAATTAGAAAAATGTAGTTTAATTTAAATTTTAATTTATATACAAAGTGACATAGTAAATTCCTACCTATTCACAATAGCACATCTACAGTTTTACAGAGCTAATTACCTTTCTGAATCACACCCTTACATAATGTGAAGACCTCTGGGCAGAGTAAAGACACTGGCCTTTCCGTTCGTGTAACTGTCATTTCTCCTAGCGAACAGCTTTCATATTAGAAACTACGGCCAACTGGACTGATTGCATTTTAGTCACTTTGATTCCAGCTCCAAATATGGCACTGTTAATCGTATAAATCGCTGACTGGCAATTCAAATATGGCACCGATTAGTATACATCATACACAAAAGTCACCAGAATTTGATTCTTGGTTCATGTAATTCCACACCATAAAATGACATTTTTCAATGCAGCATTAAGATGCTTATCATGCTTTTAAGACTATACAACAGTATAAAACTGAAGGGGGTGCAAGTGAGGCAGGACTTCTCGTTTATGGCTCAAGCTCTGTGATTTTATCTCTCAGAAGCCCTGCTGATGAACTTACAGAGCAAGTGTCCCTGTTCAACATCTACCTTCCTTATTTAAGTACTGATAAACCCCTGTAGAAATTCCTTTAAATCACCCATTGCACACATCACTTTCTGAATCAAACCTCAGGAGATGTCTATGGCTCACAGCTTTTCCTACTGTAAAGAAAAAGAGGAAATCACACTGCAGTTTGTACATGCTTGTAGAACCGTGTTTTGCTCATAAAGCCCTTCTCTAAGTGTCATCTGTCTTGGGAATACAGTATCTAGACTGTCCTTCATCTGAAGGCAGGATTTTTTTTTCAGGTAAATGCCTGGCAACAAATGCATTACAAACATATGTGACATATGAGTCACCAAGTCAACCACAACAACTCAAGCTGTTTAATGGCCTTTATAGAAAAGTAAATGAACGTCACTGGAAAAACAGAAAATCCTCCTGTTTCAGCACAATGCCATGAGAGATCAAAAACAAACCTTTCTTTGGGAAACAGCCATGAGATATTTTTAAATAAGTGCTTTTTTTCCTCCACTTGAATGATGTCAGAATAGATAATCCAGTTTAAATTATCATAAATTATTTAAATTCAAAAGAACAAAACAGAACGTTTTTTGTAAATGTGGAATATGAAAGTAAAGAGTTCAGTTCAGAGAGATCAGTGATATTAAAGGTTTATTAAAGATTTTATGAAAGGATTTTACAGAATAGATTGCAATTGCAATAGATTGCAATAAATCTGTAAATAGATTACTAGTGAATAATGATTACTGTAGAGCAGTTAAGATGTTTTCTATACCAATGCGTGTCCTGAGTAGAATATATAATGTATAATAAAGTGCACAAGCAGCCAGACTTTCACTCTTATAGAGGCTTTTCTCCTTTCATTGCTCCTACAGATTTCAATGCTGCCACAATGCTACACTTCATGACAGCTTCCTCTTCCAGAGACCATTTTAAAATGTCAAGCTTGTCACTTTAAGCCAGCTCTCATCTTGGATGGCATTATCAAAGTAAATCAGAACGATAGGAAACTCGCACAATGTGTAGCAATATAAATGTGTCTTACTGGGTGCAGGTGTGGTGGTCTTTATGCAGAGTCCTAGGTTCATGTTCTGCGTGCAGTTTTTACCAATTGCTTCAGTTTCCTCCCATGTCCCAGAAACAATTAATTGGCAACTCTAAAATTGTTCCTTACTAGGTCAAGTAAATTTCATAAGTAACGGTATGTTTGCAGTACAGCCAATACTGGTTAGGTGTCTACAAAGAAGCAGAACCTAATGATCTTGAAGGCCATCTGATATGTTAACTTTCCAATTCCTGGTACCTATCCCTGGTGACAGGATTATAATACCCTGGACAGCACACTAGTCTGTCACAGTAAAATAAAAATACTTACAGAATGGGAAAAACAATCCTCTCTACAAATTTCAAGAATTTTAAATTGTGATTCTTGTCAAACAATAAAATACAGTACTCCTTCATTATACAAGCTTAATTCATTCCTCGAAAAGTGCTTTGTAGTTGAATACTCGTACAATGGAAATTAAATCCCCAATACTTTCCATTTTATAATCTCTGATTTGCTCCAGAACTAAAAACAAAATGTACCCAAACTTCATCTTAACACAATGCAAAACGGTACCCTAAGTATAAAAGTAATACCTCAATATTTATTCAAATAACATGTCATTGTTTTCCTCAGCTAAGGACATTTATAATTCTGCTCATTTACAGTACAGTAGTTATACATGTATAATTACAGGCATTAGCAAATGCATATAGTACAGGATAGTACCTAATGTTTATGCATTTCACACACAAGCCTTTATTACAAAAAAAAGCAAAAATGTAATAAAAAGATGCAAGAAAAGAAGAACTTTGTAAATGCTTTATGAAAGCCCAGCTTGTCCCAATAAAATCTACTTGTTAAATTTTTTGTTTTAAAAAGGTAGGAATCACTATAAGTCATATTAATGAAAACCTGTACAGCAAGGGATTACTGTAGTTTATAGGTTCACATGACAGATATGGATACTGAGAAGTTTTTTGTTCACTATTCTAGCATGTAGCTGAATGGACGCTGGAAGAGCAGACGCGAAGCTCTGTGCACAACACCATCAATGCCTTCTAACTGGAGGAAGCTACTGTATTCTGATTAAATCAAGCTAAAGTATGCATACAGAACTCAGGATTAACCCGAAGCACATTTACACACCTTATAATATTATAATGATTCAAATCGTCTACCATAAGATTCATGCTGGTATTCAAGTTTTGGCCATGAGAATAAGACAGACTACCTCAAACTAGTATACAGATGAAAGCATTTCATAGTTTAATAAATCCTTTTGAAAAGGGGATTACTGCAGAAGGTTTCAAGGCTCTTCGAAAGCAAACGCACTTTCCCTGTTTCTGGGCCTTGACACTCTAAATAAATGTTTCTCAGCTAAATAACCTCTACAGAAACAGACCACATCAGATAAATCAGACAGAACTCCTACCAAAGCCGTCACCATTATCAGTCACAGTTTGGTACAGTTAATTACTTTGACGGGTTGTCAGAATTTGAAATTTTGTTGTATTTGGGTATTGACTGAGCACTTTGACAGGGTTCTGAAATATGAGGAAAGAAGGGGCTTCCACATACTGCAATATGCAAAATAATAGATATAATATGAGAAAAATGAAAAGATGACTAAAACCGGAATGTCAGCTTTTCACCTCTTTCATTTTAAATGTGCTTTTTGCATACAGCAGTGTGCAAGAGAATTTCCTCTTCTTGAGGACTTGTCTGATCCTGCTACACACCTGAGGAGATTAGCTTTCCTTCTTATTTAAAAAGCAGGCTTTATTTGAACTGACAGGGAATGAAAAACTGCTGAACAGTGTGAGGTGTGTATTTCTAAATTTCAGAAATATTCTTTCCGTGCTAGTGTTCAAATATATCTATCTCTTCCCAACACAATGTTTTTTTTTACATAAGGAATAAAAGGAAGGTTGCCCAATACTGCCTGAGTCTCCTCAGGGCCTCATCATGAACCTATTCCAAAAACTACACAGAACTGTGCTGTGATTTTCTGCATGAATGCACACATGTAAAAGAATAAAAATTGAGACTTTGTTTTAGCATTAGCAAAACTGAGGTTACAATAGTACGTACCCATATTTTTCAGCAAGTTCTTGGGCTTCTTCTGCTTTCACTGCCCTCTGGTCTTCCAGATCACACTTATTACCACAGAGGACAATATCGGGGTTCTCACAGTATGCATGCATTTGCAACTGACCTGCACAAGCAGAAAGGTTGATGAGCTTCATGTGACTTTCTTTTTAATCTGTTTTAAAATACGCAATTAAAATCTCATCTGCCCGTTCTATTTTAGCTTTCTTTTAATACTGAGCTTGAAAATTAAACTGGTGGTCACTGAATTTCAGAAGCAATAAATGCATTTACTATGAAGGTCAAATATAAGTACGCTTTTAAGCAATAGGTGTTTTGGTCTGAGAAGCATGAGGCTAAGAAGTCCTGGTATCAAATTCTAGTTTAGCATATCAATTAACGAATGGGTTTAATATTATGTAATTACTCATGTACAACCACATATATACTGCCCTTATCACAAGTAACTATAAATAGATTTTTTTTTTCAAAACCATTATAGTCAAGTAACAAAAAACACTGTAGTTATAAAATCATTCAGGGTTCATCATTTAAAGAAAGACAAATACAAGTAGGATACACATTTTAAAAAAGCACATGAATATATATATATAGGCAATGAAACCTACTCATCCAGTTTCTGACATTGAGGAAACTCTGCTCATTAGTAAGATCAAACAGAAGGAGAAAGCCCATAGCGTCTCTGAAGAATGCTGTCGTTAGGCTACGAAATCTATAACAAAAAGGAGAATTTAATTCATGTTTGAACATCTTAACCCACAGAAGAATTAAAAAAAAAACACTTTGCAAAAGGAAAAGCAAAGAAAAAAATACTTCCCTTCTCAAACACACTTGTGAGTTAAAAACGTGGCACTGAGAGACAATGTTTTTCAGGAGTCACAAAAGGCCTAAGGCCTTTTCTGACACAGCCAAGGGGAAAACAAATTCACACACTCTTACGCACCTTTCTTGTCCAGCGGTGTCCCACAGCTGGATGTGTATCCTCTGCCCTCTTCCTGCAATCCCATCGGCACCATTCGACTTGTACACCTGTCAAGCACAGATATTTTTAAACTGAACCTTGAAACAATGGAAAAAAATATTGAAACTTAGTTTTATGGGACAAGTGACTCAACTGTCACTTCTCCCATTATACTAAAATATTTTAAAATGATTTCAGGCAAAAAGCTTAGTGCAACTCATCTCCAAAAGGCCAAATGATTAAGCCCTGTGTATTTGCATGAACTTTATCACCAGGGATGTAAAGGTTTCCACATGTGCTCTGCTTGGAACGTGCTATTATGTATGTATTATGACAGTAATTCTATAAAAAAGGCTTTATCTAGGTTTTTTTTACAAAGATCTGCAATAATTCTCCTTTCAAGTCATTACCTAAGCATGCTTGTGATTAAACACATTACACATTCAAATTTGGTTAAGTCATTTTCAATGTTTATCTTTCGGGAGTGTACAGAATAGCACAATTATTTTCTAATTTCCGTGAGGTAACTTCACAAACACTAGGCCCACCCATTCAATTTGCACCAAGCTTTGTAAAATCAATAAAAATGATATTCAAGGCTTTCTTTTCATTATTACCACCAATGCTTTATTCCAATAGGTAATTTTTCCCATTACAGGAAGACTAGCTTTCAGCTGCTGGTGAAGAAGGGATGAAATTCTATAGGTTGGATAAGCTGGGCAATTACAGCTTTCAAAGCAAAACTGAATGTCTGCAGGTTTCTTATTCTAATGCTTAAAATGAAAAAGACATTGCTACTTTTATGACTTAAAGATGGCAATTTACTTGTTTTTATTCTTGTTATTGCCTTAATTGGTTCATCTGATCTAAAGCCATGCTCGAATATTGACAGTGCTGTCCATAGTCCCTCAGTGTTAACCACACTGACCAACTGTTGTGCACCTCTCACCCCCAAGTAACACCTGGCTCTGAAGCACGTGCAAAGACTTTCCCACTCCAGTGACCCTGTGGGAATCTCCACAGATCAGTCTGACCCCCTGTATTCGAAGACTTCTACAAAGGCAGTGTGGAAGATGTGCATTCTGAACCTGGTCCATATGCCTCACAGAATCATGCCATGATCTATAAGTTATACTATAACTATATGAACAAGCAATTCAGCAAAAGTTAATTCCCTTGGATAATCTTTCTTATAAGTATATGAGAAACTTGTGAATCAACAGATTGAGGGTACAAGTGGAAGTTACAAGGAAAAGCATTTAACAGAAGACCCGTCTTTACAGAGAGAACACACCCACAGAGGGGTGTGGGTGTCTGGAACCAGGTGCCAAGCCATGTAGATGCAGCCTGGGAACCATCGGGAAACCACAGACAAGACAAACTACTAGAAACCTCACACACACAATGATTGAATCACCCTCCTCTCGTCTGTAACCCTTCCCATGTTCTTACGGGACCGTCAGGGAGAGATGCACACAGACTAGCCTCTGTGAATTGGCTTCATTACTCTGCTCTCCTCCCCACTGATAGCTGATGTGTGGTGAGCGTTCTGGCGCACTATGGCTGCCGTCGCATCATCCAGGTGGGGCTGCACATTGGTGGTGGTGGAGGGGAGTCCCCATTACCTGTAAAGCGCTTTGAGTGGAGTGTCCAGAAAAAGCGCTATATAAGTGTAAGCAATTATTATTATTATTATTATTAGACTACCGCATCACCACTCAGCTGATGTTCAGAAAGCTTGACAAGCCTCTAAATGAAATCAAATGTTAGCCCTCGGGCACAACGGGGAAAGCACTTCTGGACCCAACGTGAAAAAGTAAGAAAGCCCCTTCGTAGACTGGGTAATGTCTGCTGTGGAGAAGCGTTTCCATGTGTATCTTCAAGAGAGTGCAGAATTTGGAATACTTCCCACCAAACATATTCTACCATTTGTCATATGAAACCAGCACTCAGATGCAACATTTAAGCCACCAGTGACTATACTATAATGGTACAAGACGCTATCTTGACAAGCATTTTGTGGATTAAGTTGTCACTATCAATGTATTCATAGTTCTTTTAACTAGATTCCCTTGTTATTGGCTCAGAGTACTTAAACAGGGAGAATAAGGGCAACCAAGCAAGCAGACCAGTAGACTGTATCTTGTTGTTATGAAAGAAGCTTTGGTAGTTTCACCCAATACACATTTCATTTATAGCCAACACAGACACAAACATTAAATATCAGTTAGAGAAGAGAATATGCAAAAAGATGCAGCATCAAATAGCAATTATGCTTTGGAAATGCAAATCAGTAGGATTTGTAGGCTACTGACAAAACCAACACTTTTTTGCAGGAAAATGCATTCACAGTACTTGAAAGGAAAAGCCACAACTGTTGAGTTCTGCACGATGTGAGGGGACACTAAACAAAGGAAGTGACTATGATCCCACAAGATTTAGAAGTTGCCTAAATCATATGTTAAGATAACAGCCTTTTCACATTAAGTCACAAGATTTTTTAGAACTACATGGAAATCAAGTCCTGTTGCTGTTCACTTCATTGATGTTCGTGAATACAGTAGATTCTTGTGTCGATATTTCTACTTACCACTCTTTTTTCTCTGAAGTCAATCCCCACAGTTGTAATGAATTTGGAATTGAATTTTCCATCTGTGTACTGGTACAAGAAGCTGGTCTTTCCCACTCCAGAATCCCCCAGGGCTAAGAATTTGATGAGGTAATCATAGTCCCCATCAGACATAGTGAGAATTTATTTCTGACCTGTAAGACAGACAATATGGTCAGTAAAGTGATATGCATCCCCTTCACTGAAATGTACAGTGTTAGTCAATGTTGGGGGTTTAACCTCAGTTTTTTAAATCCAATTCCCTCTTTCAAACCAACTCACAATTCCTTTTTACAGTTACAGAAATTCTTAGAGGGAATTGTTTCTGAAAAAACTGGAATGACACCCCACTCTAAAAAAGGGTACGTCATAAGTGTACCACACAGGCAAAGTTTGTACTTCCATTCCGAGAAGGTCACAATACTCGGCCAAACTCACACATCCAACATCATTCTGTATCGCATGCATTTGGGAACAAAATCGAAGTCTTTCTGCAGACTAGCACTTTACAGGGAATGAGATGGAGCCTAGGAGACGTGATGAATAAGGACAGAGGAAATGTCGTCAGTAAATTACCCTCGAGTCAGAAATGTTTGCACATTTCAGTGGAATGGTCTTTTCACAATTAAAGGGGAAGGTGACACAAAATCCGAATGATCTTCATTTCATGCTGAACATGCAAGACATATCTAATGCAATGCAGGATGTGTAGCTCAAAATCGCTCATACAGCCAGGCTGTGTAATTCTACTTAAAATTGTGAACCAAATAAACAGAAGATTTCCAGCTATTAGCAAGTAAATACGCCTCAGAAGGTACTAGGGTGCAAATGCTCTTGACAGCACATTCAGTGAAGAATTTCTCAGAAGGAGAAGTGTTGTTAGCAGAATGAAGACTCCACAGCCATTAAGGCCAAGACTATCACCGACTCCATGTTCCTCCCCACAACAAGAAATACTCAGAATAAGAGAAGGTCAGGGCTCCAGGATCACCTTAACAAGAATGATTTTAAGAACACCCACTCAAACACAATGTAATTTCAATGAAAGCTCTGGCGATTCTTAAAAAATGAAACTCTCATGATCAAAAGGAAACAGCCAATAAGGAGATTCACGTACAGTTTTGCCCGGGATGAGTTTGATACGTCTGACACTTACAAAAAGACAATGAAGGGCACAAGTCAGGTGGCACTGGTAAATACATCCTCCAGCAAGAGCCACATGTTATTCTGCCATGACAGAGAACTCTTAACAGAACAGAAACTATGAAGAGAAAGACATCTCATTATTATGATGATAATTTTGTAACTGCACCCATTCATCACTTAATGCCACTGCAACAGCAATATTTTAGAAACAATGGCTATTTTTGTATTTATATGACATCATAAATATTTCATACAACTTTATCCCTGCATCAGCCCTTACAATGTGAAGCTCACTGCAATCCCAAAGCATGGAGCAGCCCTGGGCTGTATGCAAGAGACAAACTCCAGCCCTGGAAAGTAAACACAGATACACATCTGACACTCAGCGAACAAGCACTGCGTGATCCTGTAACCCACATCATATGACTACACCACGAGAAGGCATTCACACAAGTCCTGCATTCTTTCACATTTTACAAAAGCTAAATCCCATCCTAAGCTTAAGCAGCTTAAGGTCTGAAGCACAACAGTTTTCAGACTTTGTGCAACTGTTCTATTACCTTAAAGATAAAAACACTCTTAGCCCTGTAAAGCAATTCCACTGTCTACATAAAATTACTAGGTCAAAGAGAAAGGAATGGATAAATTCTCAACATGTACCCTTCCCAAAAGCACTGCAAGCTTGGGAATTTCTGATACTCATTTAATTAGACACTAAGGCTTGCGCATGCTTGGAGGATATAAAACCACAGAAGTGCATGATAAAGAATATGTTTATATCTCTTCACTGCACATATACAAGGTCTACCACAACAGAAGAAATTAATACCGGCTTCTTAAAATCGTCCATAAAAAATCAAGTTTGTTCTGTCCTTTTCCATTCTGTTTTATGGTGAGCTCACGCAGAGTTGTACAAACTCCTTATAACTTGCAAGATTAGCTTCAGTTATTCAAGTGAGAATCAAATGCAGTCAGGAGATGCTTATCATTTAAGGGCGTTTCTTCACTTATTCGGGTCAAGTCTAAGATAACCCACAGGAAGTGTACTGGGGAACATTATCAAAAGACGTATACAACTATTTTTTTTTTACATTACCACGCATACTTACATTTATTCGCACAGTTTCACTTGGTCAAGAAGGAATAGGTTCAGGAAGGTACTGTATGTACAGTATAAGCCCTTTCATGTTGTTTGGTTAGTGGGAGTGTGGAACAAGCTATCCAGCCTTGTTGTTGAAGCCGATACACTGGCTTCTTTCAAGAAAAAAAGCTGTTTGAAATCCTTGGACCAATTATCTACTATCCAGAGACTGAGTTGGATGGGCCTAATGGCCTCCTCCGATTTGTAACTATTCTTATTTTCTTAATCCAAGGAAATGTGGTTTTAACAAATACCTGTAGAAAGTTTGTAAAGGTTTTCTACCTTACATATGAAAACTTTACAGACTGGGAAAGGAATACAACAATACAGATGGACATAAGGAACACAATACAATTAGGAATCCAAACCTTCAATATTAGCATGGTCCACGGTGGATTACTTGCATGAAACATGGGCAGGTTTTTTTCAGCAACCAGCAACAAAACTGACTCTTCCTGTTCAAGACTATCATAAAGTGTGAAAAGATCCTCTGTGACACTGTGTTGCATGTCAGCATATTTTTCAATTTGTGTTCTTTACCACGTCTTGCTTCACACTTATCTTGGTAAAAAAAACATGCAAGAGCAACAGCTGCAACAAGAGTCAGACAAACTTGCAATCAAACCTTAAGCCATATCAAACTGTTGACTCCTTCTGCAGTTCCTCAGCAGAAAGCTCTTCCAAAATGCACCTCAAACAGGCACAAGGTATGTACAGAGAAAAAGCCCTGTGCTTGAGGTTTCATTCATTCCATGTCTGTTTAGTCATTAAGGAGGAGAAAACTGGAGCAAACAGGATAGATCTTTGATGCACTTAAAATGCAAATTATAAAAAACATCAATGTCAAACATCCATAACCAAGCTTGGTCTCCTATGCGACAGTATCTGAATTTGTTGGAAAGAAGAAATTAGAAGCAGGATAACCCCCCCCCCCCCCCCCCCCCCACACACACACAATCTTCTTGTAAGTTATAAGAAAAACAAAAATAATAAGAAAAACTATGCCATGCGCTCTGGGACTAATATACAGTATACAGTATTATCTTTGCTTTTAAACTTTTCTTTTTCTTCAAGTTCCAAACCAATTCCTCCACATTCGTCACAAGAATCCTTTACTATTGCCATCTGCATGCTCTCCAAACTAGGAACTGAAACATCAATGCAGGAAAACAAAAGCAGCATATGTCCTGCGTAGACCCAAGACTACACAGAAGAAGTACCTGGAATGCCTACATGTTTGCCCAGAACCGTGTGAAAATTCTGAAAACCGGATGACGGCAAACACTACAAATGAGAACTACAGGGATATCAGAGTGGAAGCACAGAATCGTGGTTTGGGATCTGGTATCATAACTGAGAGGTTCAGGATTCAAGTTGCTGTTATGAACAATGTACTCTAGATGTACCCTTGAGCAATGTACTTTACAATCGTCTACCAGCACTGTGAGGAATAACTCACTGGCACGCAGGTTACACTCTCAGGTGGGAACCAAGTTCAATTAACCTTAAAGAAATTAACTGAAACTCCAAAGACTGTTAAAGACTCCTGTGCGTTATTTTCTACGCCATGACTGCTCCCTCGAGAGGGATGATTAGATCGCTGCTTAGCCCTACCACACCACATCTGAAGTCACAAACCTAGCAACTCATTTATTAATCAGCTCCGTAATCTCAGAACAAGCCTGTTTAATACAGCTACTGCAGGAAGCACATGTATTGAATTATTAATCATCTGTGCATTATTGTAATGAACTCCACTCACTAGAAATTAACACAGAATGCCAACCTTTCGTGACTATCACTTTAAGGTGGGAATTAAACTTCCACGTTTTATCCCATAATACACAACTGTCCTCCTCCCTTGCTAAATATTTAGCAATGATCCTCCACCCTCTCAATGAGGCACACATGCTATATGTTATCAGGCTCCAGTTATCAGTACAATGCCACAGCACTGTAAAGCCACCGGCAAAGAAAGATTTATGATGACCGTCTTACTAATTGCATGAATGCACTTATTAATTTTTGTGACTATTTTCTGCCCAGTGATATACTAGTTGAAGAGATGCAGGCTGCTTATCTGTACATGTTATGCTACTGTATACTGCATTTCCATTAACAAGAATAGGAAAACTAAAGATGTACAGATCTTTGGAAAAGTTCAGCAAGCGTTAAATATGCACAACAATGCATTGCTCTAAGTGCTCCATTCCATAAAGGAATGGTGTTAGAATAGTAAAGTCACTCATTTTACTACTTTGCTGCATAGGTTATATCACATTCTGTTTTTAAATGATGCAACAAGAGCACTATACTCTATCATTCTGTAAGACTTTTTATAAAAATGTAAATGTGCCAAAGATTACCCAAAATGCAATGTACCAAAAATGTACCCTTTAATTTGAATTTCATACCCAGTTAGCAAAAAAACATCTGGCATTTCTTCATGCAATTTGCAAAACTATTGTAAAACAAATTAAGCATGCTTACCTCCACACTCACAAACAAATTGCCAGGACTAACAGAAGCACACTGATCCGTAGCTCTAATTTTCAGCTCCACCTAGTATGCACACAACATTCTGGACATACGTGGAATGCATTTACTGTTCGTTTCTCTGGGTGCTGGATGATAATTAGGAGTGGCTCTACTCACCTTAGGAAAGCTAGCTGGTCTGATGTCAATAGTGGTTTACCTTCTTTAAATGCTCTATGACACAGATGGTGACAAATTAAACGTGTACACCTGTCACCTTTAAAACAGTGTTATAATTTCACGAATGCATGATCACCTAGGAGGGTGCTGTGTTGCTGCCTTTCACCTCTGGGCTTCTGGTTTCAATTCCTGGGGTGCTATGTGTGTGGAGATTGTATTTGTTTCCCTGTGTTCACCTGGATTTCCTCCAGGTGCTCTGCCGTAGTCCACAGACATACTGTACTGGTAGGTTAACTGTATTCTGGGAAGACTTGCCTGTTTATACACATCTGAGTCCCTGTGTGCCCTGTGATCGACTGGCATCCCGATCAGGGTGCATCCCACCTTGCATTTGTTGCTTGCTCTATATGGAAGGAACAGCCTTACCTCCTAAAAACCCAGCTTGCACTTGAAAGAAATTTGTAATAGGAAAGACAAATGAATATAAACAACAGTATCTTGTTTTAGACTGTCATTATGACAGTCTGTGACTTACAGGAAACAACCACTAGAAGGGTCTTCTAAGAGCAGAAGGAATATTGCAAGGATAGTGAAGAGTTAGGTCTTCTCAGCAAGAGTGTTCCTGCTTACATGCCTTTACAAGAGATCAGATCTACTGCATTTACTCCTTGGCTGTTATGGTGAAAAAGAAGGTTTCAACAATACATCAGACTATCTGGTTATATTTCTTACTAAAAAAAACAACCTACACCTCACATTCAAAGAACAAAACATGTAGAAGTAAATATGAAAGGAAAATGGCTACATTAAGGATTGCAGATTTATTCAAACCCTCTGCTACGGCAAGCCTAAATAAAAGCACAAAATTACTAGTTGAGTGGCCTCCATTTGTGTGCAATAATAGTGTTTCTCGTGATTTTTATTTGTCTCTATGAGGTTCCTTGGTCAGGGAGTGAATTTCAAGCAAAGACTCATCGCATATCAGGACCTTCACGCTTGAAAGGAAAATGTCAATTAAAACTACGAACTTTACAATATTTCATTCTCTGTTTTCCTGATAAGTATTATCCATGCTGTGATCTGTACCCATGAACTCTAAAATAATATTTCTAGCATTGAATTCATACTTTTCTATAGTCCTTGTTTTATCACACAGTCCAATGTTCTCTGTGAAAAATAATGTGGAGGCTGAATTTTCCAGTATGAAAGTATGAGGCCTAGGTTACTCAAAGTCAGCAAAGGCACTAAGAAAAGCAAAAGCATAACTCTCCAGTTACTTAACAGCTTTGCACTGTGCCACTAAGATACAAGAACTCCTGTTGCCCCTTTGAGAATTCCATAGTCTTTGTTTCTAGAGCTTTCAAGAATTAAATTACAACAGGAAAGCTTCACCCAGAAGTGCACAATACTATATCTTTCCTAACTTGTCACCAGGCTATCGAGTCAGCTGCCCCCATCTCCAAGCAGTGCTGCACACAAAGCTCCAGGTTTTCAGCATTTGGGCTCCTCATTCTGTTTTTACAATGACACCAGTTGTTTCACCGTGATCGAATGTTCCTCCACAAGTAAGAGGAACATGAGTGATGGTTATGGCCTCTAAAATAAGAGGGGACCGAGAACAGTACAGGGGGGACTGGTACCAGAGTGTTGAAAATGGTTTTCTCACTGTAACTGTAATGACAAGCCACAGCTGCACACACAGTACTAGCAAACCCTGCTTTGCCTCATGAATGTTTCTGTCTGACACCATCATCAAAATGAAAGTCAAGCGGCACACAGCAGGGGAACTCTAACGTTTACAGTGGCAGCTTCAGCCCACAATGACAAAGGGAATATCTCATAAGGCCCTACTGTATATAAAATCATTCAAGTAAATCCATCCATCCGTTTCCTAACAGCTTTGTAAAAATTCAGGGTCACAGTGGAGCTGGGAGTCCAACCCGACAAGCAACAGGCACAAGGCTGGCTACACCCTGGACTTTAGTCTATTGCAGGGCACACAAACACAGACACACACTCGCACCAGGGGCAGTCTCCTCAAAAGCCAATTAACCTACCAGTCTGTCTATGGACAATAGGAGGAAACCCAAGCACCTAGAGGAACTGCATCATTATGCTACCCCATTAAACTAAACATTATTCAAAACTGTTTTTGTTTTCCCAGTAGGCTGCAAAGCAGCTCCTCCAGGAAAGTCCTGTCTGCAGCCCGGAATGTGCCCCATAAACTTGAAATGGCTGGTTCCAATGCGGACTACGCCCACTTGCCAAATGTGGATTATAGCCTCGCAAAGGCTGACTCAGAACTGGCCCAGGTGCCACGGGTCGAGACACAGAGGCCATAGTCCCATGACTGGGCTGCCGACTCATGTGTCAGGCTGATGCATGATTAACAATGAAAAACTGGTAGAGAAAGAAAGGGATACATAAGTTTCCTAAAAAAAAAGGTTTTGCTTTAGTTTTACGTTATCAAACTTTAATAAAATGGCAAAAATGTTTAGGCCTAAATATCATTCAGTATGATTTCTCCAGCTGCCAAACGCATAACCTGTTACTTTTCTGATAATCTACCTATCCATCTGCAGTATCGCTTCACCCTCAGGGGGGCGCTGATAGCCGGCACAGGGTGCAAGGTAACAACACACCCCGGATGGCACACACATGCATGACTACTACAGCACACCTCTAGATAAACAGAAGACCATTCAGTTTACAGACAGCGCACGTTTCAGTGACACACACTGTACCACAATATCTATAACTGAATTCAAGGGGATCTCAATGTACAGAAGCTGTAAGTTATATTTCATTTCTCAATATGTTTTTTTATTCTCCAAGATTTTTTTTAAATGAAAAAATCTAATTGTCTACACAAACATATACAGTATATTTACAAAACCTACATAAATGGGCTATGTTCTCAGGTCGCTCTGGTAAAAATGAACTATTAAATGTCAGGATCATTTTAAGAAAAACGTTACACCTCAATAGTCAGCAAGTCAGAAACTGGAGTCCATCTTAAAAGCAGGAACCTTTCTGCATTACAGAGGTATTTTTTATTAACAGCACACTTCAGTCGTTTGTGTTTGAAGGCTTTAGGTTGGCCAGTTGTTTTATTTTGACAACACTAGTCACTTTTACTAAATTCTAAATTGACCTAACAGCTCCTTAAGTCCAGTGTATACGTATTACACAAACTGCTATTACCACAGTTACAAGAGACTGTTGCTATAGCCAAAAACATGCAGTGCTACATTTTAAATAGAACAGAATTCTACCGCATCACTGTTAGTAAATACTTCCCAATGTTTGAAAATAATTATATTATTTACTGTATATAGAGAGACTTTTATCCATAGGAATCTTAAAACACTTTCGGTATAGGAAGGGAACATTCTCTGTCCACCTCTGAAGTGAATGACATTGCAAAGTCAATACATTAAATTTTAAATACAACAAAGGTATTTAAAAACCAAAATTCTTCACCTAGATCCAAATTTGTTATGTGAATAAATGCTGAAAATCAAGGATCAAGCGAAGATAAAAACATCTCATCTCCAGGTAGCCTGCCAACACCAGGCTTCTCAAGTGGAAGGAGAACCTTAGTAACAATTCGTGAAGTCACAATTCTGTAATTAAGGCGTCACGATTCTATTATTTAAAAACGGGTTTTCCAGCTGAACAAGTCAACGCAACACCCTAATGACCTACTACTACATTTAAGAGTAGTGCTCTTGAACAGAAGGCAGGATTAACCAATGAGGTGAATAAAGAGTTACACTGTGGATTTCACTGAGCACTGAAGTATCCACCCTGGGCAGCCGTCCAACACTGATGGCGCTTGTCCCTACAAAACAACTATGCGGATATGCAGAACCCAGTAAATTAAATAAATCTGGCCCAGCCGAAGTGTGGCGGAACTGATGGCATGAATAAAACTATTATCCTATTAAAACCTAGTTGAGAAACAAAACAATTTTGATATTTCAAAGCACTAACTTGTAGCTAACATTACTAAGGACTGGACATTTCTAAAAAACTAAAAAGGCTGAACTTGTTTAATGATTTGAGAGTTCCTGTACTCCAACCAACCTGCTTTGATTAGCTTGCCCAATAAACAAATCAGCCTCAAACGAGCTGTGAATTCCTGCTGTAGCATACTTTACAATTTGCTTTTAAACAGCAGACTACAGCAATCTGCCAATTACAATACTCTCAGAGTAGATGGGGATTTAACTCTTTTCCAGTTTTGGTAAAAATGTAAATTTGAAATACAGATAAAAGGGCTCATGTCCTGTAGCCAAGGTGATGAAAACTTACTCAAGCTGTGTACTCAATTCACCTTACACAGGAAGATAAACAGCTTTAGTTTCAAAATATTTACTGAATCGGTAATGTTTTCGAAAGTGTTTTTAGGTGTTATGTTAGAATCGACTTGGTATCCTGCATTATTGCTTTTAAGTAAAATGTTTTTACAAATAACTAACGTTTGTTACTTTTTAATTAAGTTTTAATGCTAAATTGATTGCTAGTGCACTGAAGGTTTCCTTACTTAGCATGCCTTAACGTATCAAGAGACAATGCCAACATGACGAAACATTTGATGTTAAACATCCGATTATCAGAGAGCACACACAAATTAAGGTTTAGCAGTTATTAAAATAAAGCCCCAAACAGATGTTAAATTTAATTTCTAAAAACAATCAAATGCTTGTATTTCAAGAATCCAACAGGGACAGGCACACTCAGTACACCTGACAACTAAACCCTTTAAAACACATTTGAACAGAATTCTAAAACTTCATTAATTGTTAAATGTAAAACATCCCTAAAGATAAGACTCTATCCATGCAAAATTGGTAGTTCCTACAACACCGTCCCAGTTCTGAACACAGACACTATAAAAATACTATATTTATGATGCATCTTGTAACAGAATTATATTGGGTATCAGCTAAAACAACATACCTTATAAGAACAACGAAAAAAACTAGATAGCTTCAATTTCCTGTAGAATTCTAATTCCTCATGCAACCCAATTAGTTTCCTCATTTAATTCATTCACAAGAAGTATCCACTTAGTGTTCTGTCAATAGAGCTGAATAAATTTGTATCAAATTTGTATCAAGTCAGAAGTTCCAGAAACAAATTATACTTAAAGACTCAAACCAATCACCACTGCCCTGCCACACACACAAAACAATTCCCAGAACTCACCAGTGGATTCTGCAACACACAATATCTGCATCTAATAACTATCAGCAGGCCCTCATGTGCTTTTTCTGTCCAGTCAGGTGACCACAGATATTTCACAAAGTCAAGGAACCAGTTCAATACGCATGTTTCCCACTGCACAGTCTCAATACACTGTGCAAGACAGTATTTTCTGGAACATTCCTTAGTTGAATAATGGGAATATTGTACACTAATCTGTTTGATTCAATGTAACATTTAAAAAAATATATTGCCCCGCTCAGTCAAACAAAGTTAGGTCTCAAGAAGCAACTGCACAGCTCTGCTCATTAACGTCTTAGACAGTGAATAAAAGCATATTTTGTTCTCTTAGCTGATAAATCAGGAATCTCATTAGAAGAGGACCAACTACTTTTTTCATTAACTATTTAAAAGACTTCAGAGAAAACACAATTTCACTTGAAGTAAATGAAAAAGACATTACTGAAAATATTTATTTGTCATGTAGGTCCTAAGACTGGCATTTACCCAGTGCTGCACAAAACAGTCTTATCTCTACTATAAAAACTATGAAGTAGTAAGTTAGTTAGTAGTACGTTCATCTGAAAGTAATGACACTTGTTAACACACCTGGAGACTCAACTGCCCATATCTGAGCAGGCATACCTCCAAAAGCAGTATTCAGGAAACATTTAGTTGAAATACTTGGTCTTCCTAGACTGTATCTGATTTTAGACTTACTAAAGTATTTATATTTTTTCTACTATAGACTACAGAAGAGGTCATATAAGAGAAGGAAATAAAAACTTCACAGGGAGTCATTAGTGCTGGATGGCCATAAGTGAGCTTTTGGGCTGTGGGAGATCACTTACAATTGATAATGCCAACATCTTTCTGGCAGTTACCAATATAGAAAATATAATTGTCTCTCCAAAGGCATTTGTGTTTTACACTATCAGTCTCCACACAGATATCCCCTTTTTAACACACTTAAGTTACAACAAGAGGGGGCTATCTAGTTCTTATGTTTGCTGTTAGGTGGCTGATCCAACAATGTCATCCGGTCTTCACTGGAAAGAAGCCCAGGATGCCAGCTTCTACATCATGAATCGTTCACTTTTTCTACATCTTTCAAAGTGTCTCCTGCTCTCAGTTTCAAAAAGCATCGCCCTGGAACTTCCACTTGCTCTTCTGCTTGACACTGACTACAAAGATACAGCTCTTCCTGCTAGCCAGCACAGCACATTTCTTTAAGCCCAGGAATGTGTATGGTCTTTGTTTTCTGGACTAATTCCAGAGTAGCAACCTTTTTTGTAACATGGTGACCAGTACCATGATAATATTCTAAGGTCTTCCTTATGCATTGTACAATTTTAAAATAACCCTTAATGTACATTCTACACTTCTGGTATTACACACATTCTATTTGTTCTTTTATTGCTTTGTCTAGACAAGCGCAATTCTTGTATTTACTGCCCAATATTGAATTTTATAGGTTTAATATTTATTTTTACTTCTTTTACTATGTTAGCTAATTTTGCTATTTTACAATAATCAGAATCTGGTTTTCTATCACTTCCACGACATAGGTGACCAATATAAATTGGAACAAGTAATAGGTTTATTCCATGCTGAAAAGAGAAGAAAGAAAACACAATGTTTCGGCCGTGGAGCCTTCTTCAGGTGTGAATATAAATTGGGATGAACATTGGTACTAATACAGATCCCTGTGGTACCCCACTAATTACATCAACCCAGTTTGGGCATTAATGCCTTCTCTCTAGTGAGTTTTCTAGCCACTAACCCGCTCAATCCAAAAACATACATTACCTTGGATGCCTATAACATGTAGTCTAAGATAAAGTTCTATGTAAAGGATAAATCAAAAATCCTTATGGAAATCCAAATTCCGTATTCGCTCACTGTTTTCCTCATGACCTGAATGTACTCAAACATCTAACAAGTTAGTTAAGCAGGACTGACCTTCTCTAACTCCATGTTGACTATCCCCTAGAATCTCATTACCATATAGATGTTCCTTTGGTTTAATTGGTCTATAACTCCTTAGATCAATTCCGTCCATTTAAATGTGGGTGCAAGAAATGCACTCTTTCACTCACTTTTTACAATCCTTTCAGGTACCCCCTTGAGTAACTTGTTTGAGACCTTTAACAGATATCATTGTCCAGACTCAGAAGAACACAAGGTGAAGTTAGGTACCATCCATCCATTTTCAAACCACTTCTTCCAGTTCAGGATCACAGGGGAGCCAATTATCTGACCAAATATGATAAACTTCCCCAATGAAACCTGAATAGTGGTATTCATCACCGGTGCCTGATATTTAATCATCTATATCCACCATCATCCAGGTGGGTGCTGCACATTGGTGGTGGTGGAGGGGAGTCCCCATTACCTGTAAAGTGCTTTGAGTGGAGTGTCCAGAAAAGCACTATATAAGTGTAAGCAATTAAATTAAATTAAATTCATCTGGCTGCACAGCAATAAATTCAGAATATTCAAAGTTAGGAAGTTTTGCTGCTGCTACATGATTGATGTGAGTGTATTGTAACCTTAATCTTATGAAATCTGCCTAGTGAGTGTCTCAATGCACTGTAGCAGTGTCTTGCACAACACGCTTTCACTGACATGTAATCAAGCACAAGAAAGCTCACAGTACATGCTGTTTTGAGGCCTGAAAATAAGTAGAAGTTTTTTACTAGCTTCTCGTACACACTAAATGTGGAGTATTAGAAGAAATCTTCATCCCCCCAAAAAAACTTTCAAACCACAGTGAATGAAACTGGATTGGATTAGAAAAACCCGATCAAGGAAAAGGGTATCAGGCAAACAAATTTCATAATGGAGCACATAAGTTCTGCTCATTCTATCCTTTTTTCAGTTCATACAGTATCACATGCCTCCGGGAAGCAAAGCCTGAAGCCTTACCTTCAGTTTTTTTTAAATAAAAGCTCCAGCTGTCCTAGAGTTGGATACCATCTCTTGTATCATCTTGCAGATACAAACACACCATTCAAGTTCAACAGGACAATAAAAAATTTACAGCCTTCACTGATAAGCCTTTCACAAATGCAAAACCCCAGCAGCTGCACTGCGACAGGTGAACAAGTCGCACAAAATACTCTGGCAAAGGCAGGAAGCCGCCTCTGGTTTGTTTCTCCCCAGCCATGCATCCAGTCCTCATCCTGGTGGCCTGGTGTGTCTGCAGGTTTACAAGATCACTTTAAAGCACCAGCACCTGAAGAGCTGGGAGAAGCAGTTAAATGGGTCCAGTTGAGCTGGTAACCAGCTGGATTCTATCATTAAGATAATTCATTTGAAACTGGAATGACAACCTGAGGGTACATTTGCCCGCCAGGACCAGGACTGGAGTCCCAGGGTACTGCTCCATCAGATGCTTTTGTCTGATAAGTAATGGGTCAGATTATGCCCAATGCAGTGAGCGGACAAACCTGGTGACAGGAGTAAATTCAGAAAAATCAACAAGGCAGATAAACAGAAGAAAGCAAGCTAACTGGAGAACAGTTGGGGGAATTCTGTTATAAAAAAGCTGGTTTTCTGCTTACAATATCTAATTATTATTAATCCCACATTGCTTATTAAATGTGATGAGCACTTTCTTGATCATTTAAAAGATGGAGATGCAGGGATGAAGTGAAACTGTCCATTTCTTAAACTAATCGATTCATGTAACTACAGGAGTACAGCTTGCTGGCTTTTAATGCACGAATTGAGAACATTCAACTTGGAAAAGAAATGATTAACTACACAGATTGAGTAGTGCTGTGTACCACAGAGCTAATGACAAAGAATTAATACCGGGTTATTAGGCTGTGGAGAAACTGGAGAACGTTTACTGTTTAAAGATAATAGATGACAAAACACGTCAAACACACCCTGGCGTGGTGCTGCAGACCACATTTTACACAGAAGTGGAGCAGAGAAAAAAAACGTCAAAATAAAAGTTGAGCTGTAAAAAAACATACTACTCTGCGGGCAAAAAAAAAGAGTAACTGGCTGATCATTAAAAACCAGACGTCAGCTAATGAGAAGGAAAATGCTTATTTTCAATTGATTAGGTTACAGCAGACATTCCACATATTGAGGCCCTGGTAACCGGTAAAAACAGAAAACCTTTGTCTTTCTTTAAAACGACCCCAAACCAAACCCAACTGTAAAAATGTATAATAACCACCTCTTTGTTAAATTGATTTTGGAACACTGTGTCGTCTCTGATAATAAACTCAGAAATTAAAGTAGGTCTGCATTTTACAGACGGTGTGGGATTTTCTGTAAGAGACCATCGGTTTCAACCATTAAACACATTGAGAGAAGCTAAAACTAACGTGAATTTGGCAGGGCGTGTGGTCCTGAAATTGACTACGTGTTGCCCGCAAAGCAAATATAGTTTTGGTGGACATAAATTGCGTTTAATACCTTGGACATTTCCAAGCTGTGACCGTGCGTAGTATCTCGCACATGCCGGGGTGCTGTCTGCAATCCCACCTCTCTCTCCTTCCCTCCCTCCGCGATTTCCAAGCCATGAGCAACATAAGATGCACGACTTATGAAAAGTTAACTTTCTTAACGACGCGATAAACTAAACAGTGCATGGACACAATATTCGCAACTAAAGAAATACAGTCGCTGCTTCTATATTTAAGTGCTTTTAAATCCTACCACAAAAGGACAAACTACTGATAAAAGTGAACTTACCAACGGCGTCAATTGGTTGTCGTTCGCAGCAACCTAAGCGTGAGCAAAACACACAAAAACAATCGGGTAGTGCTCCTTGAACGGTTCAATTGCCCAACTTAATCGTTTTTTCCCTTTTAGGTAGTAGCTAAACTTGCCTTTTTCCGTCAATGTAACATCACTTCCCGTAAGAGCAGCCCCTCCTTCTGAGAGTACTTAAACCAGGATGAACAGAACTCGGTGCGCACCTTCTTTATTGCAGATGAAGTTGATCTCGGAAAACTATAGCCATTTAACCCGAGGGGCCTTGGTGAGGGGAGATGTGAGCAAGCACTGAAAACAACGCACCGCGTACTGTAGTTGTATTTTCTTTACGCTGTCTTTTTTATTTCCTGTTTTTGCAATTGTTGCACCTTTTGTCCAATTCATGTTTAAACACCTTTCATATTTTTTAATAGGCTCAATCTAATGACTGTGTGTAGCAGCCATTCAGGAAAGATGCAAAAAGAGAAAAGCATCATTAAGTGTTTTTATGCCATAACGCTTATAAAGGTCGTGAACACAAAATTGATTTCATGGTTTAAAAACCTAGATGGAGGACTCTTGCAGTACAGCTTTTGGATTCTGTAATACGTTATAATTAATTTAACGTTTTAACCAGGTGAATACTCAGAATGTACGTTTTGTTTTTCTAAAAATCATAGCGGCCAACTGTCGCGTTATTTTCAGTCTGAGATACTAGGTTTGGATTAGATTAATTCCGTTTTACAAATGATCTAAACTATTTAACATGAAAGGATAGGGTAAAACCTTAACCTGTAGCAAACTAAATGATAACGCTTTGTTTTTAATTTAATTTACAGTGCCATCTATAGGTACTAAATAAAACTGCCTTACAAACACGCTTCTTTTAATATCAAACGTTTATAATCTGCCACGTAGAAACAAGGTTAATATTTTTCTCACGTGGTACTAGAGAAAAATAAACTGTATAACTCCATTGTTTTGGATAAACACATACTATAAAATACCCAAATATGATAACCCAAAAAAAATTCAGATAAACGTTAGATGAAACAAACATTTGCAATTTACTGGTGTAACACTGGACAATAAAAAAATCAATCATTTATTCTACATAAGAGAGGAAGATTTGAAGATCTGAATTTTAAATTGATGTATTTTCTGTTCCACAGTTTTCATATTCGTATAAAAAGCGCTTTATTTTTCACATGCACATTTAGTTTTCTTTCGTGGCTCTCCTTGTTCGCCTGATAGATTCTGCTCGTCTTCCTCCTTCTTGCCTGACTTCTGATATTTGACATACTTCTCGTAGATGGGTTTGTACACGTACAGTCCTCCGGCAAATCCAACAACGGTGGCCATCGCTATCTGAGAAAAAGGTAGCCTTCTGAAAACCATCCCCGCGAATACCGTTCTCCTCAATGTACTTTTTCCCCACCGATGTTCAGGATGACACGTCAGTTTGGAGTCCCGATCAAGTCCTAGAGAAAACGAAGACAACATCGAAATTAAGAGGAGTTATGGCTATGTTATATTTTTTACATACAATGAATGTCAAATTCAAGTTTTCGTCTTAGTCTAATATACATTTCATTTAAAACCGTTTAAAGCACAGGTGATTTAGTAAACAAAAATGTTCTTTATTCCTTAAAGAAAAGAATGATGTGTTTGTAACTAGCATTTCAGAATGTCACATTGTCATTGACAGCTATCAAGCTAGCTACAACTGTAATAAAAGGAACATGTTGCATTGAAGTATATCCTCATGACAATACTCATAATTTACTCCTACTTATATTCCGGTTAATACATAAACAACTATTTCTACAAAACACACCTGCTTTTAAAAGTCACTCCTAAACCTAGCAGCGTGAAACAAGCCTGCTACTTTTCCAAACCTACTGCAAACACTTCCGGTTGTTAGAAGAGAAGTGTACGGTGTAGCAAAGAGGACAAACTACTTGTATTTTTCAGAAATGTTCTTCTTTTCTGTCATCACGTTCATTCATTGTGCCGAAACGCTGCAGACGTAACCAGGCAGTTTTGGGATGAGTCATTTTATTGATCTGTTAAATAAGTGCAAATTATATTATTTAAACGCAAAATGCAAGAGGTCCTCGACTGAACTTTCCGACTGCCTCCCTCCCGTCCCGATGTGTCGTCATCGGTCCTGTCTAAACACGGAAGAAGTAGAACAAATAGAAATACAGATGTTTTTTCACTCCGCTAAAGCGATGTAGTTATTGCATACTGTCAGCGAACTGTGTTTATGAAGAAATGGAAAGAATTAGGGCCAGACTGTCTCTAAACAGAAAATCGGCACTCTCTGTGCCTGTTAAGCTCAGGAAAAGAAAATCAAAACTATATAGCAAAGAGGACGCGCATGTCCAGTTTCAGAATGGTAAGATCATCAATAGGTTGTTTTTCTACTGTAGATGGAATAAACAGTCACTGTTGTAGTTTTTATACAAGAAATAGTCAAAATAGGAACAGTTTAACTCAAGACATAGCACTACAGTCTATAGTATAATTGTGGGTCAACTAATACCGACTGCATAATAATAATGCTGAAAAGGTTTGCTCCGTTAATCATACACACCCACCCTACGTTTTTCCAATAAGATTATTGTAAAGTCATCTCACCAAGTATTTTGTCTTTTTTCCTAAGGTTTATTTGGAGTCGGTATCAATGTGACCCTCTTTATTGTGGCATATCGCCTTGTTAACTGCCTGCTGGTCCAGTCAAGCTTTGTTCCCGATGAATACTGGCAGTCTCTTGAAGTTGCACACCAGCTGGTTTTCAAGTATCCTTAAAGAGTGCAGTGTTGCTCGCGAATTATATCTGATGAAGTCAGCTGTAGAATTAAGCGAAGTAAAAAGTAGCCACGGGTTTGATTGATCGATGACTAATTGTAGACGTCGTTTTAGAAACTTGGTTTGGGTTAGTGTCTGATATACTTGAGGAGAAAACTTAAAAACTAATTCAAATGGCTTTGGTGCTCTTCATCTGTCGTATTTTTTTAATGTAATAATCTGGATTGACCTATAATTTAAACAGCAGTGTTAACTAAAACCATCGTTTTTTAATCTGCCAGGAGAGAAGTCATACTATATGCGATGTGTTTTTAGAAGTCCTTAATATCGTCAGATATGGATACCTATCATGGGAATGGACTGAAGGAATAAGAAGCTACTTGTACCCTCTCTTCTTTGCATCCATTTATAAAATTTTGCATTTTCTAAACTACGACACGGTTCAGCTGTTGGTAAGGTGATACAAGTTTCAACTGACCTGGACAATCCGCGTTCTTTATCACAGAGAGTGATCAGTGTGCATCAGATGTTAAGTGAAATTGGCTAAATCTCATCTTTACTGGTTTATTTTAAAATGTAAACATTCTTATGCATTTCATTGTGTATCCCAATATCAGACTCCCCCTAAATTCCAAACTATTTGAGGTACAATTAAAAAAAAAACATTTCATAATGTTCTTTCACAATCTAATTATCAACCAGGAGTTTTTATTCCAAACTGTAGAATTTAGAAGTGATTTTCCAACTTGGATGAACTTTCAAACTTCATACACAAAAGTTTTTTCCCCAAGGAAAATTCACCCTGGTGTGAATGCGTGTGCGTCCGTGTCTGTGTCTGTGTGTGCCCTGCGATGGACTGGTGTCCTGTCCAGGGTGTACCCTGCCTTGTGCCCACTGCTTGCTGGGATTGGCTCTGGCTCCCCCATAACCCTGAACTGGGAGAAGCGGTTTCGAAAATGGATGGGTGGATGAATGGACTCAACTTTGTCATTGAAACTATGGCATGTCCAGAGCATGCATGTGTTACAGGGTTCTGAGTCTCTTTGTGTCTGGGTATACCTGCAGGTGTGGTTGCCACGTCTGGCACATGCCTTTTTGGCAGCACTGGCAGACATAAAGCTGTACTCCCTGATCAGAGGACTGGAGCATTCGGGAGTGGCCAGATGGGTGGTAAGAAAGGATCTATTCATGCACAAAACTCAAAATTAAAACAGTGTTCATATTGAGGAACCACAAAAGTCAGTCTTCCTTTCTGCACTGTGGAAGCAATGGAGAAATTTAAATATTGCAGAAGAGACAAATGATTTAATAGTGGGGGTAATTTTTTTTTGGGGGGGCGGGACTGTTTGTGTTTCTCCTCCTACAGTTTGTCTCGCAGCTCTGCTCTTGGTTCACATGGTACTGCTGTACACGGACCCTCACAAACACTGTGGAGACCGTCCTCACCACACTGGCCCTCCACTATTACCCTCTCCACGGCTCAAAAGTGCAGGACAGGTCAGGCATGTTTCAGTTCATATTGGTCCTCCGATCCAAACTCCAGAGCACTAAAAACACAATCGGACAAAACTGTTGTAGCCAGAAATGCCGCTTGCATGTGTATAATATTATTTTACATTCTTTTCAGTTCAAAATACTTGGGTCTGGTGGCGTTGGCAGTCATAATTCGTCCTACTGCTCTTATTGTGTGGCTGCCTTTGTTGGGATATCATTTCTTGAGAGAAGATGATAAACTGAATCTTGTAACACACCGTGTCTTGCCTGTAGGGTGAGTACATATGTACATGTACAATCAGATACAATCTTACATACTGTATCACTACGAGCCTAACATAATGGCACGTGTATTTAATTTCTTTCCTTCTCTTTGCAGGGTTCTGACTCTTGGGATTTCTACAGTAATTGATTGTATATTTTATGGCAAGGTAAAAAGTGATTTTCAGTTCATGTGCTTTGCCTGCTAAACCTCAGAGTGCAGCACTGCATTATTTCAGTGTACCTTCAGTCATTATTGATTTTCCCTTTCCCCCACAGTGGACCCTGGTCCAGCTAAACTTCCTGAAGTTTAATGTGTTTCACAATGTGGCAGAGTTTTACGGGTCTCATCCCTGGCACTGGTACCTGACACAAGGATTCCCAGTTGTTCTAGGCCCACACCTCCCTTTCTTCCTTCATGGATGTACATTGGCTCCACAGCGATACAGAATATTGCTGGTAACAGTCATCTGGACAATATTGGTTTACAGGTAGGAGTCTAGCCAATGAGGAAATTATGAACCTGAACTTTTAGGATTTTAGAAAGGCTGACTTCTCATCATTGTCTGCTCCACATGAAGCATTTTGTTTGTACGTATATAAATGCGTTCTAGCATATTTGAATCGCTAATTGAATGACTATCGTTGATCTGCACCTCTTTGTCATAAATAATGGGAGGACATCTTCCTACTGCCTGTCAGGTTAGGGCTAAGTAAGAGTTTTCATTTCATTGCTTCATATAAACAGCTGCTGTAATTCTATTTTGCTTGTTTACAGCTTGCTGGGACACAAGGAGTTCAGGTTCATTTATCCCGTGCTACCCTTGTGCATGGTGTTTTGTGGTAAGTGTTGTACCTTACCAGGCCAAAAGAATCCAACCTGCAATGCCACCAAAATATACTGGAACACAAGAGGAAATCATGAGCTTTTAAATTGGGATCTGAGGCTTTGGGATCTTAAATTACAAGACAGATTTCGAGAAGGAGCCTAGTTAGTGGCGCTGTTCATAATGTAATAATCAGCCATTCTTGAAAGGGTTATTGTTTGTCTTACTGTAGCAAACTGTGTGTGTGCTGGCTTGATTCTTTAAATTTTAAGTCATGTCCGAGAACTGCAGTAGATCAAGGTAATTTAAGTGTGCTTTCTGTGTCCTTTAAGGCTTTTCTTTGGCAAGCCTGAAAGCCTGGAAGAGGCCAGCAGTGTGTTTACTGTTCCTGTCAAACCTCCTGCCAGCTCTGTACACAGGACTCATTCATCAGCGTGGGAGCCTGGATGTCATGAGCCATATTCAGCCTCTCTGTGAGGGCAAGTACTCCTCTTCCACACCTGAGCCCTTTGTGTACTTCCTGATGCCCTGCCACTCCACTCCATTCTACAGGTAACCTGCCTTCCAGCCAAGTGAGCCATTAGGTTCCGTAGAGTTCTTTGCCTACAAGCAAACTCTTGCAATCCTGTGAAGTAGAGTTACAGTACTTCAACTTCACTACACATTCAGTTTGAACTGTACTCTTAATTTGCAAAGTAAGAAAGTGTAGAGGAAAGCATAATTCTACCATGCAAAGGAACAAGTAATAGGTTTATTCCATGCTGAAAAAAAGAAGAAAGAGGACACAACGTTTCGGCCGTGGAGCCTTCTTCAGGTGTCACCTGAAGAAGGCTCCACGGCCGAAACGTTGTGTCCTCTTTCTTCTTTTTTTCAGCATGGAATAAACCTATTACTTGTTCCTTTGCAGCCTACGCATGCTGACGCAGCTACCCACCTGAACTATAATTCTACCATAACCATAATCTGTCTGAATTTATTCGTCTAATATCATTTATTTGAAAAGGCTCTCAGGCTTTAAGTTCTATGATCAGAGGAGAGGTTAAGTTGATTCAGATGTTTTGAGTTTGAGCCTGTGTCACATATGTAACCAACTGAGCAAGATTCCCCAAGCAGCAATGCACATCTTGCTCAGTGCTGCTTGGAGCAAGGCTGAAATTTGCAAGTCAAGGGTTTTCTCAGCCCCAGGCAAAACAAATATTGACCTCCGCAACTTCCTACTGTAAGTGCTTGCAGCATTGTGATGATGTCAGCACTGAACCTCCTGTATATGGTTACGCAGGTTGTAGCATGTCAACAGGTACTGTAGGGGGTTCTAATGAGTGGGTAGGTTGGTGGAACCTATCAGAAATTATTAATTCTCCTAGCGTGGGTACAGGATTTTCTAAAAATTAGCTAAAAAAATCGACAGTTTCAAACTGGGTAGGCATATTCCAATAAAACAAAATTGCTGGTTGACACTGCTGGCTCAAAGTTGTTGGATCCTGACTTCTGTTCTAGAAGGGGATACCTTCTGCATGGAGGTTCTCCTGTGTACATGCAGGTTTCCACTTGGTGATCAGTTCATTTTCCACCAAATGCATGAAGAAATGCTTACCATGTTAAAATGTGTCTTTAAATTGTCCCCTGTGTGTATATATGTCCTGTAATGGGTTGGGCATGTGTGTGCCCTATGCTTCCACGATGGGCTCTGTGTTGCCACAGCCTTTACAGGGAATAAGCAGTTTTCTTTAAATAGATGTATTGCAGGTAGTAATATACCTCGGTTTGGCTCAATCTATTTCAGTCATATCCACTGCCCTATAAAAATGCAAATTCTGCAATGTCCACCAGACCTGACTGGAAATAAAAGTTATGTGGATGAGGCAGATTTATTCTTTGCTGACCCAGAAGGCTGGCTGAAAACTGCTTTTCACAACGAGGCCTCACTGCCTTCCCATCTGGTGTTTTTTGATGTCTTGACAAAGGTAGGAGACATACCATTTCATCTTAAACAGAATGATCAGGTCTGCAGATTCAATATCTCAGTTTTACACAACTGTGTACAGATGATAAACGGGAGGAGGAGCTGTAGCCCTTCCGTGCATGACCTTAGGACTTATTTAACAAACTGGAATTGATCATTTACTTGCCAATTTAAAATTAATATGGAAATCTGATTTAGATGGTCAATGAAGTTTAAATATTTAGTCTAACATTAGTGGCATCTATGCCTTGAATTGATCAAGAAAAACACAGTTTGTAGACCAATGTACTTATTTACCTTATTCTGATGGTTTTACACTGAAATTTGTGTTTGAAAGTGTTTAAACAAACTACAGATTTATGTGTATGTGGTGCTTCAAAATCTGTACCGCACAGGTCTGCTAAAAACACAGGAAAAAAAGAAAGGCCTTCCCCATTCAAAGAAATACACAAAATAATTACTATAATTGCTTTTTGTAGGCATAAAAATAATAAATACTTGTCATTATGTCATGCAAATATCCCGTCAGTGACGGATCACATGGGGAGACAATTTAGGATTAATTTCTTGGGCAGTTCACACCGCTTGAATACAGGTGTTGCTTTTTAATGGAATTTTATTTAGTCGTGAGATGAATCGTGAGGTTTTTACATTGGTTTTTCCTATTGGCGGCATGGTGGGACAGTGGTTAGCATTGCTGCCTGGTTGTACTAGGGCCCTCAGTACAATTTCAGAGCTGGGGTACTATCTGTGTGGAGTCTGTATGTTTCCCCCCATGTTCACATGGATTTCCTCCAGCTGTTCTGGTTTCCTACCACAATCCTAAAACGCACTGGTAGGTTAACTGGGAAAACTGACGTGTACATGTGTGTGTGTGCGCGTGACCCATCCAGGGTGTACTATGCCTTGATCCTGTTAGTTGCCAGGATAGGCTCTGGATCCCCTGCACTGCGGATAAAGGGTCAGATAAAGAGGTTAGAAAAATGGATGGATGTATTTTTTTCCCCCCCATTTTCCAGGAAATTTCTTCATTTTTGGAAGTAAAGCAATATGTGAAAAAGACAGAGGTTTTTCACACTCACGTTCCTGAAGGTCGTGTTGGAAGAAACATCTGTGTATATGAAAGAGAAAGACTGTGAACAGATTCCTGGACACCTGCTGCTGTGACTGCAGCGTGGGATCCCACTTACCACGAGAGACAATTTCATCTTTTTCCAAGGGGTAGATACTATTATTTTTGTACATTATGTAAACTAAGAACTATTTTTGACAAGATGTATAGTTTGCTTTTTTTCCCTTGTCAACAGTTGTAGATGCAATGCTTAAAATAAAGGGATAATAAACAAAAAGCATTTGTCAAGATGGTGGCCTAGAAAAAGTATTGCACTTTAATGGATTTTCACAAATTTAATTGCAATCACTAAACTTAACTATTCTTAATTTATGAGAATTGTTTAGAGCCTTATGCTGCATGATAGTGTTGTGTAAAATATGCAGTTCATAAACTGCTATACTACAAATAAATTAAATTACACACAATTTCTTAAAACATATCATTTTAAGTCAATTACCTTATTCACATATATGCCACAAAAATACAACACCAACAAACCCTTCATCTTTTTATTAGGTCATTTTGTGAAGTGCATTCTATTTCACCAGCATGACAGCAAAGACAGACCAGTTCTGTTCACTTAAGGAGCTTACTAAAACTACACTTGGAATGTTACTGAAAACAAAAATTGCAAAATTTAATCTTTCACAACAGATCACTATACATCAGAGGCAAAAGAATTTCAATTAAGACCCCGCCCCCACCCCAAAATGAACTTTGGTAGTTTAACTCAAGATGTATCTAATGTTTTTGAAATACAGCAGCAAATGGCAAAATCAGCCCAATGTGACAAAGTTTTCACGTAATAGTGCAAGTACCTTAAGATCACCCAATCACAGGTAAAATCTTCACTGCATTTTACTTCAGAATAAGCCAGCGTATACTACACTTTTTATTCTCTTTCTTCCTCTTTTATTAATTTAACTGTTTTTGGTCCTAAATAGAGATTAAGGGCTTTAATGCAGTAGATTTTAGAAGATCAATTTAGTAATTGAGGTTTCTGGTGAACAGAAGCTAGCAGGCTGTGCAGCTCACCAGACTTGTTTTACACAGTAAAAAAGAAGCGGCCAGTGACATCGCCTTGTCCCACAAGACCCCTGATCAGATAGGAAATCCATCAAGTGGCCTGTCCCGAGTGTGCGCCTCGCCCCCAATTGTTTTCAGTGCTTCTTTTCCAACCACCAACCTTCCTTTGAACAGTAGCTATCAGTCACTGATCCCAATTCAGTGAAAATTTTTCATCGCCTTCACGGAGGCTGATGATTTCGCATAGGCCTGATGATTTGAAGTATCACAGTTGTGATCGTTGCATGCTACTAGATCTCTATTTTCCAGAATGGAATAATGGAAAACTTGACGGAGCATCCCATTTAACAGCCCAAAACTATAAAAAAAACCCACTCCAGGCTCAAGTGTGGGGCTGCAGGATGGACATGAGGCGAAGCAGTCACTAGCTGGGATGCTAAGTGAAAAACAGCTTGCCCTTTTTGCAGAATTACAGGTTTAGTGTTATAATTGGGAAACAGAATAAGGTTACAGTGAGTAGAAAGGGATGCCATGTGATTCAAAAACAACCACTGAAAACTAAAAGCCCTACCCATTCCATTAGAGAAAACTAGAAATATGCTATAGCCATTCCCAACACTATAAATAATGAAAACTTGTCACCGCAAACCCCACAAGTTTCCTCCCCACGAAGCAAATAAAAGCACATTAAGCTTTAATGTCAATGTACAGATAATCATATTGGAACTTATTTTTTTTTGTAAAAGCTATTTTCCTAGTGCGCACAAGTGTCTACTAAAGGAAAGGACAAAGCATCCACCAGCGTAGATCGGATTTAAGAAGGACGTATTTCACAGCACAGGGAAGCGAGAAACTATTCAGCCAGTATTCCGAGCTGCACTTTTTTTTTTGTAAGCTGCGTTTTAAAACACACAAGGTGCTGCAAAATCACACATAAAGTGACTCAATACCTTTCAGTTTTAAAAGACATCCACTTCACATTACAAAACATTGCAATTTAAATATCACCCAAGTTAGCCACTAATAAAACATGAACTAGATGCTTTTAATATTTTGGATCAAAGGGCATTGGACCCAGCTCTATTTTGACATTCGCCATGTGTCTTCCTGACGCGCGACCAGGTTTGCTCCATTTCCTCTCTCTGTGATGGCGAGAATGAGCTCGCTGGTGCTTCCGTTCTTGTCTGCGATGCCTATCGTCTGTATTTCTTGAAACTGGCCCTTCAAAGGGTCTACTGTAATTTGCAAACAAAAATTCAAAGTCACCTCTCAGCTTTTTAAAGAACCAAGTTTTCATCTTCATAATCTGTGAAGAGCATTCAATATGTAGGACTTACCGACATTCAGACCTATTGGCAAAAGACAGAAGAGCATTGCAGACTAAGTGTTGGTACATGCAGTCAGTTAACAAACAACAGATGTTAAGCACTCATAACTACACAGTGCAGAATCGTTATAGCTGCAGTTACGCATCTGCCATAGTTATTTATCACCTTCTGAAAACAGTTTCCATTTCATCAAAATGAAAAGGCAGGGATTTTTAGAATTTTGTACTTTTTGGATATAAATCAGTATAGCCATTAATGGCTGATTTCAGACCACATAAGAAAAGGTCAAAAGAATTAAACATGCAAACGTTATTTTTAAGGCTAAACCATTATTCTCATCAAGAACTTACCTTGGGCCATACTGTTTTGAATAGGTATCACCAAAGAAGTGTCTGTATACATATTCATCCAAATCTTCAAAAACATCATCACTGTGTTGCTGATATTCATCCATGTCCTCTAGGTATTCCTCCACACCACTGACAAAATCCGTGAACAGCATCTGGTCATGTATGAACACTCCGTTGTGGAAGAAACTGTTGATGAAACTCTCCAACTCCCTCCAGTGGTGGAAGTGATCCACTTCTTTCTTAAGGTAGCTGCGGATTAGCTGAGTGAATTCATCTGCTCGAATGGGATCCAGGGCCTTGTTAAACAAGCTCATTGATTCCTGGTATGCGCAATCAAACACACCAGAGCATCCTTTGGGAATCCTGTGCGATTCCCTTTCCTCTTTATTGCAAGTTTTAGCCCCTGTCTTGCGCATGTTTTGTTTAGCTTGATAGGTATCAGTTGTTGACTTTCTTGGGTGCCTGTGAAATGGCCTCTGGTGTTGATGCTGCCAAGACGCTTGGCCATCATCCTGATCTCTGCGATGGCGTGGGGGCTCATGATACTCATGTTTAACAGGCTTTACATCCTTCCTTTCTTGATACCTCTTTTCATAGGATTTGTGGGTTTTGTCAAAGGCGCGTGTGGCGGAGTCCTTGAAGTGCCTGAAGGTGGACTTCACCGAGTCGGAGAACTTCTTCAAGTTCTCCTTCACCGCTTCTTTGGCTTTCTTTATCTGTTCCTTGTGGTGGTGCACAAATTCCTTCGTGGAGTTTTTCACAGCGTCAAAGGTCTCCTTCACTTTAGTAAAAATGCCTTCTTTGGGCTTCTTGGGTTTGTCGCCTTTGGAATTCTCCTCTCTGGTTTCAACGTACAGCCTCTCCCACAAATCCGAGCGCTGCTGCTCAAAGTTAAGTTTCTTCTCCAGCTCCGTCAGCCTGGCCTGCAGCTCCTCCGTCTCTGGGTCTGCCTCCCCTTCGTCCTTTAATGTGCGGCTCATGCGTTCCAGCTCCTCTTTGAGCTCATCGGTCACCTTTCTCTCCCGGTCCAGCTCCCTCCTGAGCATCTGAGCCTCGGCCATCAGGGTCTCCTTCTGCCTCAGGAAACTGTGGATGCGCTGCTTCTCCTCCTCCAGGTGGTCCTTCAGCCTCTGGTTCTCCGTGATGATAGAGTCCGTTCCTGCTCCCACCTCCTCCAAGCTCCTGACCTGTGCCCTCAGGTTCCTCAGCTCTTCCTGCAAGGTGGACAGAGACTCTTCTTCACGCTCCAGGGAGTTCTTCAAATGCTGGTTCTCATTCACCAGACTTTTCTGACGCGACTCAATCGTATGTCTTTCTTCTGCCGTCTGCTTTAAACGCAATGCAAGGTCTTCTTTCTGAGACTTTGTTAACAAAAAGAGGAGGTAGAAATAAATGAAATATATCACATATGTCCAAATTGCATCTCTCAGTGTACGGTCCAAGTTTTTCCAATGGTTTAATTGCAAGACAAAAAATGTCATTTCAAATTGAGTTAAAATTCCTTTTTACATTTTAAGTACAATAATACTTACCATTATTTCTAAGCATTCTAAATTACAACAAGGATATTTAACAGTGGACAGGTTACTTGCGACCTTAATATGTTTAAAGTTGATTTTCCATGAAGAGAAATTGAAATTGAACATCAATGGTGTATTTAGTCACAGCACAATCTTTTAAGTAACACCATCAATAACTATTTACAAGACAGCATCCTTAGAGATACACCAGCAAGAGCAGCGATACCTCCAAAGAAGTCTGAGTTTTTAGACTGAGACGTTTGGCTTTGTGTTAATAAACCCTAGATCATTTATAGGCAAAAACATTTCTAATTTGAAGAAATAGAACAATAGTAAAATTGCTGTACAATGCCTCCCTTGATACCAACTATAATTTAAAACTGGGGAATAACCCACTTGGATTTGTTTTTTCTGTTTGCAGCTCAGAAGTCTGGCCTGGATCTTTAAATAATCCATACATAATGAAAAACTCATTATGCCAGATGTACAGTACTATGAAGTGTGGTCATTTAGCTTGAACTGCGGTGAGTGGGGGGATTTTATAATACAGGGAGTACAGCAGCATGATTCACAGGACCACCTGTGTGTTGAGGTCACTAAATACTTAAGATATTAAGATATTTAGGAGAGTTTAGGAATGGCTAGAGTTACCTGTAGCTCAGCCTGTTTCATTCTGAGCTGCTGGTTCTCTTTACTTATAGTATCCATAATCCCTGTCAGGGACAGCACCATGTCTTGCTTTTCCTGTAGGTCTTCTCTCAGATGCTTTACCACTTCCTAGATATGTGGAAAGAGCATCACTTTTTGAGCAAAACCACAGCTTCTTGGCACTGCCCAGAAATGCACAGCTCTGACAGCAGACATTGTGAGATTTTTAAAGAAGTTGTGATCAACAGACAAGAACGACTTTGAAAAGATCACGAAAAACTAATAGTATGTGGGCATTGAGAAAGGCAAGAATAGAAAGAGGACACAGAAATAAGAATAACAGTATATCTGTGCATGTGTGGGAAACAATCTTGTTGGTTTTAGAGATGATTTGTGTACTTTTGGGTTGCATAAAAGCAACTGGTGTTTTTACATGAATTTGCAAGATGAAATTAAGATGTTCAAGTAGGGAACTACCTTTCATCATGGAATGAATCATTAACTATTCCAAAGATGATACGGAGACCAATTTGTAATTGTAAAACAGATTGACTATACATGATGAAGTGACTATAGTCACTTTACTAAAAAGCATCCATGCAGAACAGTAAACAGTTTTTCTGAAACTGGCTGAATGCCTATACATAGTCTAGAAAATTAAACTCTGGAAATAAAGCCAAAAAGATCAGGCTTTTGTCCAACTTTTGTAAATTTTGCTCTGAATGCCTTGAGGTATTTGAAATTGTAGCAGCACTTGATGCTATTTCTTAAAGAACTCGACAAAACTATTTTCACTGGTCCACACAACAGTTTATTACCTGATCAAAATGTAGGAATTCATTTTTTTTGGGGCCAAAAAGTCACAGACCAAGACAACCAATTGCAACAGGTCTAGCATTTTTAACTACACCACAAGCTGCTGAAACCTTTTCAGAGTGAACTACACCAGAAAAGGCTGCAAATGTAAAAACAAAAAAACACTAAAAGACTGAAACAAAAGTTCACCTTAAAGTACACGAGAAACCAAATGTCAACCACACGAATAAGAGTTGGGAAAATCAAAGAACACCTTTGTTTTCTAAAATGGAAGCTTCGGAGGCAGGCCAGTGAAGCAGAAAGATGAAATATGTGGCAGAGCTAAGCTGAGCTGCTGGCAGTCAAATACAGATGCTCACACACACACTTCTAGAGTCTGACAAAGATCAGTTTTGTTAAGCGTCCTGTATTAAATATTATAATCTTTCAAACATTTAGCTGCTTTTATATACAATGGATTGAATTATGAAAACAAAAGGCACCAATAAAAAAAATGACTGAAGGCAGCTTTGAAAAAAAAAAATATTGGAAAGAGAGAGTTCAGGCCCGGGCAGAATACCCACCTTACTCTCTACAATGGCATCCTGCTCCTTCTGACATAGATACAGATCATCTCGCACATCATTCAGTTCATTCTCATGGAGCCTCTCAACCAGTTTCTGCCTTTCTTGGATTTGCACTGTCCCTAAAAGCAAAACATGCCACAAAGTGAATTGATGTTCACAGCTTGATTACACAAACTAATTAAAAAAAAGATTTTACAAAAAAGCACAGCATTCCAAGATTTCTCAGGTGTTGTCTGCTCAATTGCAATTGCTCAAATCCACCAATATCGTATCCCTTGTCAAAAACCATCTCTATCGTTCTTGACAGGACCCAGCACAATGACCAACAGCTACACAACCCTGCAATCACACACAGCCTGCAGCCCAAAACATTTCACAGAGGGCAATGGAATAACTTGATTTAAAATCACACTCCATTACTTAGTATGAGAGCAGATTATAAAATCACTTGTGTAAAAATAATCAGATGAAGAAATGAGGAAGGGGTTACAATATCTAAAACAAGAACGTGAAAAATCCAGCTACTAAGCTGGCCATTGGTTAACTCTTAGACTCCAGATGCATGAGTTCACACACAAGAGAAAAAATAAAAATGCACCCAGACACAGCGACTGTTCAGCTTAACAGATTCATTAACATGCACTGTGCCAGCTACCACAGAGTTCCGAGATTCACAGCACTGAAACACAGCTCTAACAGTACATGCAAGGCTTGTTAATCTGTTTGACTCGTTAAAAGGGAGACTTTCACAGAAATTGACAGTTCAAAGTCCGTCTCCACAATTACCACCAGCGGGCTGCATGGCTTTCTGCTCCTGGCAGATAACGAGCATTCTAGAGGATAAAACAGCATGATCCTCAGCTATCGCTGAGTCTCTATGGGAGAAAAGAAATTGGCTTGTCATGTCTTTAACCCATTTCTTACTCCACAGCAAACATATTTAAAAAATGACTAGATCTGTATGTCAAGGAAAAGTGGGCTCACACTCTCGTGCTGGGGAATAAAGAGTTCTGGCAATTCAAGTATGCAAACTACTGTAAAGAGGGGCTTTCTCATGCATTTCAAACAAAATCAAAGCACAAACACAAAACTGAGATCATGTCTCAAACAGCCTGTGATATCACATTCATCTTACTTATCCATCAAAGGCTTTGAGCAGTGTTCTGCTTTCACTGCCTCATACCTTCAAATATACCTGTAAAGCAAAAGCAGTAAAATGTTCTGAAGAGACATCATTAATTTATAATTAGATATCTGACAGTTCCCTCCCCATAAATGAAATAATCTCATCTACTGGCACAAAGGACCATTCTACCAAGTTACAATTACATGGTTTTCATAGTTGTTTTCCTTATTTACTACCCAACTGAATATGAACCAAAGTACCATTTGTCACTTGTCACTTTGGCAGACAAAAATCAAATAAATAAGTCAAATGCTAAGTGCTTTGGATGCAGAGCATTTAGAACTGACAACATCATTACAGCTTTGCCAGATTTACACAGCTTTCCACAGAAAAAGGGCTGGCAATCAACTTTTATCCAATGAACGCCTAAAGATGTCAAATCAAATACCTTTTAGGTTGTTTGTTAGCCTATACGGTTTCACCTTTCCTTCAAATAAACCTTTTGTGTATTTTGTTCAGAACGTATTTCGCTGTTTCGGGTACTGGAGCAGTTTGTGCTGTCACAGCGGTAGTGGCTTGGCTGTGAAGGGCAGCATTGCCAGCCTGTGTTCAGTCCAGGCTGCTCAGTGGGCCCTCAAGCGGAGTGCCACTCACCGTAGAAGTGCCCGAAGCCCATGCTGATGGCGATGACCAGTGCCAGCAGGATGCACTTGTTGAGGGTGCCGCTGACGTGGCCCTGAGGGGTCACCACTGTCGCCGCCGCCGCCGCCGCCGCCAACTGCGGTTCCTGTTCAAGCTCCCCGGCTCCTCCGGCCGGCCCCTCCTCCGCCCCCGAGGCCGGCGCCGTGCTTCTCCTCACCCGGCGCTTCCTCAACACTGGACTGGGCCGCTCGTGCGACTCGTCGCTGCTCGAGTCGTCCACCCGGGGCTCAGCCGGAAACACTGGAACGCAAAACACGGCCACAATCCGACGCAAGAAAAATCAAGGGAGGCCAGCTTGAGAGCGACTTCCCGTCGAGTGACCTGACCCAGGAGGCCTGGTTCAACACTCTCATGCTCAATACACAAGCATGCACCAACAAAAGTAAAATAAAACAGAATGAATCGATAAATCTGACTGTGGCTCTCTATTACATTCCTGGAAGGTAAAATCGTGTCCCATGGACCGATCAAACAAAATGCCTTGCAGGTATTGCAAGAGAGCCTTTTTATTATTTTCCCCTTTATTACAAATAGGGAGCTCACTGAGAAATTGAGGCTGACTGAGAGACCTAGATGAAGTATTAAAACCAAGCACACTTGCCAAGTTCCATGATAAAAGGATGTTATTTTTAGCACTAGATCCCCTGACTTTTCCTGAAGAAAAACATGTGTCATGCAAGCATTGCTTCGGCACACAGATCTGTAATAGACACCACCAGCGACATAATTTACGAAATGACTGAGTCTTTTAATGTAGTCGGTTTCAAAACTTCTGTTTCTAGCAGTATCTCTAGAGAAGAAATGGGTACTAAGTATTAATTTAATCTTTCAAGAGTTTATAATCCTGGACTAATTTGATATTTACTGTTTGAATGCAACTCCATTAAACGTTTAGAACTTTGAATTCATAAAACTATACACTTATAAACAACACTGTTCCCAGAAGCCAGATCAAAATAGTCAAAAGTTTACAAGTTAGAAATACAATACTTGAAATGAAATGTAAATCTTAGTCATTCCTAAAGTTCTGCTTTTGGCTGTAATGATTTCAAACATGCGGCATGCAAAATGATTAGATAAATATCCAAGGAAACAATAAAATAATGCAGCCTCCTTATTTAAAAAATAAGGGGGTAGGCAGCTCAGGGGGTAGGCAGAGTCATCTTTTCTAAGAGCTGCATGAATTTATTGCATCAGTATAAATGAGCATTTTAAATAATTCATGAGCTGAAGACTTGATAGCACATTAAAAAAAGTTTTTTTAGTAAAACTATTTTGGAATAGCTTTGAAAGTGGGGAAAAAAAAACTTCCAGTAAAGAAATGTGTTAAGGAATATAGGATATAGGAAAAGCAATATCTAGTAGTCAAGAGCTTCCTGGTGAGTACCACATTTAAATATTTAAACAAGTTCACTAAACATAATGAAAATATAATGGATAAAGGCAAAAGAAAGTAAGGATCTTTGTGACATTCAAGAATATCTGTACCTCAAAACCTACAGGATTAGATACCCACCACAGTAATTGGCAAAATAGTATACCTATTTTCTCTCTGCTGCTTACACACATGCTGCAAAGCTCTGCAGTCAGCCCAGCCAACAGCTAAAGCCTGCCACAGCTTGCGCACAGTAGTTCAAAAATAAACTGCCTTTAAAAGGGTGTCAGTTTGTTTACAGGTCACCACACAGGATTAGCACTGACAGAAGCCTGTCAGGAGCACTGCAAACACAGCCTATGTTGAGTGAGAGAAGCGCACTAGACCATGTTCAGTCTGACCACCTGGAAGAGAGTGGCTGCCAGACAGACACCCTGTCAGGCGACTCCTCAAGTCCCTCAAACTCTCCGGGAGCTTCCAGGAGCTTGTCAATGAACCTGCTTTCATATATAAAACAAAGGAAACATCTTCTGACTCTTACTCCAAGTGATTACTATTATAATGGTCCACTTAATTTAAATCATAAAACACATTTTGTATCATTTGTTTCCCCTATAAAACTGTATTTAACTGTACAAGCACAAGATACTAAAAATACCCTTTAAAAACACAAGCAAAATCAAAATATCTAGTGTTACATCATTCAAATAAAATATTTTTGTGGAACCTAGTATTTCTTTCATCGTACAAACAGTAGTAATGTGGCATTTCATATTCAGGAATTGGTGTGTTTCAGTTTTACAGGCAGATGTGACATTAAAATCAACTGAGACTAAGGAGAAAAGAATACAGAAAAAAGCTTTACACTTCACACCTCAAGAGTTTTATTCATTAGCTTGTCTGAAAGAAAATCAAAATGGAAGAAATGAGGGAAGCCATTGGAGACCCCATGGAGGTGGTGGCTGAGAGGAGAATGCTGACCAAGCTCACAGCCATCATGAACAACACCTCTCATCCGCTTCATAGGACTGTTACCGGGCAGCGGAGCACTTTTAGAAACATACTGCTCCAGCTACGGTGTTCAAGGGAACGTTTCCGCAGGTCTTTCCTTCCGGCGGCTGTCAGGGTGTATAACGCTGCCCTAGGCTAGGACTGTTAGCCCTTCATTTGCTCCTCTATGGACAGCATGTTTGCTCCATTGTACTTTTTGGACAATCTGTCTGTATAAACCTATGCACATATTTTATTGTTTTTACAGTGACTATGATCATCACATTTTGCACACACCTATGTATTTATTTTTATTTTTAATTTATTTATTTTTATATTTACTTTGTTGTCTTTTGTTTTATGACCATTCTGAGGTTTGTTTTTGTTTGTCTTGGGCTGGACTGCTGTAACACATCAATTTCCCTTCGGGATTAATAAAGTCTTATCTTTCTATCTATCTATCTATTGGGGTGCTTACGCGTCTCTGGAGCTCTGAAGGAATACTGGCTGCTGGAGGAGGTGCCCAAATACAGCTCCTCGCTGGCCCCCGTCTCCTGCTCTTCACTGCCCCTGTCCTCCCAGACCCCGAGTTCTGCCGCCCTCGATGGCTCCAGGGTCACGATGTCGGAGTGATCACTGGAAGACCCAAACGTCACCTGCTCCTCTGTGGCCTGCTCTTGTCCTACCTGGGGAGGAGGAAAGCATAAAACACGTTTAATACCAAACAGCCCACAAAAGCAATTTTTTGTTTCTTCTTGTGGTGGGGGGGAAAATAGAAATGTAAGCTAGGAAGGGGACAGGTCCCAAAAGTCTTTTCTTTACCTCTAAGCTCACCAAAAACAAACTCTAAAGGAATTCAGACTTCTGAGAAAATTTAATTTACCTCAGAAACAGCCAGTGTCTCTTGTAACGTATCCTCTTTTAAGGTGTCTTCAAGAGATGTCTCAGCCCTCTCTTCACTGCTCTTGGCTATAAAACATTGATGATTTGAAAACGGAGAAGAAATGTGGACGCGAGTCAGATTTGCTTTCCTACTGACTGCATGCCTAACTGCGACCTAGCCACAAAGAAATGAGACACGGTTTGGTGTTTGTTAACTGGCAAAGACACTGTAGAAGAACAAGTAAGCACAAGAGAAAATCCGTAATTCTGCACAGGGTTCATGACTTCAGGAATAGAAAGAAGCTGCATTTGTTTGATATTTTAATAAGACCTCCTTTAGAAATCAGTGCCTGATGCACAGGTTAAACAATAAAGAAAAGGACATTAACAGCAGTGAAATAATACAAGCTGCAGATCCCATTACAACATAATAATTATTATTGATACCATAATAGTACTCAATTATTGGCATAACTGAGTAATCAATAAAGAGGCTTCAGAAAACCTACCCCTTTGGACTGATGGCACATCCTGCAGTTCCTCCTCCAAAGCAGGCAGGTTCTCTGGGACGTCCAAACTATCTCCTCCTCCGTTCTCAGGGCCAAGCGTTTCAATGTCAGAGCCCTTAACAGTGCCAGGGGAAAAAAAAAAAGACAGTCAGAGATCCTTAATCTCATCTGAACCACAAGAAATAAAAAAAATTAGACCAAACCATTAGCCCATGCACCCATCACAAAATAAAAACTTGTTAATAGACATTTGCTTTATGTGTTTGCCAGGGGCCTCTCATATCTACGCAATGGTTACCCGTCATCAAATCTAGTGCTATTAACCAGTGGGATGAAAACCTACTCATCAGATACAACAACCTGAACCACATGCAAACAGAGACTGTAGAACAGGTACGAACCAATGTGCTTGGCCATGTCTGTTTTTCCACAATCTGCTCTTTTTCCTAGCCCTCGAATCAAGGTGGTTTATTTTCCAAAATTCCCAGATGACACAAAACCACAAAATATTTTGATGCACTATCTTATTAATAATAGCTGGACACCAGCACTTCCTCTCAAGGTAGTCTGTAAGGACACTAGTGGTTAAGATGTAACTTGAGGTCATGGTCCATGCACCAGTCACATTAACAATGGCCTGTATCTGATGGAACATTTTTAAAATAGGTGAAGATTTTGTTAATGCACTTCATGGCTTTCGATCAGCCCAAAACAAAGTTCACCAAAGATGACTCCTTCATTTGAAATATGAAGGTCGGAGGCTTAGAATTTCAGCTCTTTTGACTTGTTAGCATCATACCCGAAACACAAGGAAGTAGTCTGGAGTCACGCAGGGCTTTATCACCTATCCAGTGCTACAACAGAAAACAAAACATCTAAGGTCTGGCCATTACAAGAGGTACTATCTTTCGATGACAGCTAGTGCAATGTATAGAAACTAGCCTACAAATTAATCAATACCTACATGAAGGGAGGGGCAATTTTATTGTATTTATTTTCAAATTTAAAAACATGGTTAACAATATGTCTAGTGTTTAATCTTACAGGAATTACCGCTTACTGTACAGCAAACTACTAGTTCTAATGAGCCAAAACTATCAAATGAATTGAGATAAAAGGACAAAAAAAAAGAATTTGTTCTTTCCAGATTTTACACTGCTTCTTTCAATTCAAAAACTGCATCCAAAAAAAATTAAATTAAATAAGCCAAAGGAACAACTCCCATTAAAAATAAAAAGTGGGAAAAATAAAAGTAGGGAAAAGGGATTATAGCCCACAATGCAACCTGAAAACATTTTACTCAGACAAAGTAAAAGGAAAAGCCCACCAGCTTATCAAAACCAACTGGCAGAAGGACAATTCTTCATGTGGATGAACATGACTTGCAACTTATTTTCACAACAGATAAACAGCACCCATGATGGATTCCTGCTGACAGACGTTTGTTAATAACTAACTAAAAAATTGTAAAGATATGCTTGTAGGCCCCATTATTAAAACTGAATAATTTATGAATGAATTATTAAAATTAACATTGTATGATAATACAATTAATGGATAACAAATTACTGGAAATTGCATTTAGGCTATTTAATAGTTAATTATTCCATTATAAAAATAAAAATGTCACTGCTTTTCCCAAGCTCAATTACCTTTCCTTGTGAAAATGATGGAAAGACGCACAGGATATATGGATCAATTATCTTGTAAATATTAAAAGTAGAAAGTAAAGTCAAGATGACTTAGCTAAGTAAACATTATTTTAAAAATGACCATTTTAGCTATCTAATAGACAGTTTTAAAAGGTGCAGTTATACACATTAAAAACATACTAGATTACGCTGAAGAAATAATCCACCAAAATAAAACATTCATCTGCTATGAAGGTAAAAAGCTTCTGGAGAATGTTATATACCAAATACATATAATATGCACCTAAGAACTGTATTACATAAATCATAGAAATGTATCAATTAACATACCAAAATCTAAATTGAAACGCACATTATATTTTTTTACATATTTTAAAAATAGTTGAGCAAGTAAAAAATGCCTAAGCACAAAAAAGTAATTTTGGAGAACATGATCAGTCATAGCCATGGAAACAATTTCCCAAAAATGACCACCTGGGATTACAGACAAGGTCTTTTTTGCAGAATTTATTATTATAATAATGTGCCTTCCCCAAACACACTCAGAACTGGCAAAAAAAAAAAGTGTGGCTTGAACTGTGTTTTAGCAGACAAACCTTTCCAGCTCATCAATTCTAGTTTCTTCAACAATAAGTGGTCAAGTATGATTCTATCCCTCAGAACCACAAGTTTATTGTTCAGCTGACAAAACGTACAAAAGTTGGTCACAAGCAAACGTACCTCATTGCTTATGATAGTCCATCCACAAGAGGACTCTGTGTCACTCGAGTTCTCGGACATCCTCCTCTCTGCTGCAGATACAACACAAATACAGTATTCAGTTTAATAGCATACCAGCACATGACAAAACACGTCTATTTGAAGATTTCTGATTTTACAGGCACATGTGGTTTGTGTCTACAAAGTGCTGAGGTTATAATATTTCCTACTTATGAGAAACAGCGATCACAGATATTGGGTATGGATATTGGGTTTCCTCTAAATAGGTCCCTGAATCAAGAAGACAGAGTCAAAGTGTGTTAGATTCAGAAATGAATGTATTGGCACATAAAATACAAAAGTCCATACCGGCACTAAAAGTTGATACCTCATTGTCTAAAAACACTGCACTGCTAGACTCATGATTACTACAAAAGTGATTATTTAGCTGACTTTACTCTACAGGCTAATTAAACTACATCTAATATGTAATCTGTCAAAATACATGTCATTAACAATTAATACATGGAAATGATTAAAACTGTGAGGATTAATAATGCCGTACATTTTATAGTAGATTTCATCACAAAGGATTTCAGTCTTTCAAGTACAGGACGTGACAAACTTAATTTCAGGGACAAACCCTGAAGTGCAGGGTGACATGATTCTGTAGCCCCAGTTATGCAGTAAATCCTCTAGAGAGGCTACACACTGCTTCACCCATCCATTCCCCAACTCTTGAATAGTCCCCTTAGGATACTTAATGACCAAGGTTTACCATCTCTTTTAAGGGGAAGGCTGTCCTATAACCCAGTGTCACTGGTCCCGATACTAAGCAATTGATTTTAAAATGGTGTTCCAGAGGGCAAAGCACCACCTCCAATCCCACAACACCACTTATTACAACAGCCTCCTTTTCCGACTTTAAGTGATCTCCCAGCCCAGTACTGACTAGGCCCAGCTTCTCAGCTCTGACACTATCAGTCTACAACATGGGTCATGCTGGTGCTATATTACACACCAGCTGAAAAGAAAAAAAAAAAACATATGTTATTAAACTATGAAGACTTTAAATGTTAGCTAGCACCTGTTCCAGTCTACAGACCATCAGCATTGGTGAAACAAGTTGCCACCTTTTACATTATGCACATCTAACGAACTCAGTGAGTCTGATGCAGTTAATAGTTAATGGTTAATAATAGTTAATGGTGACTCATAGAGTTTCTACATTCTCTAACCCTGAAGTGCCTCTCAGAGTGGTTTGAAGAATGGATGATGAAAGGGTGAGAAATTTTCTTGATAAGGATTACTTCACTTGTGAACCAATAGCAAGCTTTCACATCAGCCAGAACAAAAGAAAAGGAAAACAGATCAAGAAACGCGATTTTTTTATGAATACATTGTACAGGAAAGACACTGCTTTTGGTACATACAGTATTAGCAGCAGGCTTGCACTAAGCACATTTATAAGCAGATTGCAGATTTGTTTATCTTTTATGTGCTTTGAAGCTAAGGTAGAAAAATGAACAAAAAATTAACAAAACAACTGCTTTTTCTCTTAACTCATCCTGCTGCAGTATGATTGCTGCAATTCCGTAAGCGCATTGCATAAGGTTTGGACGAAACGGAGAAAGCGATTTCATTGCAAAGCAATACAAAATATTACAGGACAAGGTACTTAAAGAAACACAAATTTCAATCAAAAATGGATGGAGTCCAGTTTCTTAAGAGACAAACTAAACGGGTATCTGATTAATAAAAATAACAACAGAGCTCTCTACAACAATACAACAAATGAGTCTTTGATTTACAAAGGGGGGGAACTGTGGAGTGTAATTCACTGTAACTCTTCTAAACTATAAACGTATTTGTCCTAGAAGAAAAAAAAAACTCCAATGGCTGGTTCCTCTGTAACATCTCTGCAGAGATTTCTTACGTCTAACAAATGCAAGGAGGAAATATATTACCCGTTTTGAAAACGACAAGGACAATTATTGAAGCTGGCAAACGGAATTTGTGAAAGTGGTGTAAAACTTTCTTCAAGGCAATCTTTTTTTCAAGAGGCAAAATACTGTGAATCAAAATAATTAATGCTTAGAAGAAAACAAGTGATAACTGTATCTGCCTCAGAGATGTTTAAACAGTTAGCTACTGGTGTAGGAAATATTTCCGTTTACAGTATGCATGACCTGTGTTTGCATACGTTTCAGTCAAGCAATCATTAGACACGTCTCTCACTGTACATTAGGTCGTGGTTCTCGTCAAAATTGGGCTTATGTATGATTCATCCACTAACTCTATAAATTCCGTTATAAATTTATAAAATATAAATTTGTACCACGAAAGAGGTACAAACGTTACTTTCCCTTTGAACCAAACGCAGCACAGTACAATACGACCTACACACTGGCAGCTAACTTTTAAACTCCACCAACACTTATTTCTCTCTTTGCACAGCCATAGAAATCAACGTTTGCGACTTTTCAGGCGAAAGTAATAAGGCGGTCAGGCTACAGTATATGTTTTATCCCGGCATCGCACGCCAGATAAATCATTTGCGATGCCACAGGCAACTTAAAGGACCACAATAAACAAACAACAGAGCACTGCCAGATCCGAGATTTGGGCAGTTTCCATGCAGTCATGTGTCCTTGCTGCCAGTTGCAACACCGGACTCTCCACTCGTACTTCGGGGCTGCAGAAATCTGCACGGCGCCCCGGGCTGCTTTGGCCTAAACCAACGCGAACAATAACCAGTGACAGGTCCAATACTTAAACTCCCGTAACGCAGCAGTGGCTACAGCACTGCATCAGAGCGGCGTTGACACTACCAGAATCCGTGCCTTCTCGTTCCTGACTGCTCATAACTGACATCAGATTTTACAATGACATCACAGCATTTTCTCAGAAGAGACCTAAAAGTAAATGCATGTAATTTGACAAACCCAGAACGACAATAAAAGACAAGACTTCGTTTTCACAGCATTGCGCCTGCGTTTACCTTCGGGTTTATTCTCTGCGATCTAAATTCGTATGACGAATTCGGTACCTGGCAGCTATGATTTCTACCGCAAAACAGCCTGCCGTCTCTAAGCATACGACTTTCTGTTGTTCAGCTCGCAACTGCGCCTCACAATATCATCATCAACAACATCAACCTCTTTTTAACATCCAAATAAAGCCCGGGGCTACCGAACTGGGGAATGGGAATTGTAGTTTATATTTGAGACGTATTATATTCGAAATGTGAAGAGTTTCCAAATTTTCGAACTACTACTCCCGTGACCCAAAGGGGCGAATTCACTTTGTAGAGCGTGTACGAGAGTCACGTGTTTCCAATACCAAGTGACTTAAAGAGCGTCCAATTAGATGGCGTTGCTAGGGTTCAGTAACCATAACAAAGTGCAGGCTGTGGCATTGGTAAATCAGCCAAATTTGCTTTTAAATTGGGACCGGAGTGGGATCGAGTAAGATGTCGCGATTATTTCTCAGTGGCAAAGCGGTTTAGAATTAAATTGATATTACTAAAACATAAAGTCAAAGGTATATTTGCTTGCTAAATAAAACTAAGCAAAACTTTTAAGTTAATTTTGCTAACTAATTACCGAGTAAACCTGGGTTTTAATAATGATAAAGAATAATATGGTGAACTATGTATTAGGCACCTTATTGTCCAAAAGATTTTCATTTAGCCGTTTCTCGCAATTTCATCTAACTAAAACGTTTTTGTTTTCCAAGGAGGAGAAGAATCGCAAAGCTCAACAGAAGAAAGACAAGAAAACGATAAGATCCGATTAAGACCTTAAAATCACTAAGATGTCGGAGGCTGAAGTGTCTATTTCGGAATCGCCGGATTTACCTCCCTGCGTGAATCCTGGTAACCCGGTGTTTTCTTGCATGATGAAATCTGGCCCCTCTTCAGCGTTGGCGACAACTCGGAATCCCCTCTACAGAACTTCTTCCAGCGACTACGGCGTCATACCTCCTACGTTTGAAACAGCCCCTTGTTCCTACCACCCGGTGTCACAGAAATTCTCCAAGCTCTTAGGAAGCAGTGGGATGTACCGCAACACCTCCTTCAACACCTGTATCGACAGATCAAGGGTTTGCGACAACCCCAATTTACAGAATACTCTTTGAGCAACTCTTTGAGTGTTTTTTTCCTTTATATGTGAGTTCTACCTTAAAAATATCCAGTAATCTGATTCTTAATTGATCTTAATTGACACATAACATGAAGAGTATTCGTAACTGTTCTTTTGAATTATGTAGACTGCATAATACCATTTTAGAGTCTACAAATGGCATTGCAAAAGCCTTCATAACCCTATATCACATAACTAACTTTATATTTCAAAAGTCAAAACAGATACGTGCTGACAACGTGATTAAGTAATTGTTGTTATACGTTGTAGGTTTAAAGATATAGTTCCTAAGTACTGTAACTGTTATATGTTTAGGAGAAATGAATATGAAGGATTTGGAATATTTAACTACAATAAAACAATGTTATGTAGCCTCTAAAAAGACATTATGATAGCTTTATGCGGGAGACTTGCAGGCCATGCAATGAAGCTTGTGTGACAGCTGCTGTAAGAACCTGGTTTTGGTTACAGTTGTACATTGTAGAACTATATTCGAAACATACCCATTGAGAAAGCTCATTTCTGTCATTCAAAAATTGTGTTAAAGTAAACTACTGGAATAATTATATTCCAGAACATTTTACTCTAATAGCATGTGAAAATAAACTGTGTTTGTGTGCGCTATTCAGTTTTACTGAGGAGGATGAGGTGAATGATTTTGATAAGCGTTTTGTAGATTATGCAGGTGCAAACACACTAAACATTAAATATTATTGCCATTTGTTACATCAGCATGGATGAAGACAATGGAATGTTTGTGCGGAGCAGAAAATTGCTTGGAACTCTTGTTCTGTATCAATTCTGATTGTCTTAGCAAGCGTCAGTATGTTGCATTAATATACCATCATACACTATCCATTCATTTTCTAACCGCTTTATCCAATTAAAGCATTGTGGGGGAGCTGGAACCTTTCCTGGCAATGGGGGCAAGACAGAATATACCCTGGACAGGACACCAGTCCATCAGAGGACAAACAGACACGCACACACAAACACTTAAGGCCTATTTTTCCTAGAAGCTGATTAACTACCAGTATGTCTTTGGATTGTGGGAGGAAACCAGGGCACTCAGAGGAAACCCACACATACACGGGAAGAACATACAGTACAAACCTCATGCAGATCGCTGTCCTGGTCCAGAATTGGACCCAGGGCCTTGCACTGTGAGGCAACAGTGCTGACCATTGCTGCACTGTGCCACCCATAATGAAATAAAAGCTCAAAAAATTCCATTGCACACATGGAGACCTTGGCTGCAGGCATTACTCAGATATACAAAGTAAATACATCTCTGTTTGGACCTTTTATGTTTTTCTAATGTTTTCTAACTTTTTTGTTTCTAACTCTTGCTTGTGTGGGGAGGGGTTCTTGCTGAAAATGATGTTTATTAAGAACTATTTACTTCTAAGAAAATATTTTTGATGTTTTCACACACAGTTTGAATTCTCCACTTTGTTAACACCCTGTATACATCATTGTAATAGTGTACAATCACTCTTTGAATTGACCAAAGACCTTCAAAGATTTGGCAGCATTAATGGAAAATAGAGAGAAAGATATGTATTTAGAGCAACCGAAAAAGTCCAGCTGGCATGCAGAACTAAAAAAGCTTCAGAATTCATGAGTAGAGTCTTTAGTATTATTTTTATTTCAATGTAATTTTTTTGTATTTATCTGAAAAGAAAATGCTTATGTTCCAGACTGAAAAGACATTTTCTAATTCTCTTCACTTCACCAATACTCAGTATCAAAACAACTATAGAAATGACCAGTAGTTAATACTGACTGAATCGGCTGAGATGCAACAAAGAAAATGGACAAACGTTTTACATCTCAATTTACTTTTCTCAGGATCTTAACAAAGATTAACATTTTTTAGAATGACAGTTGAAAAAATTGCACATCGCAATTTTCAGGTGTCAGTCACGCTTCCTTGAATGATCTGTCGGATCCTTTCTGCGTCTGCATTTATAGCACTGTTGAGAGGGTCAATCTTCAGAGCAGCTTGATAATCCTGAAGCCCTGTCAGAATATTTTCACATTTTTAGAGCATGAACCTGTCAAATCATTAAACTCACAAAGGAGATCTGTGCTGACATGTCACATAAGCTTTACTCCACCAGGTGTCAGGGTAATACAGTGGAATGAGGGAAGAAATAACATTTTTACTGTGCAAAAATAACACTCCTAACCCCATTCTGATTCCAACAACTGTTCCATCTCAAGATCTTAAAGAAATATTAGAATTTTAATGACTGATGGAAGAATAAAATAATAATTCCCTTTTATTATTAATATGCTGAACATTAGAGGAAACAGTCTACAGTAAAGTACACAGCTCAATACAATCTCTTTAACTTCAATTTGGTGATTTTTTTTCTCAGTCCTGAGGGAAATAATGTTTCCCAGAGGAAAGAAAAGGTTATGATTTTAAGCTTTCTCTGGTTACCAAAGCATAAGCTGCTGATCAGGAGCAGGTTTAACATGTGGCTGGTGAGTTGAAGCTTGCAGCTGCTCCAGACACACGGGAGTCATTAAACCTAGTGATGACTAAAGCCTGGCAATAATTATAAAGATATAAAAGGCCATGCTAAATGCTTTAACAGTCAGAGCACATTCCCAGTCCCGGTTTCTCTCAGTAATTTAGTTTTTTCGTACAGGTGACAACAGAGTGAAATTTCTGAAATAGAAAGCTGCCAAAGAGATGTAAAACAAAATTATTGTTTAACAAAAAAGATATATGGTGTTCATTTAATAGATACCTTCAGTGTATAATTCAAGTTCACAGAAGGCCGTGCCACGTCTCACATGAGCTTTCACTCTAGCATCTGCATTGTCAGCAACAGCTGGTGTCAAGAGCTCAAGTGCCTGTGGAAACATTTTTTTTTACTTTCTCTTGGATACATTCTTGGAGTGTAAAAAAGTGCTTAGTTCATCTTTTTAAAACTGCTCTTAACTACAGTCTTCCTTACAAACATATCTCTCTCTCCAGCCTACTACAGGGATTTGAAACATTTTTAGTGACAATAAGGTGAAAATCGACACTTGTTTAAACATTAAAGTGGAAGAGCTGACCTGAGAAGAGTCTTCTACGGCCTTGTGCAGATTTTTCAGTTTGAGGTGACAGGCAGCACGGTTTAAAAATAAAGCTGGAATCTTATTGTTCAGAGAAATTGCAAGGTTATATGCATTGACAGCAGCAAGATAATTCCCGGTGGCAAACAATTTACTGAAAAATAAGATGAAAAAATATTGTTACTATAAATGATTATAATTATCCATCCATTTTCTAACTGTTTCTTCCAATTCAGTGTCGCAGGGGAGCCAGAGCCTATCCTGGCAAACAACAGGTTCAAGGCAAGAAATATCCTGGATGGGACGCCATCCAGAGACAGAGCAGACACAAACGCAGATACACACAATTTGCCAATGTTCCCAGAGGCTAATTAACCTACTGGTATGTTTTTGGACTGTGAGAGGAAACCTAAGCACCCAGAGGAAACCCATGCAACAAGGGGGAGAGCATACAAACTCCACACAGATAGAACCCTAGGTTTTAAACCCAGGCCCCAGTGCTGCAAGACAGCAATGGTAACCATTGTGCCGCTCTGCCCCCCTTATTAAAATTATAAATATTATAAATTACTTTATCACATTTAGAAACTATGTAGATTTCCGAAGGGTCTCACATACTTCCCCTTCTCCTTCAACCAGTCTGGATTCCTTTCTTCCTCCTTAAGGTCTTTCAGTTCTGGCACTTCAGCATTCATGGCTCTCCTGGCATCAGCTTGCTTTTTCAGCCACTGTTTTCCATAAAAACTGAGTAAATGATGCCTTGTTTTGTAAAAGCTATTACCATTTTAAATGAAAGCTATCAACAAGTATTTAAAAAGAAAAAGAAAGCAGCACCCAGAAAAAAACAACACCGTTTTTACGGGGTAGTGAACACAGTCAACCACATTTTTTTCAAATTAGTAAAATGCCTAGCGAAACTTTCATTTTTGTGGCCACTTTTGTGGCATTAAGTCAGTTTTCCAAACACTCACCGCTTCTTCCTCAGCAACACGTGATTCCCGCAGAGCTGTGGGAAACACACGGGGTGTGAAGTGGATTTGGATGCTACCAGTGGCTCGTGGAGGTCGTACATCTACCTGTTTTTGCTTGTCTGCACTGTTCTGCTGACCTACTTGAAGCAACAACACAATTAGTAATCAATCTCACATTGTGTAGACATATTGGTAGGCCTTGAAGATACAAACTGCTTCATAAAAAAATAATTTACCAAGTTTAATAGTGTCTCTGCCTCTTGAGGATCCTGAAGCAGGTTTTTGGCTTGTCTTTTTTTGCCTTTCAAGGCCCTGCTGGGCCTCTCTCCACTCTGTCTCTTGCCTCTGTTTCTCTTTCCAAGCTTCAAGCTCCACTGTAGCTCTCTGGCGTTCAGATTCCTTAATGTTTTCAATCTTATTTCTCTCCTCTTCTTCTAGCTGAAACAGCAAAAGACAGATATGAAGTCCAGGTTTCTGAGCCAACCTGCACTCAAGTTAGCATTTTATAGATATCAAACAATTGGAAATATACTAGCTATAGTTATTCCTTCCCAAAATGAAATCATCACTCATTTGAAGGTTTAAGAAGTACAGTTAAAATGATCACAAATGGAAATAAAAGACGGAGTGTTTTGAGGCTGAATATTTGCATGCTTGAGCTTGTGGCCACCACAGTGGCACAGCTCTTGGGCTAGGGATTCAGTTCCATTCTGGACCTTGAACTTACATGTTCACTTGGATTTCCTCTCAAAGACATCTGGGTTACACTAATTAGTGTCTCTAAATTCTGTGTGTGCTTGTTTCTGTGTGTGTCCCATCCAGGGTGTAGTTGTTCAGGGTGTCTCCCTGTGCTTCAGGGATAGGTTCTGGTGAGCTGAGACCCTAACCAGAAGGAAGTGACTTTCTAAAAATGGATGAATTATTTTTCAGCCTAGTAAACAATCAGACTGGGCTGCTCAGAGAGAAATGAAGTCTCACCTTCATCATTGTCTCAAGGGCGTATTTTCTATCTTCTTGTCTTTTTTCAGCTTTGGTTTTGGTGTCAGCAGCTGCCTTTTTCTGAGCCTTGAGGACAGCACGTTCTCTGATCTCCTGCAGCTTGTCTTTATCAGCTAAGGTAAACATGCAGCTTGTTCAAAATACTTTAGCATTTATCATTTACAAATTGTGTTTCATAAAAATTGTAGTCAGTCACTACTTTTTTGTACTGAAAACCTTTATATACATACATGTGTGTGATAAATTACAGTCGTTTTTTTCATATAATAGGTCCATACAGTATTATAAATATATACAATGTACGTCCGAGTATGTAACCACGTGCTATCCATAATCCACTGCTATATTTGAACGCACAGCAATAAATATCTAAAGACTAGAAACGTAAAGGGTGATAACTTCTTTTAGGAAATTAACCGCAATGCTGCCATTGTCAGATCTGTTACAGCAACAAGGTTGAATACTGAATTCCGTTTTTATTCAATCATCCCTTCGAACTATATAGATAAAAGCACAGCTACAGTACCGTTCTTGATAGTGAGTTCTTCCCACAGGCCTTCCTGCTGTTTGTGTAAAGTGCAGATGACAACTCCATTTCCAATTTTTGCCACGCTTCTATCATCATCTATCGGTGCAAAAAGCATTGCTTCAAACAAAAAGGGAGGAAAACTGACCTAAAGGAATAGACGAGAGTTTTACAAAATCGAGCATGTTTCATGTATTGATTTAATCACTTCAGCAAACAAAGACACTAACTGTCTCATACTTCTTGTGATTACCTTCAGATAGTCGTCCGTGGAGAATATGTCTACATTTCCGCGCTTAACTCCTTTCAAAGGCACACTTATATAAACCATTGATTCCGTCTGCGTCCACGAATAATCTTTCACAATCAAAGGCATGATTCGTAGACAGAAAATATATTTTAAAAGAACAATCTTAACACAATAACAAAGAACAGTTAGGTTGCTAAAGACGCATTTTCTGTTGCTGAGGAAGGACTTGCTGCTTCCGGTCGCACTCGGCTTGGCTTCCTGCTTTTCTTGTATCGGTGTTTACAGTGTTTCAAACGCAGCCAGTACAATTGTTACAGTACATTCTAGCCTTTCAAATTTACGAGGATAAGAGTGTTGTTGTTCTTTTGTTTCGCTGTCGAAGACGATAACTTTTAATTTAACGCTGAAAAGTTTCTAAAATATGCATTCTATAAAATTCTATTTAATTTATACTGTCATTCTTTTTGATCGTGTCTGGGATAGCTAGAAGTGATTGTTACATAAAGTGTAATGTAGTTTTTTTAAACTGATTTATCTGACAAGACATTGAATGAATTGATTCAAAACATGCAAGAGAAAAGACAAAACAATCATTTAAAGTTTTTATTCAACACCATCTTCAACAATATAGACAGAGCATAGTCTTTGAATTGTATTTGAAGTACTGATATTTCAGTGGTACAAATATGTCAGCTGACGACTAGTTCTGTACCTTTATGAGGACTTAGAAAAAACTACTATAATCACACTTGGTATGGAAAAAGCACATTTTTGAGTTGTTACAAATCATCTTTTTATACTGCAGTTATATTACATGTACATTCAATACCTGAAATGAAATTATTTGCACATTATCATTAAATCTAGCACGTTTCTAAAATGCCATGTAAGTTGTACCAAACATCATTAAACAGCAATGTAGCAGGCAAAAGTAGAAGATAGCAGACACAGCTGCAGAAGGAGTAGAAGAATTAACATCCCTCAGAAACTCAGAAAGCTACATATTTACCTTGATGCAGCAACACAGTCTCATTAATATACAAACCAGCACATTTAAGGCATCTGGTGTCAACAGTCATCTAGTGTAAATATGTACCGAAAAAAATGCCAACAGTACTCAAGATTAAACATTCAAATTTCAAAGATAAATTCTCTTTAGAAAGCAGTGTGCAATAACAATTATAGCCCTGTCTAGCTTTTATTGTATAATAGTGCTTAAAAAAAACAGGAAAAAAACACAAAAAAGACCATTTTCTGTGTCTTCTTTGCTTGAGTAATCAGACAGTATTGGTATTATTCTATTTTAAACCTGACATGTTTAATGATGGGTAAATGTATCTAACATTAACTTCACCTAATGTAGAAAAAACATAAACTAAAGCTTTCCTTTTATGTCATTTCTTTAGTAAATTGTATTGAACCTGTTCTCTTGGCGTGGCATGGGACAGGGTAATAACCATCTTTATCTAAAATTAACTGCCTCACCAAAGCATCCGGAATACAGAGCATTCAGCTACAATATTTCAAAATAAATTTTATAATAGTCGATATGATGTAAAACCAAATATATGTCTGTTTTCAACTCAGATTACCCTGAAAGATGTGCAGTAGTCTATTCAGTTGGTAACATAAACAAAAGGGGCTGTTTAATGCCTGCGGTTGAAATGCAACAATGGTTGCAAGGTGTTATTTGTTTCTGGTATTAATTAGCATAACAAGTTAATGGTCTCCTTTCGTTTCTGTAAATACCAGCACCAAATCTTAGGCCCATAAAACAAGTATTTTCCAGGTCACCACCCAAGCAAAAAAAAAAACTATTTTCAGTGTCAAACCACTCTGTCTGAAGGGTTTAATAATCATTTACCAAGAACAGAGGTCTACAGAAACCTTACTGCAATCACATAAAAGAGCTCCAATACAAAAAAGTATTCCACAGCTGTGTCTGGTGTGTGGTACTAGGTACAGTATACTGTATAAATGCATAGAGAATGTCTGTTTTAAATGCTCTCTCCAACACTAATCCTGAGAACAACCATGTCTATATATACTCACACATTTCAATGCTGGTAACATTTTATCAGCCACAGTGTACTGTACATCAACTCAATAGCCCCCCTCACATCAAATAAATCAAACCTTAGTATATTAAAATCATAAAATATTTAAATATTTTTGAATTACACAGTAATTTAGTTCACATGAATTGAATTGCTGAACAGGAAATTAAATTATATTTCAATTTGAATGACACACATTTACCCTTTTACTCCCTACATTTGGCATTTCTGCTATTTATAAAAAATGTAAGCATACATAATGTCACCAATGTGGAACAATTTAAAATATTTTATGTACATGCTAAGCATTTGACTCAATTGCACAGGTTAGCAGTACATAAGCAAACAAAACAGTCCCAATAGATCATATTCCAACAGATTAAAAAAACAAACAAAAAATGCAATTAGAATTTTCCATTTCTTGTTTCAGCACATACTGGTAACATAACCAGTACTCAAATATACTGTAAGGAACAAGTACAAATAGTGGAAAAACACCACAAAACACAATATTGTGCACAAACCATTCTCTCTCACCCGAAACATTTTATTGCAATTTCAAATGCTTTTCTGAAATAAAAAAAAAACATAGTGTTCTTAGACTTGGAGAGATGCAAAATTATACACAACATCATAATTACCTCCTCTGATTTCTAATTCCAAAAACAAATTGTACTAGTGCCACAATATTTACTGTAAAAAAATATCACTTTTATTCACCAAAACATTTAATCTTCAAAATAGGAAATTCATCAACTTGCTACACAACATAATCAAGATAATACACTGCTAGAACACATTTACTTAAATGTCATTGTCCAATATGTGAGACAATGCTCTTTTCATTCACAGATGACAAGGTCATACTGAAATGGCAAACAATGAAGTACATGGAGACATAAATCAGAAATGAGTTTTGGAATACTCAAAGCCTGTTCATTAAACTGTGATGGCATTTAACTTCACATATTACTTTTCTTTTACTGTTTATTATAGGAAACTGGCCTCCAGCAGCAGTCACAAAATCCAATTTAGCAATTTAGCACTCCCTTGTTGCCTTTTCTCAGCTGAAGTGGACTTGATGTGGAACTGACTCTGCTTTTGAAAACCATTGGAAAAGTTCATCATGCTGCAGGTCTAAATTGGCAAGGATTTTCTGAGTCTTAGTTTTTGAAAGAAGAAAACAGATTGTGAACCTAGAGGAGGAACTTAGGTATAAATCACAATTTATTGTATGATTTAATATTCACTTTGGTTAACATCCTTTATTAAACACTGGTTGTTATTATTCAAAACAGTCCAGAGCAGTAATTCTACAACCAGAAGGGCAGAAGGAACAAGTGTCTCTTCTACACTCTGTACCTCTTTATGGGGCATCTGTTCAGTATCCAAACTACAGGACTACACCTCAGTTAAATGGAGTGTATCATTCTTGCTACATTAAAGGGCTGTAGACCATTTTGTACATGTGTATCTTTGCTCTATGTACAGTAGTTATAATTTGCTTACTGCTTTTGAAGTACTAAGATTATTGAGTACAGCTTTTCTTATTATATTTAACTGCCTTGCTTTGCTTCACTTGGACAAGCAAATGGACAAATTCAGTCTCAAGTGTCTTATACTGAAGGGAGATCAAATGCTACTGACAATTTATAATAGTCTAATGTGCGCTTCATGTGCTGTATGTTAGAGGCGTGCTGAAAATTTTGAAATAGCCTGGATTATATTGCACGGCTAAACTGAAATTTGACATTAACAGGTGACTTTATTTAAGAATCAAATGCAATTTATAACTAGCTCATTGCACAACTAATCATTTGCATTTAAGTACCTTTGTAGGACAAGTTGCAAAAATGCCTGCTTTTAGTCCTTAGCTCTTTATGCATTATTAATTATATCCCTTATGCACCTAAAGCTTTGGTCACTTTTACATTTTTGAAATGCAACGTGACACAACCACACCTTTTTTGTGATTTGTTTTTAGTGCAAAGAGGCATAAAAAATGTTCAACTGCTTGCTTACCCACCTCCAGGAGCCGCCACAACCAAAATGAAAAAACAAGATGTTCTAATCACACTTTTATTCAGAACTCCTTACCCTGTTATACCAATACTGTAATGTGATTTTATTCACTTTATGTTCATCAAAGACGACCATCAGCTCCTGGTTATCAAAACACTGCCGTAACCATTAGGAGAAGAGAACCCCATTCAGGGTTTTCCAACGGGATCATGGCCGCTGTTATCCCTCGGCGTTAACCGACTGCTGTCCCACTAGCTCTCTGGTTCTCATCAGGGGGACACCTTTGCCTTCCATGCAGGTATCACACCCCCACACTGCGGACACCTCAGCAGTCAGAAGATTGTAGGCTGTCTCTGTCATGCCCGTGCAAACCCTGTGGAACCATTTCTGACAGGAAGCCTCACACAAGATGGCTTCCTGGTCGTCGTTGACTTCATTCATACAGATTCCGCAGGGATAAACGGGATCAGTGGATGAGTGGCCCGGCCTGTTGAGGAGAACAGCTGCTTTATTGCTGCTACTGCCACTGCTGCTCCTCTTCGGGGGTGCCTGTTCCACAGCCCCGCAGGGCTGCGTAGGGTTCTTCTGAGCGTCGTTATTGGGGTGCATGCCGTTCAGCTTGTCCAGAGTGTTCGAATGACTGCCGTCTTGATTTGCAGGAGCACTCCTGCTGATCGTCTTCAGGTCAGCACTGTTGTCCTGACAAACATTGTCCTCGGGATTCTGACTTTGCTTACACGGGGCCGGGTTTTGAGAGACGCTTTTACTTGTGGCTTCGCTAAAGTCTTGTTTTGGCATAGGAGCACTTGTCTGGTTGAAGTTATTCTGTGGCTGCATAAAACCAGGACTTGCATCCATGTTAGGTGCCATTGGTGGATTGATATTTGAGTTACCTTCTTGCCCAAAGTTCGGGCCCATGTCGGAGTTCTGGTTCATACTGTGTGGGGGCATTTGGCTGAAGTGGTCTCCTGGCCCAGGCCTAAAAGGCTGATTAGGTGGTAGGGGCATATTGTTGTTGAACACCGGGTGATTTCCGTAACCGGGACTCTCATGATGCCCATAGTTAAAGCCCGGAGGTCGGTTAAAGCCCATGCCCATTTGGTTTTGAGCAAATGGGTGGAGCTGATTTCGCATTGGGTAGGGACCTCCATAAGCAGAGGGCATCCTGGGAGACATATGGGGCGGCATCCTGTGAGGGCCATATCCACCGAAACCTGGGTAATGAGGGTGACCAAAGTAAGGGTTTCCAGAAGGCAGCGGCTTGTACGACGGGGTATTGTAGTTGTCATCAAAGGGGTTTGCAGCTACTAAGTGTTCGGCACTTGGGTTTGGTGGTGGAGCATATTCAGAAAGAGGTGCAAATGAAGAAGCCTGCAATGAAAAGTGCAGGGAACACAACTTTAGCACAGAGCCTCCTGTCCTAGCATTGTGAAAGCACAAACTCTTCACTGGGAAATGAATATGCAAAACAGAAACTCTAACTGAAATAAAGTCCCACGTCTTCAATTTTCGGTGGAAGACCTATAGTCCCCAGTTCCAAAATGTCCACAACAACACATTACAGCAGCTTTCTAGTCTGTTCTTTATCTTTGATGCAACACTTGCAGGGTGTCCTTTGAGGGAGTAGTTGAAAATACATAAAGATGAGACAGCATTATGTATTTTAAAAAGAAACACCACAAAATTATTCAAAGCTTGAAACCTAGTGTGTTTGGGCAGCTCCTTACTGTTACTCCTTTACAACAAATTCATCTACAACAATAAAAGAAGCCACACAGCTACCTGGGTGTTTGACTTGCGTTTTTTCTTATCAGGGCTCCCCAGAAGTGTGCCTGGCCCTCCTGGCCCTCCTAAGCCGTCCAACCCTCCATCTCCACCTGTGAAATTTCACCCAAACTCACGTTATAAATTTGCCTTTTACAGTGACTGAACACATGAACCAAAAGTCAGTTTTGGTATAGGGTAATTTACGCTATGAGACAAAATATTCATATAGCAAAATAATTTATTTAAAAGCATTTTAGTTGGAAAAAAACTATTTTCTAGTTCATGGTGACACGTACAACATTTTTAACATGTTGTAACAACACAATCATGTTCACATTGTAATAAACCACTAGATAATGCATTTCATATAAATATAAATAATATACTGTATAGACATTGCGAACTGTTTTACTTATTAATGTCTTTTGAATAGAAATCCTCAATGAACTGCCACTGTTCTGTGACATGCACGAATTTAGCTTTAACTGTTTTTAGAAATAAGCGTGTTTAAATCACATAAAAAATGTATTGCAGCGTGATGTATTTAATATTTTGCATGATTTGATGAAAACTTCCCAAAACAGGCGTTCCATACGTACTGTATGCTGAAAAAGTTACAATTCTTAACCAACTATGACATCTCTAGAATCTACAAATACATTTAAAAAGATGACAATATAATAGACTGGTTCTTCCCATAAGAACGACTTATTTACCGTAAGAAACAATTCTGTCGCGATAACCGGAACTCTTGACTGTCAGTGCATTAGCTAGCTAACTCCCAACTTGAAAAGCGCAACTTGTGGTTCGCCCTTTTCAAAATGCACTTTCTTACATCTTAAACGTCAGCTGACTATTCAGTTCTTTTCATCAGTTTCATTTTGAGATATGCGCATTCCAGTAGATCATTTCTGGGGGGGGGGGTATTTCGTGTGAAAATATTCACAAGACGCATTCATTTCTTTTGAAAAGCCTGCTGCGGTAAGCGAGCAATTCTGAGACTTTCATTCAATTCTTCAAAGGCCTTACTTGAGGTAGGCCGACAAGCTCCTTCACAGTCATAATTATGGTTGAGACTTGTGTGCAGCGTATCTTGCCCCCGCAACACTGTAACATACAATGCACGAACAGCAAAAAGAAAACAGCGAAAACGCACATTACCTCTATTTCTTTTAAGAGAGATGGTGTCTTTCTCCTGTTCTCCTGACATTACAGGGTGAAATACATGACTCAAGGGGGTAAAAAAAACAGTATTTCCTTTAAAAAATGCTAAAGGTAAACGCACTCTTCTTCTCCCTTCGCAGCAATCAGAGCACAGCTATCTGTGTGCAGGAAAGCTGCAAGGGCTTGTAAAGTTTGGGAGGAGCGGACTGTTTCAACTTCGTGATATAGTTGTACGCGCAGAAAATTGCGAAAAGCAGGAGCGAGTGCGAATCATTTATCCCCCGAGCGTGTAGCCAGTACGTTTAAACTATACCTATCTTTTAGTTTAGTAAATTTGAATGTAAATTATACAATACAGAAACCCCTCCATATTAGCATGTGAGTGTGTCTGCGCTCCTCTGTTTGATGTGGTAGTGCCGCTGTCAGACCGTGTGATAAACCGCGGATGAAACATTACAAATGGAAGTGCTGTTACACCGAGGTGCCTACTCATCTCATCTCCCTGCCCCCTTGCTTTGAGCCACGCACAACGATTGCTATTTTTCATGAGCTTTTCCCGGATCAGAATGATTCCTTAAACCAGGCATGCAATTACGTTTGATGAATTTATAAGAAGGGCAAGGGTACTCGGTCCGAAATTACAGCTTCACGCCAGGCTTTCAAGTTCAACGTGTCGCTTGCGTCGGGTTTTTTAAATGCAGGGGAAACAGAAGTTGAAATAAGCAATTGTGTTTTTTTTTTAACAGACGGGGGGAAAATGTCAGTCAAGTTAAGGAAAAGAAACGCATGGACAAGCTCGTTGTTAGAAAGGCAAAAAAAAAACTTGCAAACTGCCATGAGATGTACGTTTAATGAGTTTTGTGGGCTAATTTCAATTGGCTGGTTAGTGTAACGAGTTTAAATGATGTAATAGAACTAACTTTTTATTTAAAAGAAAACAGGAAGACGTGCGAAAATGGAAAAGTTTCTTTACATTTGCAAATATCCAGAGGTTTGATAGACTTGATACATTTGTTACTTAATTGTGTGTTGTCCACATAGTAGCTGTTGAATGGACAGGCCACAATTCCGTGAAACTTTTATTTGCGATATACAGCGTATAATATTTTGATAAAATAATGTAAAATTACTTTTGAAAATGACAAATTTCTTTTTAGAATCCCCGGGTCCTTTCCTGGAAAATCATCTTCCGTGCTGACAGAATATAAAATGATTCCATGAAGTGTGTACATTCCTAATGAGAAATGTTGGCATTGCTCGTGTAAAAATAATGTTAAAAAATGCTGTTGTAGTGCTTTTTCATCGATTGGGTTTGTTTTACATAAACAGCAGTAAGGGATGCTAAACTCAAGGAGTGCGCTAAACCAAATGTTATTTATATTCCTTACTGGTAAGACTATTTATTGCCTTTGATGCAATTATTCTTATCGATTTTATTCACCAACACATAAGGTTTAAATGGGCCTGGGCAGGTGTAGAGCTGGGGTCGGAGGAATAATTGATGAAGAATATACAGTTTCGAAATTCAGTATGTTGTCTTGATTTGTTTCGTGAAGGTTATGTGAAGTAAGAACGTACTCTTTAAAACGTTATTTTAAAAAAGTGGTATTTAACAACAGTCTTTATGCAAATTGGTACTTGATTAGTTAAATAAGTATACTGAATTAAATTAATATAAAATTGATATTTTTGTTTCCTTGTTTTATAAAGTAACGAAAGCCATAGTAGTAGTATAAAATCTTAAGTGATCATCCTTCCTATCAATCAGGACCAGAGGTCAATACCGTGCTGTGTTTCCTGGGTGATGAGGCTGGATTCACTATTGGATGTCAGATTTTGATTTGTCCTGGGCTCAGAGATGCATGGATTGCCTTGATATTGATCACAGATGGCCTTCCCCTGAAGCCATAAACTTGATGATAGGTTGTGACTGCTCCTTGCAAACACAAAGAAGTGGATGATGCATTAACAAAATTCACATTTCCGTTTTATAGAATGTAAAAACAGCCTGTTTCTCCCAGCCACCACACCTAACTTAAGAAACTGTTTCATACAGGATGAGTCTAATATACACTACAGATGCTTATTCTTTCCACTTTACTGAAGTCAGAACAGACCTCAATTGTCATATCCTAGTATAAAGCCCACATTTACAGTAAAACATCCAAAAACTGCTATTGATTTGGTTATTTATTACGTTATCTTTTTTGGGTCTGTAAAATCTCCTTGAAAAAGCAAAATGTTGTTGGTTTTTGGCCATAGGATGAGTTTTGGTTTCTAATCCCCAGATAAATCATATTTACAAGGCAGAATATTGTCATATGCAAGTTGTTGTTTTGCAGAAATGCTAGACTACCCTTTTACAGTAACAATTGAATGAAATTAAGCATTTAACACAATACTTTTGTGGTTTATGTATTAAAATAGAATATTAATGATCATTGATTTATACATTTGTTTTACTGGTTCTTTCTCAATCAGAAGTCACTGAAGGGATTTGAAACTAAATAATCCTAGCTGTAAAAGATATTCAATATGCTACTGAATGTCATAATTTCTAATGAATACGACTTACAAGTTTGGAAATAATGAAACATTTCAAATCCAGTATTGAAGATATAGCCTCAGAAGGCACAAAAACTTGCATAATCACTGTTTAATGAGCTACTATATCGTGCTACATTTAAGCTCTTTAAGCAAACCCTGAATCATGACACCAGGGAGCGCCATTCTCTTTCATCCATTTTCTAACCACTTCATCGAGTGCAGGGTTGAGGGGGAGGTGGTTGCCGAAGCCTATCCAGGCAAGCAACGGGTGAAAAGCAGGATACATCCTGAACAGGACACCAATCCATCTTAGGGCACACACAGACACACGTGCACTGACAGCAGAGCTAATTTTCCTAGGAGTCAGAATGTCTTTGGACGATGGGGAAAAATCAGAACACACAGAGTAGACCTACACAAACACCAAGAGAATGTACAAATTCCACACAGAACCCTGGAACCCAGTGCTGCAAGGCAGCAAGGCTAAATGCTCAGCACTGCGCAACCATGACAATCTGCACTCTTTTAGTTCAGTGTAGTTCAGTTGAGAATTAAGAGAGCAATCCCCAATGTAGCTGCATGCATCTAATTTAAGCTTTGCAGTCAGGGGTAGCCTGATGCTTATGTATTACAATTGCTGAACAATTTGGGCCGGGTCAATAATTGTAAAAAGAAAATTAAACAGAATTACAAAGTAGTATGTATAGGATTATCATTGCGTGAAATATCTTGCACCTCTGCTGCACACAGTTAAAGTGAAGGATGAAATCTATAAAATGTAACCATTTCATATCAAATTAAAAAGCAAAAAAAAATCCTTTAGTGGGAGCCCACTGTCTTCTCATATCCTCTGCACAGTGCTCATGATCTTCAGAAAGCAATTAGTGCGTTTCTGTCAATGCCTCAGCTGCTGGTTGCCTGCAATGCTCTGCATCGAGAAAGCGGACACAGAGATTTAAGATTAGAGGTATGGATTTTGCAATCAGAAGAACAGTGTGTAATACTGATATGGAGAAGAAAAAAAATCATTAATGAGAATAACTTCACTCCTCAGAGCTCCCCAGTATTTAATACCCATCCTAGGGAGATCCATATTCTGATTCCAATATTGACCAGACAAGGACTAGAGGAGAGATTTATCATTCCTCACATAGTTTGTTCTGTGTTCTTGAGGGCAAATTTTTATCTGACATACAGGCATTTTTATTTTCTAAAAGCTAATATGTGGTTAATAAAGGCTCAATGTGGTGATGGGGGATCTTTTAAAGAATCCCAGATAGAAAACATTACCGTGAGTCATTTGCGAAGAAGTATCCTTGAATGCCATCTTCAGGGTATAATGGAAATGTGTTGATATCAAAGTTCTGCAGTTTGGAGAGCGTGCTGTTAATTGTGGCTAATTAAGTTACTGTGTTGAACAGAGCAACTGCTGATGTATTCCAACAGGAATGCTTGCCAACTTCTTGGCAGATCTCAACAAAGCCAGTTTCTGAGATCTGATTTTTCTCCAGATCTCTCCCTTGAAAAGCTAAGAAGAGGGACTGAGATGTGCTTTTCTCGGTAGTTCTTAAGAAAATGAGTGTGAATACAATAGAGTAATCACTTCCCACTGCATGATCAATGATATTGATTGGCATTAAAGGCAGCATATGTTAAAAAATAGCTGAGGTTAATTTGCTTTTCTGATCCTTTGCAAAGGTCACAATATGGACAAATATAAAGGTTACTAGGTGTAACACAAATACTTTAACAGTTTGCAAGGGGGCTTGAAGTGATATATCACTTTTATTGTTTTTTTTCCACATAACAGTTACTTTATGGGAAAACAAAATATTTTTAAAAGTATTACCTGACCAGATAATTAGACAAATGTAGACCAAACTATCCACAGGCTTGAATTGTAAAGCATGCAGCCATTAAATAATACTTGTTAGTATTAGTATGATCAGGTAGAGGTATAGTAAAAATTGGTAATATCAGGTTCCAGTACATGGTATTGTTCATGAAGATGTTCACGATACTTACCAGCTCTTACTTTCAAACATTATAATGCATTTGGCCACTCAGCCAAACAAAACCAGCCTTGTGCACTCTAAGTTTTGAAAGACTTCAGCAGCATTTAATATACTAAAAGGAGCAGCATGATGTACAGTATGATGAATATATTCCACAAGGTGGCAGTTTTAAGCATATAACTTGAATGGACGGATTCCAAAACAATTCAGGACTTGAAAAAAATTAAAAGCCCCAAGGACTTTAATAGGCGGTGACACTTTGACTTTGTGAGCTGTAAATGTGCAACAGCTCAGATATTTCTTTGAACGTTTTAGAAATTTTGAAGCAAATTCTCACCATGCGTATAAAACTGTTAATAAATTCACGCAGGATCTGAGTTACAGCTTCAGTCTAGATCACTTGAGTCATCCCCACAGGTTTGTCAATTTAATCACTGGTATAGGATTACTTCTTTGATGTATAATTGATCACCTGCTTTTCTTTACACCAGTGCAATCTGAATCTGGATCTAGGCCCTGGTCTCCCTGCACAAAAGGACCCTACAAGACTTCCCATTTACCACTAACACTGCCTTGTTACTATCTTCCTAATCTGTATAATCACAGCCATACAATGAAAATAAAGGTAAGCTTGTTTTATGAGACAGCTCCCTCTCCTGCCTGTTTCAGCAGTCTACCTTTCAAATAGGGAAATTATACCGTCAGGTTTCCACTCAATCATCCAACCTGTTTCTCTTCATTTAGGCTTCATGTTTTACTGCAGCTTTAAAGTGTTTTTTGCAAAAAAAAAACTAACTTTTTTGGAACATCTTGAGTGTTAAAAGCATTAGCAAATGATTTTGCGATACAGAAAATATCCTGATTACACCGCTGCTAAGAGCAGGGCCACAAATCGGTATATTGATAAGAATTTCCATGAGCACACACAACAATTTTGCAATTTTCATGAAAACTTTTATTTAAACTGTGCAATCCATAATTTTGACTTTTATTAAGAGTTAAAACATTTGGCTTGTATACTAGTATTATATTTTTGGCATGAACTTTGTTGTAGAATAGATAAAGCAGGCCTGTTCTCCAGGCAAAGAAAATAATAAAAGAAACAAAATATAAAATTAAAACAAAAATATAATTACAAGAGGTACATTCACAATTCAAAGCACATGTTGCCTGTCACTCAGCAATGGAAATATGGAGCAGATTCCCCTGAGTAAAATTTGATATAATCCAGGTCCACCTACCACTGCTGAAAGAGCCAACATTGCCTTTACCAATAAACACGGCAGCTGAAGTTTCGAAGACCCAGGACACCTGAGATTTCTTTCATACCAGACTGGCTCTTCAACTTCATCCCTTTTATACTGTATGTCCAGAAAAAAATATCAGCGATCCAAAACAAAGGAAAATTAAATGACAAAGGATGAGATACCACTGTCTCTCACTTAACACTGACCACTTGCAATGTTTTCATTCAATGGTGGTTCTGTTCTCTTTAGATCAAAGGCTGGAATGAGCACTAAAGGTAAACAATGAGAATGTTACTGGACAGATGGCTGATAGGACAGTCATGCACTTCCGATCTGAAACTTAAACAGCACATCCTGCTCAGGCATGATAATGTGAGCCGGATTTATCATTTGCACTATTTGTTTACCTGATGATGAACATGTGACCTAAACAGAGCTTGATCTTCCAAAGAGACTCTTGTCACAACAGCCAGGTTTTAACACATTTTCGTGAGCCATCGTTATGGTAAATTGAGACCTGGGAAAACCCAGAGAAAGCTTTTGATCAAAATATGAACATTCAGAAAAGAGTGCTGAACATACTTGCACATTCCAGCCTTTGTTAAGAGTAGAAATTATAAGAATGTCTATACAATCACAGGCATGGTAAGGAATATGAGGAGCATTAAAAATGAATCAAAGAAACCCAATATAGGAAACTGGTTTGCTGTTTCTGAACCCAGCCATTTTTTGCAACACAGTAAGCAAACTGGCATCTCATCACGTATAGTGGGAATTGGTAGTTACCATTTATGCATTAACATTACACTGGCTCATTAAACAAAAAGAAACAAAAGAAATAATATAAAATGCCAACACTGACAGTTCAACACAGCTTTCCAGATTAATGCTCATCTACAACATTTCCAGAAGTTTTACTCAAACTTTTTTCAAATATTTTACACACTTCAGGCATCTCCGGGCAAAAACCAAAAGGCAGTCAGTGCACATCAGAGCGCTAAGCAAAACATATGATAATACAAGCATTTCATTTAGGCAGAAATAAACAGGACCACCAACACTGTTCTAAAAAAAAAAAATCAATCAATTTTTTTTGCTCAATTGTTTTTTAAACTAAAGCGCAAGTGGTGCACCACTGTCATCTTGGTTTGTACTCTTGGAGACACCCACATATATAGTTGGAATTGAAACATTAATAATAAAAAAACATTTAAACATTTTAAATGACAAAAACATCATGCAGGCCTATGGAACTACACAGCCAATATGCAGAGGTAACAGAAGGAAATCTTTGGTTTACATTGTTTGCTTTTGCAAATAAAGAATAACTGATTGTGTCACTTTTCACGCAATAATGTACCCTTTAATTAGTCAATTAACTCTGAGAACTACCAATGCCATAACACAGACAGAGGAATAATATATCTCTGTATCTAATATGCCACCTATAATAAGCCCACCATCTTGTTATAACACTTGGGTTTTCAGAGAAAACTGATTTTTGTACTATGTGGAAATTGATCATGTACATGAAATTATTATTATTGCTCTGTTATTTATTAAAAAATAATAAAAGCACCCAACATTCCCAGAGCATTGAGAGATTACCCGCATCTCCACACATTTGGTAACACAATGAGGGCACAGTTACGTGCAAGGCGTCATATTTTACTAAAAGCAGCATCTTAGCTGATCCATGGGAATCGTTATTTGATCTTTGGCTTGGCATGATGATTCCTCATCATAATGTTCCATGGAAAAGCTAAAAGAAAGAAACAGCCGAGGAAGCAAACAATTCTTTGGATAGTAGCATTTGTCACCATTGCATATTAGCTATAATCTAAAACTGGAAGGTGACACTAATCTGAAAGACAAGCGCCAGACTGATAAAACTATGCTTCTATTCTTGAAATAAGCATTACCTACTTTAAGAAACAGAGATAATTAGAATGAGTACTCAGTAGCACTTATAAGCCAACAAAAATATATCTTTGGAGCTAAAAGGTTTTTTGGTGTATACATAATTTTTTGCTTTGCTCGATTTTTGGTTTTCAGCACTTATTTCTTCACACTCTCACTATCCCTTTGTGTCAGAGGGTCAAATCCTCCTCCTCAAGGTGGTTCTGGAGCCTTATTCTGTTTCTTATTATCTGAAAGACCCTTCTCACTTTAAGGCCATTTTTAAAGCTTTTAAGATTTGCTGTATTCAGTACAGCATTTTTTTTGTTAGTAACTACTCTATTAAAATATATTTAACGAATAAAAACCTGCTATAAAACAAGAGACACAGATCAATCTGATAAAGGCCATATCTCTGTAGGTGAAAAGAAATTTAAGCTGATTTGTTAGTGTCACATCACATTGGCATTTCTAAGCTGTGAACCATTATTGGCACATGATTCTACTGAAATGTTCTTACAGATCTACAGCAACTAGTTGCTATTATAAGCAGTTCTAAGAAGATACCCTGTCAGTTAACCATGTAATACAACATCATACATGGCATTACAAATGTAATAAACATTGTTCCCTGAGCTTAGGAAAAATAACAAAATAACACTACATAACACATACAGGAGGTAGTATAAAACAGATTGTAAGGGCAACACTTCACAATACAAAAAGCTTATTTAAAATGAACAACAAAAGTAGATTTACTAAAGCTTAGGTTTTCTTTGTTTCGAGATATCAAATGAATATCAAAGATTTGTGAAAATTATGAATATAGGATATAATGTACAACTATAAAGTATATATGCCACAATGCATGCGATAATAACGGCTGCACATTAAGATATTTTATTACTCACAAGGCCAATTTCCTAATGCTAATCCACTTACTGTCAAAAATGTGTCGGCATAAGAATGAGCTGTGTTTCAGCCCAGTGGAACCTCTCTAAAGGTCAAACAGCCTGTAGTGGTGTTGTGCACCCAGTTAAACTCCCAAGAACAGAGTTGTGTTAGCTGATCAAACATCAGAGCCACATCCCTTACATATCGATGTCTGATGTTTTGCAATTGTAAAGCATTCATTCATTTTCAAACTGTTCCAATACAGAGTTGTGAGGGAGCTGAAGCCAATCCTGGCAATCAGAGCTATTCCAGTCTAGTCTTCTATCAGAAATGTGCAGCAGATACCATTACATTTGGTTTCACACATTAGACTGTTCTCAGCCACTATTTATTTCAGCAATACATGCGTTTCTTTTCACTGGCTGGATGAGATCAATTATCTCCTTGCTACCTTGCTACAAGTGAAATAGACCTGATGGCCTCCTGTCATTTTGGAACCTTTCACTGCTGATAAAGAAGAAGTGATATTTTGAACATTCATGCAATAAGAATATCTTTGAAAAACGTATGACAGCTGGAGTGCATCTAAACCAGTGCCAGCTGATCCATTTTGCGGCAATTTCTAAATACATCTTATAAGTATTATGGAAAGTCAGGAATGGGTTCTCATTCACTGGTCATTTTCCAAGCAAGTATGATCAGTTCCAGTAATCATACTGTACCACCAACTCCTGAACAAGGATGCATGGTTTTCAGACACTATAAACAACTGACAGAGATGGCATTCAATGAAATAATTGCTGAAAGATATATATGCAGCACCACCACCTAATGAGATAAATCTCGTCTACACTAGTGACAGCCAAGAGATGCACTCAGAATACCAAGTAGCAAGTGTGCTAGTAAAACTACATACTCCAGCTGAAATTATATGAAATATCAGGGAATTTTTGTCAGCTGATACTGATGCACAGATGGAGAAAATGGAATATGTGGCAAATTACTTTGTTCTAAACCAAATAATAAAACCTAACAAGCAATGCACCAGCTCTCCGTGAAAAGGCCATGTGGACGAAGATTCCCACTAAGCATAAAGCATTATAACAACCCTTTTTCTAGAGTTTCAAAAGCTGTGCAAAGAGTCTATTAAAAAAAAAAACTCAGGTCCCTTAAAATGGCTAGAAAACCTAAGCTTTGAGCAAATAATGCACCCTTACAATCCCTTACTTCAAAACAAAACAAAAGACAAACAATGCAACACTTATAGCAAAAACAAACTATTGCTATCAGGAAGTATCAATCGTTACATAACCTAGGACATCTGTTATGTAACGCAGGTAAGAAGTAGTTATTAAATATATAGTGTGAGTTCACCACGTGGTAAACTGAGGTAGATATACAGCAGAAAGGAGTTTAAGATCCCTTTTGCTCCAGTGATATACTCTTTTAAATAAAGTCAGAAATGTAGCAGTCATTTTTCACATTTTCGACAATCTTTTTGAAACATTCATGGTGGGTGAGATTTTTTTTTCCAAAAATAATAATAAAAGAAAACATAAAAGGAAACACATTCATCAAAAGTAAAAGACGCTTGAATACCCAGAACCTGAGCTCGGGATCCAACAATCTTTTTGGCTTTCCTGCTCATTGTCTTTTAGAACAGAGGAGACGGGGTGGGTGGGGCTGTCAGAGGGGAAACACAGATGAAACAGTTGCCATGGAGTCTTGAGGCGCTGCAGAGACGTCACCAGGTGCCCCTTCCGACAGGAGTAGGGGCCGCCCCGAGGTGGGCTTCTCGAGAGAAGGTCCTTCCTCCTCCTGGACCAGGAAAAGCTCTTGGGATGGAGGCCGTGTGTTGTGGCCCGAAGACAGGTTGGTCATTTCCATCTCGTCGTGGGAATATCTTCCCGAGTCCCCCGTTTCGTGGCTGCCCTCGCTGTTCTGGGAATGCTCAGTGTCGCCAGCCGGACCAAACAAGGCCTGGAGTGAGGCAGGCTGGTTTTGGCCGGAGGGGCTCTCCTCTTCGTAGGTCAGCACTGTTGTCCCTTTTTGGTATGAGCAAGTAGTGTGGCTTCTCCTCTGAGCCTAGGAACAGAGAGACAGCGAGAAAATGTCAGCGCTTGGAAATTCAGGGAATGTTCCCAAATAAATGGTCAGGAACATTTTTTTCAAGAACTTTTGGATCATTTTCTAAATCAAACAGGCAGTATCAGGAAATCAGGAAATTCTGAAATCGGAAGGCTCATTGAAGAAAAGAGTGTGTGTCTGTTAATACAGTATGGTGTATGGAACGTCACAAACTGTTGTCACGATTTCCTCTCCTGTCTCCCTCATATGTCAGTAAACTGTCCAGCCTCCTCACTCTGTAAGAACACTGCCACTCTTACCTCGCTTTTCTTGAGCTTTAGCTTATCTTCACTGCTGAAGAACAGCCATTTCTTCTTCTTTGTAATGGTGGGTTTTACTGGCCCAAAGCTGTTTATAATGAGGTCTGTTCCACCCTTAAATATGAAAAATAGCATAGCTTACAGTGATGTCTTCCAAATGAATTCTTCCAGTATAAAATGGCTTAGGGCTTTTACACTGTTAAATGCAACATAACTATTCCAGTTATTTGAGCAATCTAGGATCTCCTGTACTCTAAGACCTCTAAGGTCAATAAGCTTGTTCTCATTAAGAGCCCCCAGTACTGTACTGATGCTAAGGTTGAACAGTCTCTCACCTTTGTGTCAATGAAGTTATTGCCCATCATTGGCATCAGAGACTCTGCATTTTCTGCTTGGCTTTCATTCCTCCGAGGGGTAGCAGCATGATTAAGCTGGCCATTTCCTTGCTGGATGATCTTTGTAGTATATAATTTCCTACAGAGACATAATCCAAAATAAAACTATTACAGAAAAAATAGTGTACTATGCCATTTGTTGAATTAATGCAATCTGTGCAAGTGTTTCTTCAGATGTCCCTGAAGTGTTTCTTCAGACTCCAAACAGCACGTTACAGCCATGCCAATTACTGGACTGAGAAAAGCACAATTTTATAAACTAAAGAGGAGTCACGCCACACAAAAACAAAAAGCACATGTAAAATTTAAAAATAAAAAACAAAGATGAAAAAAACTGCAACAACGAAGTAAAGGAAGAGACTTTCAGATTCTAATATCAAGATCGCTGGAATCGAGTGTGTACCTGGCTCTGCCCCGACAGATCAAGATGAGAACACAGATGATGATACAAGTAAAGGCAATGCAAACTCCAACAATGATCCCCGTCATCGACTTCTGGTCCAGATGGTAAAAGCCATTGGAGTAAGCTGTAACACAGTCATAAAATAATCAGTTTTCCAATTTGCAGAAGAGACATCACACAGATGGTGAAAGCTACAGGAGGGGAGTACCAGTCCAGACCTCTTCAGCGGTGATTGTCTCTTTGAGATACTGTTCTCTTTAGTAATGTACACCATTATTAAAAATGGCCGCCTTTAAATATAACAGTCTCACCAGAGTGTAAATAATTTAGTGGAACAAGGGCCAAAGTTCAGGCCATTGAATTTTAAACATGTCAAGAGGCAATTAAATTTGGAGTAATATAGCTGTGTGAAGTGGTAGTTAATGCTTAAGAAGGAAAAATCTGTAGTTCCTGAGGTGTGTTACAACAGACACACAAATATACATGGAGAAAAACAAGAACAGGGTTTTACTAAACAAAATCGCCAGGAAAAAAAAACTGTACTTGCTGTAAATATTCCAGGAAGGTTTGTGATTTTATTAAAGTGAAAAGTAAATGGATTTGATTTGGGAGATATGATGATAAGGGTATAAAACACACCAGTGATCCACATACAGCTCGAAGGAGACAAGGCTGTGGAGGAGTGGTGATCTCTAGATCAGCATTTCCAAACCAATGCCGCAGTGCCGTGAGAGGGGACACTGTGCTTGAGGAGGTGCTGGGACAGGAAATCAAGTTCCTGACTAGCTGGTCATGAAAGCTTCAATGGCATTATTTGAAAGTGTTGTGATGCTGACTTTGTTGTGCTGGCTAAATTCTGTTCTTAGACTACAACAATTTCACCTACCAAAATCTACTTAATTAAACTAGCAGAGTAAGTTCTCACTTCTCTGTCTGAACAGGGGATCCCCCTATTATAATAGGTAAAGAGCTTTGAGATCCTATATAAGTGTAATAGGTTATAAATATTTAGTTTTCACACTCAACCTGGTGAAACACACAGTAGCAAAAAGGACAATCATCCATCTTTCAGTCTTCTCTGGAGAGTATGTTAATTATGAGAAAAGGACCTGGATGCAGAGTTCTCCTTCTGTATTCACTGTAACTGCACATGTATGGACGGTGTGCTCAGGTCAGCTCAAGACAGCAAAAGTAACACGACAACATCAGCCTTTCAACTGACCTTTAGCCTCAGCTGTGCCATCAGAATGCCTGGAATTTTGACTGGACTGAGACCCTTCTGGCAGAACGGCCAACTCCACCAGGTTGGAGAAGGGGCCGTCTCCCACCTCATTTGATGCCGATATCTTAATGAGGTAGACATTCCCCGGAAGAAGGTCCTCCAGCAATGCCATGGTGATGCTCCCTGAAAAGAAGCCTGGAGTTAATAAACTGTAGCTGGGTTTGGGCCACTCATGACTGACGTAATCAAACAGGCTGTGGAGGTCTGAGAAGAAGAGCAGCCAGAATAATGATGAATTTACAAATGTGCCATTTCACAGGTGTCTATTAAAAACTAAATACTTCCAGTTTATACATTAGATACACGTTTGTCACCAGTTTTGATAAATACTAAATCTTTTGGATTTCGGTGAAAAGACAAGGAATTCACCTCCTGCCAGGCCACGATAATTATCTTGCACTTGCAAACGCATAAAAATCTAAAGATGAATTAAACTTCTCTTTTCTTCAACTACAAAGTGCTTTTCTGCAACAAAATCTTCTCTGTGTGCTGCTTGCTGACAGAGCCATGACCACCACTGGGCCATAACAGGATCTACTGGTGACCATGGAAGGCCAGTAGAGCAGCAGAGCAGAGTTTAGCAGCTCTCATCATTTCCACAGATCACCTCACAGCCCCCTGTAGTAACTGTCAGGATGGCTGCTCTGATTTACAGTGAATGGGACACACACCGGTTCTGAAAGTCCTAACTTCTGACCTCTCAGAGGTGGCTAAACGTAAACTGCGGATGCTTCGCATTTCAAAAAGTCATCTGCACTCAATTATAACCCAGCAACAACCCTGCTCAAACTCAGGGTTAAAGGCGGCAGCTCCCTGGCTTTACAAACACTTCATCTTGGAGCATTCTAGTGCCACCTCTGCCTAGATACCAATATCCCACCATTAAATGAGCCCCCACATGTGATGCTGTTCAAAGCCAACATTTTTTAAATCTCTTCGGTCACTGCTGTTTTCTCCTTGTAAATGACTTTATACTTCAAAGGAACAATGACTTGAGCTCAGGTACTGAAAGACAACAGCTCTAAAAAACTTTAAAAAGGATTCTTTTTAAAAAATCCTTTTCCTAATGATTTAGGAAATGAAATAATGGCCATTAATTAAGAGATAGAAAGAAATCAAACCATATAGATACTAAACTCAAAATAAGAAAGGAGAGCCTGTTTGAATGTTTTTCGCTTCCTAGGTTAGAATGGAATATTATGCCCTCTTGCAAAGATGATTATAAAATCTAATTTGAAGCACAAGCTTTAAAGGACCCATTTCTCACAACTAATGTAATATAGTAGTGTAGCAAATTGTAGAGCCTCTGTTCTGTTAAATTCATTCTAGAGGACAGAATACAATCTGACAGTGCACTTATGACAAACACTGATGTTTAAAGTAGAAGGCTACCCACATGTAATAAACTTGTGCTGTCCGTCAGAACTGGATATTTGTATTTTAAGTATTAAGACACATTGTTAGTTAAGCTAAAATAATACATACAAATCCACTTTATCAATAAAGCCTTAATTTTTTTTTTAAAGAAAGAGGTCTCCCACTTTAGTATTTTCCATAGGAGAAAAAAGGTTTATGTAATAATTCACCATCCTAGTTTATCCTTTTGCCTAACAGGATAACATCAGACTTTTATCTAGGACTAAACAGGTATTACACGGACCAGTAAGGTAAGGAATTAAGGATCTACGTCTCATACATTGAGAAATTAGATATTGATTTCCAATTAACAAACACATTTGGAGGCCAGTCTTCTGGCGGCAGCCTTCAAGCCTTTTAATAATGGTCTGTTTGTGGAATTTGAGAATTACCTTCTCTCTGAAGCACCTGCCACTCTCCAGCAATCCATGCCTTCCTGGAAGCATAGAGGACTGTGTAGCGTGTCACGACAACATTGGGCTCCTCTGGTTGCTTCCAGGACACCAGGGCTGTGTCATCCTCTATGAGAGTCACCTTCACTCCTGTCGGAGGTCTAGTCGGAGCTGGAAAAGCAAAGCAGCACCACATCACGAAAAGCATGGGTTAAACTAAAAGAAGATGCACGTGCCAGGTTTCAGCCGCTGTGCTGAGGCTTGGCCACTTCGAATCTTCACAAGAAGATCTAAATACATTAAGTTTTCAAATTCTTGACGGCACACGGCAAAAACGTATCATCACCGGTATGCAGCTCTGTTGCCGTACAGTTTCTCAGAGCACTCAATTCTGTGTTCCTGCATTAGCTAGAACAGTTACGAATGTCTCGCTAATTTCTAAAAGGAGGCTCAGTCTTACCTTCTGGCATTGTACTCTGGTAGACCACAGGACTCCACGGGCTCGAGAGCTGGTCCACGTGGAGGCGGACTGCAAACTCGTATCTGGTGTTGGGCTGAAGGTCCTGCACAAGCATGTGCTGCTCAGAACTGCCGTGGTTGGGAGGGAAAACCAAGCAAGTGAGCAAAACAGGCATTGAGACGACGAAGAACCATGTAAAAGGCCCCGAAAAGCAAGGGGCGCGAAGTGCCCCCGGCTGTGGGGACGGCGTGCAAAGCGGCGAGCGAAGCCGAGACTCACGTCTGCAGGTAGAGCACCAGGGAGGCGTTCTGCAGGCCCACGGGGTTGCAGCGGATGGTGTAATTCACCGTCTGGCCGGAGGTGAAGGCGGGGCGGCCCCAGTGCAGGTACACCGAGGAAGAGCTGTTGGCCTTCACGTACAGGTGGTGAGGAGGTGGAGGAGGAGGCACCATGCGATCCCGAACCGCTGGAACAGCGAGGAAGAGCATCTCTTACTCAGAGGCCTGAGGCCGAGAGGACGTCTAACCCAATACGCTTTCGTGGCATGAGCCCAACGGGCAGTTTTAGTAAAAGAGGTTTGGAATTGATAATATAAAAAGTGTCACAGCGGACTGTATATCACTGTCACATTCTTCAGTGTAATACTCCAAGCTTACTTACACACACAGCCAGGGGTGCTGACTGTCTGGTCTGCCTGATAACCTTCTCCCATGTAACTGTAGGCCAGAAGCTTGACGTGGTATTTCCTCCTTGGATCTAAATTTAAAAAGTAAGATGGATTAAGTCTCTATGGCTCTGTTTGAGCAGAGCCTTTATAATGGTTTAGATCACGACAATGGTTACATTACAGTATAAGATAGCAAAAAATGTTAAACCACAAAAATAAGTTATATCAATGTCTGTGGATAAAATGTTTTTTTTTTTTCCGGTTTCATTATATACAGCTTTGTAGTTGGGGGGAAGATAACAGATGCTCTGTCTCCCAGTTCTTTTCTGGGCAGTGTGAGACACATTGAGGTCTCTCAAACACAATAGCGCCTCCCAACATGAGGGCCCTCTTTCCATCATCCTGTCCACCGCTTTTCACACATAAACCCCTCCCTGCACCTCTGCGAGCCGATGACCATTGCTAGTGGTCACTTTCTTTCAGCTCTGGGGTCAGAAGTCAAACTACAATGGCCTTTGCTGAAAGGCCTGCCCCAGCCAACACAACTGGCTTGGAAAACAAAAGGAAGACAAAGAAGCCATAAATGAGATGCTGTTTTCTCTTTCTCCATAAACAGCAACTTTCAAAAAATAAATTCTGTTACTGGATGTATTTTAAGATTAACACTCATTTGTTTTGCTAAAGCTAAAATTTTGAAAACATTTTCTCACATAGTTACAAAACACTGGTCAAAGCATGTTTTAAAATATGTAATCATACAGTAGTTTTGTAATCCACACCGATATCTACAACACTCAGGAGATGTTTTTCAGTGGAACATATTCAGCTACGCTCTTCGTACTCCAAATAATAAGTAGAATTAAAAAATGTTTGTCATGAAATGTTTTAGCCAAAAATGTTATGGGTTTACAAAATCCTTACACTGTTTATGACATCAGGTCACTACAGGGCTCTACACTGATGTCGTTATGGCAGCTGTAATTCTGAAATTACTTCATTACGAAAGATTTTTGGTTTTTCAGCTTTCACACCCTTTTTAAAGCATGACTCCAGCTAAACCTAGTGTTTGCTAGAAATACAAAGACACATCGGGTATTAAAATTCACCACAAAACCTATTCAAAAGGTTCCAATACTTTATTTTAAGGTGTGATCACCTGTAAAGACTACACCAGGGAACACTCACTGATAAAAGCAGAAAGACCCAGAGCTACCCTTGGCATTCCTGGCTGTGGCATTCACTTGGATTTTAAGTGTGAACCTCTGAAACTTGATTTCAGAAGGAAAACTGAGATACTGAGAGTAAGCAAAACCCATCACAGGATTGCAGTGTCCAGTGACAATACAAGCGAAGGTATCAGTGTTAAAGAACACTCAGAAGAAAAAGATACCTTGAGAGAAAATCTCTGTTCTCCAGGGGTCTGCCCCTTATATATTTAAGTCATTACTTTTCATTGGAAATCAATCTGGAAGTATTATTCACGTTTATCATAGGGGGAAAGTGAATGAATAATAAACTCAGTCTTATTTACATGGAAATATATATTTTATGGGTTAAAATTAAGGGATTGGCTGGAGGAATTACCCCAAATAAAGTGGTATACACTTTCTAATGGAATTAGAGTGAGAACTACAACAGACTCATGCAGAACCCTCTGAGACCTGTGGAAATAGTGTAGAATCTATCAAACTAATGAGAACAGGCCGCACAGGAATTCTTGGGCTCTTTAATATTTTAAAGTATGTCACACTTCATTATGCACAATCTCTAACAAGATTTAAGCTATTAAATAGTAATCCATACTACTACTCATTCAGGAAATACTTTATCATGTGTGCTATTATTTAAACCAATATGTGCTATTCCTCTCACTGTCTAAAACATAAGACAATGATTGAAAAGTACCCAAGTATTCATCAGCTTGAGGAAATTTTCTTGTTGGTCAATGGGCTCGGATCCACAAGCTTTTTTTAAAGAATTATTATTATTATTATTATTATTAATAATAAAAGCTTATTGTGCACAGAGGGGAATCAGGTCTATTAACAGGCACTATCACCAATATTTAGTTTTGTAGAGTTCAATTTGATTTTACACAGTAAATAACATTTCAATAATGTTTTTTTTCTTCCTTTTTTCCGGTAATAGGTTTACATGACATTTTAGCACGGTTGCCAAAAAATAAACAAACCACTCACATCTATTATTAATAAATCGGCACACTGTTCCAGTTCAAATCCACATACAAAAAATGTTAAAATATGATGTTGAGAAGTTTTTAATATAGCATCTGGGGCAGTTTCCACAGCCTTCTCAGTGATACAGCCAGTTAAACCAAACAGCTACTACAGGGATGTTATTATACCTAATGCATTAATTCTTTCAAGCTGTTGTTTTCAGAGCAAGGGAATAAAAAAGTTATCTTACTGGAACATTCAACAGACTGTGCCATTAGTGCAATGCCAAACATGGCCACTAAGCTATGCTCTTTCACTCACTAACATGGGATTCGGTGGCTAAACTTTAAAATTGTCACTGGTTTGTCTCTAACAGGGGTAGTTTAACCTTTAATTTTATTGCTGTAGGTTTCAAAGGACTACAAATCCTACCCAAGGTGTGAAACACACCACTATTGGAAGGGTCAGTTTAGTTGAATACACAATTTGAGAACAGCTGACAGCTTACCTAGTACTGCCAACAAGATATCTTAAGTGAAGACTCTAAAGGAAGGTTTACACGTTCCTCCTGACTGAGGCCTGTAGGAGTCTGAGAGTTGTGGAAAAGAAGGGCAGAGATCTCTATCAGTGAAGCACTTTTTTAGCACAAATGGCTATGGGGGTGTTGAACCAGCTATCCATCCACGTTGATGAAGTTTATACCCTGGTTTCTTTCATGAAACAGTTGGATGAGCTCTTCAGATCAATGAGCTAATAAATACCAAATGGGCTAGATGGGTCGAATGGCCTGTTCTCAGATGTAACCGTTCTTACGTTCTAATGAAGTGTAATGGTGAGACTTCACAGCCTGTTCCGAGATAATTAAATATAGCAGTGAAAGTAAAATAGAAATAGCAATATTATTACAGTAAGTATGAAATGGCAGTAAGAAATAATATTTATTTCTAGGATTTTCAAAACATCATTATAAAGTAACAGGCAACAAGGTGACGTGGCAATTAGCACTGATAGTTCAGGTGGGTAGCTGCGTCAGCATGCGTAGGCTGCAAAGGAACAAGTAATAGGTTTATTCCATGCTGAAAAAAAAAAGAAAGAGAACACAACGTTTCGGCCGTGGAGCCTTCTTCAGCGTCTGCTGAAGAAGGCTCCACGGCCGAAACGTTGTGTTCTCTTTCTTCAATTAGCACTGATGCCTCCCAGCTTTTGGGTCCTGCAGTTGATTCTGGACCTTCTGTGTGGAGTTTGCATGTTCTCCTCTTGTTCATGTGAGTGTTCTGTTTTTCTTCTATATTCTAAGACATGCTATCTAGATTAAACACCCACCATGAGCCCTGTGGTTGAGGATAGGCTCTGTGTTGCCACGACCCTTTCCAGGAATAAGCTGCTCGGCGAATGGATGGACAGAGCATAAAGCAACACAGAGCGGATCACTGAGCTAAATAGCAAGGATTTATCCTCAAACTCCTTACCTACAGCACAACATGATTTTTTAGAACAGAAACCCACGTTCCCAAGAACGAGAATAACAGGCTGTGTTATAGATATAAGGTATAGGTATCCACATAACAGGTGGCAATAGGTTGTCACTTTTTATGTGCGGTGGAGTGAGACATTTACGGTGAAAAGGGTTACTGAGGGGAGAGCCATTTTGAGATTTGGAGGCCGGCCTTGACAGGAAAATTAATGGCCTTCATTGGGATATTTTCAAATAATTCGGTGAATTCAGAATTTAGAAAACAGTGGGTTTTTTAGAAACATCCCACTTTACATTGTATCAAGTTCTGGATGTTGTTGTTGTATTTCTTTAAATAGATGAGTGTATTTCAGAGGAAGAGGGGAAAACGTTTCTTTTTGGAGGGGGTTGGGATACCAGGGAGGCAGCTTTCAGCTGCTGAGATTTTGAAGCCCTGAAGAGCTTCAATGGAGCCAGTCTAAGGCCATTAGGTCAGGGCCAGATAAAACTGAGAAAGAATCTGGGGTCAGAGACATGGAATATGAGTCGAGTTTCCTTTTTAAAGGTCCTTTCCCTCACAGCTTTAGTAGGAAGAGATAAAGAAAATTGCTTTGGGGAAAAAAAATAAACCTAAAATCTAGCAGCAAAGTTACTTCTAGGGAGTTAAGACAAACAGAATAGGTACAGAGCTCAAGACAGTTCTCTGTGGGCACCAAGAGCACATTAGTCATCATCCTAGTGCGCTACACTACAATAGCACAGGAACTACTCTAAAACCTATACAGCTGACAAGACAATAAGATGACTCCCAGCTGGTCTGCAATTTTAAAGTTTAATGATTAAATCAATTCTTTGCTGTGAGTAAGTGCAGTTTTAAGGTTAAAAATAAAAACTGTTGAAATAAATTATAGGGCTGGCCAATGACCAGCTAACCAGTGCTTTCTTTTTATCTTTGTTGTAACCAAAAATATTATTTAAAACATACATGCAGTGGAAACGATACAGTTTCAAAAGACAGAGAACTGTCTAAAAGACGAAACAGGCTTGGACTTGTTCCGAATGGCGGGGGGGGGGGGGGTGTAAAGACACAATGACAGATTAAATTAAATTCAAGGTCTTGGCTAATGCCCACTTTTCAATCTTCCTTATGTCCGGCTCCAGCCATCCCATGGGCTTTTGTTCGCCCAGAGTCCAGCTGAATGCATCAGGGGTCTGGGTATGGCAGGGAGAGCACACTGCCCCCCAATCTGCCCCTGCAGCACAATGGCCTGCAGTAATTATGCAGGAAAGAGGCTGAGAGTTTGGGGATGGTGTGACATCTGGGGCATGACCTTTGACATGGAATCTGGGCAAGCTAAATCCTGCTGCAAGCCATGGCGCTCCAGAGGGGATCTGTCGGGGGGAGGGTCACTAAGTGAAGGAGAAGAAAAGCTGACCTAATGAAAAGCTACGGTGCAGG